CCCCAAACCCAATCAACATTTCATTTGCATTTTCATTTTCCAGTCCTATATGAAATAAATAATTATGGAATGCTAGTCAAGTTTTTTTTTATATTTTCTCAACTAAACTTGTTGAAGTAAATTAATATAAGAAAATAATTACGAAAGGACGACAACGCTAACCGGTTGAAAAAAATCACTGGATTAGTGGAATCTGGAATATGATTGCATATCTACATACAAGTATGTATGTATTTACATTTGTCCTAAGCTAAAAGTTTATTTGACACAAAATTTTCTAAATTGTAATCAAATTCCTTCATGTTCAACTTTGAAAACGTTTCAACCATACAAACTAGGGATGACGAAGCTGGAAAGTAGAGTTGGCTTATTCATATACTGAAAAATTCGTATATTGGATGATTTTTCTTAATTAGATGAGAAAAGAAATGTTAAAAAGAAGTTCAAATTGAAAACTAATGATGATAACTATATATGTACATATTTTATTATGTCAGATCCTGCTGATTATGATAAAGATAACGGCACTTTTATCCTTTCCATGTGTGTATTTATACTGAGAATAAAACTATAGTATAAATTAATTTTTTGTAATTGAATTGGAATTTTCAATTTTGATCGATCTCTGTTGCTTACTCATTAGAATGTGTTTGGTTTGACAAAAAATATTTCAGTTTGGAACTATTTATTTATTTACTACAAGTATATATGAACATATGTATGAATATAGATGTACGCAAAGAGCCATGTTGACCAACAGCACGCTCAATGAATAATTGTTATTAAATGTGTGAAGGTCTGTATGTCTATGTGTTCTATTCGTTGATAAAATAGAAAGAATTAAAGCCCAAAGCCAAAACAGTGGCAATAAACATAAACACACACACAAAGACAAGACAAGGGCAGCAACAACAAATAAATTATCGCTGGTCTTATATGCAAGTATACATACATACTTGTATGTACATACACACATCCATCGACACACATACATACATACCTACACACATGAGTCCAATTGTATTTATAGGACAGGCAATATAATGTCTAGTATGTAATTTTGTGTGTACTCATGTCTTTGGCTGTTCGCTGACTGATAAGATTTATTGATAAGGCGGCAAGCGACAATGCAAAATATAATTGTTTCCATTTTAACTGAAAAGCGGGCAAATTACAATGTGTACTGAAACTTCTATGTATTTGTTTGTTTGCTTTCCTGCTAGACTGATTACAGAATGATGCGATATGTTTGTATAGTTTTATTGCAATTCGATTGCAACTGTGTCATTGCAGTAATGTTATGCAAATAATGCAATTAAAATCTTTACAACTGCTCATTAACTTCACAGCTTATGCAACAAAAAATTAAAACAAAAAGAAACAGCACGTGTATTGCACAAACCCTCAAACATACAAACATGCGTACATTAATTGGCAAATGCTTGGCAAAAAAAAAAAACAAAAAAAAAAATGGCAATTCAACGCAAGGTTAATGAACTGCTAACACATCGGCCCGATAGGCGTTTAAATATAAAATGCTTTAGTATAAGCTACGCATTTTTCTTGATATTTATATTTTATATAATGACAAATGCCTATCTGACATTTATGAACTTGCGTTAAGTGTTAAAAATAAACAAATTTGAGTCTAAAGTGGACGTCCGTATGACGCACCGAAGCCTTTATACCTAGGAGCACAAATTCCTTGATTTGACAATACGACTATTTTGTGCACGCTTTTGCCATTAATTTGTCAAAAACAACTCTATTATAAATGTTTATGTTTATAGTGTGGAAAACTACAATTTTCAAATATATCCAAAAATACAAACAGCTGCCATTTTATAACATTTTAAGTGATCTTGTTCTTGTGCATTAGACTTCCGCATTTGCAATGCAAAATTGGCCGGCCATACAAAAAGCTGGCAACTATTATTAGTTGTTGGTCTTGTTGTTTTTGTGCATCTATGCGGAAATTAGACATTTTCGACAAAAGTCTCTCCATTTCTATGTGCAGCGAAATGCGATAAAATCATAATTACTCGCTCTGCATTTTAAAATCTGACTTAGCCAATCACAATCACAGTCACAGTCGCAGTCACAGTCGCAGTCACAGTCGCAGTCACTCTCACCCTCTTGGCCAACAAACGGCAAAAAACCGAAAACGAAACAAAGTCAAAAGTCTCTTTGGCCATTTGCCAAATGAACGCACATCTGTTTATTCAAAACGTTCCCATGGCGTACTGGCTGCTGTGTATTTTTATACAATTTAATTTTATTGCGTAAATAAAATTTTTTCGCCTGCTGCTCTTCATTGTGTTCTATTTATGACCAACAGCAAGGGTTGCCACAAAAGTGGTCACATTTTTCAGTTTTCTTATTTAAGTTCCTAACAAAATATCGCATCCGCGATTTAGCGGACTTCAAATGCTTCAATCTATTCTTTTTATTTTTAAAAAATTACAAGCATTTCAATCGCTTGGTTTGTCATTTATGTACTAGTTGCCTTTTTTAATAAATTTGTATCAAAGTTATATATGTTTATCAGCTTGTAAGTTGATTTTTGATGCCATTTTGTTTTCCATTTCATAAAATATATAGAAATGTTTACTTTAAAAAAGTAATAGTTCAGCTAATTCAGTGATGTGTGTCGAAGCAAAATATTGTTACTGGGTCGAAGATATGGAAGTCTCAAATGTTGTTGTTAAAATGTATAGAAATGATGGGAAACATTGACAATCAAGGATTTTATGTTGCTTTTTTACATCACGATTTATCACATTAATTCTTAAATATCAAAACTCTGCACATGAAAACTTTTACTTATGCTGATGTTTCGGAATAAAAACAGGACGAAAACAAATCGAAGTGAATGAAATATTGCCAATGATTCTGCTCGGCAGCAATCGGCGCAAACTTTTGAACTAACCCAGTTGAGAACATTCAATAAGATGTGTGTGCTGTTGACATTTTGATAGTGCGACGCGTTCTATATTTGACTTCAATCAACAGCCATGCAGCTGGTCAGTCCACCAGTCTGATTGAAGCAATGAAATGCGCATCATGCAAGGAGGATATACATATACGTTTATATAGAGGAGTACATATGCCCTATATTATACATACACATACTATATGTATATCGCTTATTTATAACTGCAAGTGAGTAATTTATTTGCGAGCTGTTCAACTGAAACATATGTATGTATGTCTTTTGCACACATTGGGCAATAGAAATGATTCTGAATTTGTTTCTCAGTTATCAGAATATAAAGTTCAATTGATTTATTTAATTGATAATAACCAGCAAGCACTACCTTGCGACTTGTCTATTAGGTATTTACAACCAAATGCGCTAATGCAAATGCAACAGCAGTACATTTAATCAAATATATTAGAGTTTGTTGTTTTTTGTAGACCTAAGCCATTTTGAATGTTTTTCTACAACAGTTCTCGACGCAATAGTCTGGGCATTAACAAGTGGCTGATTAGGTGCCCTAGTTTTGAACAAAGCAACTGGGAATATACATAAAAAAAGCAACAGAATTATTATAAAAATAGTAGAGTATAGTTTCATTGTTTGTTATCTTTTTTATGACTATACATGTATGACTATACTTGTATGCTGTTGCTGGTTTTTTTATTATTTATATGATTATCGTAGACAGCAAAAATAAGTACTAAAATGTTGTGCAAATAAGAATGGCATTATAACTGAGTTGAGAAATTTTTCAAACAGAACACACACTATTGAACGAAAATTGTTTTGTGTTCGTTTTTCCAAAAGCTAGTGTTTGCCTGACTTTTTCATTAATGAGAGAATTACCAGCTTTATTAAAATTTCCGTTCTTCTATTGGTAAAAGGTTGCTTTGAAAAGTTGGTCCTGTGTCGAACACCAAATTTATTTAATTAGCAAAAATTTACGCTCTACATGTGAGTTTGCACCACTTCTACAAACTCGCAAAATTCCATCCAACAACAACCTATGCTACCTATGTATGTTTGTATGTTGGCATGGCTACTTTTATATCCCTATTATATGTATATGTATATTCTCATTATTTTCATAGTGTGTGGTTATCTTGAATATTTCAATGTCTGTTGCAATAAAAACGTATGGAAGTTGCAAACGTTAGAATTAATTTAATTTCATTTGAATTTTTATATAGAGTGCTGGCCTTAACAGAGAGCTAACTACGAGGGGAGCAAAGAAATCTACGCATCTTATTTGTTTTTATGAATATTTGAAAAGGCAATTATAATTTAAGATTAAAGTATGCATATTGTACTCGAGTCAGAGCGAGTCAGACTGAAACAAAGCTCTTTGTTTTATTCAACATAAAACAATAACATAATGGCAATAAACACGTACCGATAGGTATTAACATTTTAATTGTAATACAGCTAACAGTTCAACTCTTTACAGGAAAGCTTTTGCAAGTTGTTAGGTGCCTGCAAAAGCTTTGTTTTAACCTAACGGTAGAAAATAAAGGAAATGATTTTTTTCAATCTATTCGTTTCCAAAAGCTTGAAAAAAACGTTTCCGTTTGAAATGAAATCAATTATTTATAGTCTATGGATAACACACATACTATAAGTATGTCCTCGCAACCAATTACGATAAGTTCGAGATAAACATCTCTCTGGCTCTCTCTTCATTAATATGTTCTCAGTAGTACGAATCCTCTGCTATTTGCTCTTTTCATTAATAACAGATAGGCTTCTTTATTAAAATAGTTTGGTAAAAGATTTGCCAACAATGAAAAAGTGGAGCTTGCTATTAATGGCTTTTTTTTTGAGAGCTCGACGTTTCTCGCAATAAACAGGGCACCAAAGCCATTGAAAGGTGTTACAAGCTAACAGGGAGCTATGAGTATGTAAATGAAATGAAAATAATTTTTTTTTGCTTTTTTTATTGTTAGGTCGGGTAATTATGGTACTACCCAACTTTGTGAATGCACATATGTTGTAATTGTGTTTATGTAGGCTCTTTACTTACATCTTGTGAGATTTGTCCCATATCCGCGTAATAATCAACAGCGTAGTACATTGGTAGTGTGTGTGTGTGTGTGTGTGTGTCTGTGTTTGAGTGCAAAAGCTGATCTGATGTGCAGTTTTACAATAATACCAACAGTATCAACAACAAAATACGAGTTTCTGTTGTGCGTTGTGTTTTACTTTTTTCTCAAAAAGCTTGCTGCTGCAACCTCAAAAGTGGAGCAACAACTTATCTGGCCACAACCTGAAGGAGGCTCGCTCCGTTGGCGCTGCAGCAGTTTACAAAACCAGATTTTGTGTTGGCTTTTTTTTTTCTTTTTGTTACTGTAGTTTCAATATTCGGCACACGTTGCAATTCAGGGTCTCTTGCTTTTCACTTGTTTGAATTACTTGCTGTTGTTGCTTATTTTGTTAGCTTGCAGTTTGCAGTCGTTGCTGTTGCTGTTGTTGTTGTTGTTGCTGCTCTTGCGACTGTTGCTATTGCTGCGGTTGTCAGGGCAATTAAAGCGTTGCGGTTAGCGCTGCAACAGGCTATCCGTCCAAACAGACCACTAAGCTTTTAGGCTAACTGCACTTGTCATTTGTTAGACTAGCTAGCTAAGTAGCTCGGTGGGTGTGCGCGTGTATGTGTGTTAGACTGTGTGTGTGCAGACTTAGTTACCAACGGCTGTTTTGAATCCTCAGACAGAGCCACTGCCAAATCTCAAATGGAGGCTCAACCAGTCGTCACTTTTTTTCTTTTTTTTTGGTTTAATGCACAATATCTTGTCGAGTTTTACACACTGATCTATGTATGTATGTACACGTATGTATATTTGCTATTGTCACCGTTAACGTTGTAGTTGCTGCTGCTGCTGCTGCTGCTGCTGCTGTGGCTGCTGTTGTATGTTGAGTTTGATGCAAGTCGATTGTATTTGTCGTTGTCTTGGATTGTGGTTCAGACGTTTGTACGTGTGACTATGATGCCTTATTTTGTTGTACGCAAGTCTGCGAAGTTGTTGTTGTTGTTGCTGTACAATTGCTGATGCTGCTGACGTAGTCGTTTGTTGTTGCTTGCTGTTGTGTTTATTGTTGGCTTTCATTTGTGATATCTACAAAGTTTTTTGCGTGGATTTTTCAGAGGCGAAACTTTTTCGATTCGACTTCACAAAATTTTATGCTCTTAAACTGTTATTTTTGCACTCGAGCTGCACTTGTTTTTTGCTTTATTTGATGTAAAAAGTTCTTAATAGCCCAGACTGCACGTCTGTTTGTCAAATTGTTAATAAAACTAAAAAATACTTTGGATACTTTCATTCAGCGAGTTTGAACTGAAAAGTGAAAAGAAAATCAAATAAATATAATTTAAAAACAAATAGTAAAATTAAAATTGTTGTTTAAGGGGGGGGAACTAAATGTCTAGCTCCAAAACATTAACACAAATAAGGGCACCATGCTGTGTTTGATTTTGAAATGAAATCTGTACAAACCTAAAAACTTTTTGATCATTTTACCCTAAATATAAGCATGAATCTCGATTAAATATATATAAACAATATATATTTATAAACAAGAAATCAATAAAATTCCATAATGTAGAACATTCACCCAAGGTTGATCGCAAGAATGCTTAATGAATTCCAGAACGTTATTTAAAAGACAAGCCATTCTTGGAAACTGAAGTAACCACTTCCACTTATCAGAGATAACAAACTAATGTACCCCTTTGGAAAGAGGTACAATGGAAGTGTGCCAAAAATATGTTAGCTGTTGGCATACAGTTTCAATTAACATCCAAATGCCAGTCAAAACATTGAGCAAAAAGTTGCACGAGCACAAAATATGGCAATGCCAAAAATAAAAGGCAAAATAAAAGTAAACAAATAAATAATAAAAGGTCGGGGGGGAAACGAGAAGCGAAACAAAAATTTCAACACAATATTGGACGTAAGTGGTGCTCTTCCTTGATTGCAAATTAAAAAAAAAAAGAGGCAACAGTATTCGTAATGTGGAAGGCAAACAAAATTTTTGGCATATAAACGAAAAATGCTAAACAAATACTTAGAGTCGCTGCTCATGAAAACACAAAACACGCCTTAAATGTCTGAAAGGCGCTTACCAACAACAAGTAAAACCGTAGAAACGAGCTAAAAATTTTGCATATCGTTTCGCAGACTCAACAGGGAGTGCACATATATGGAGTAGACAAACAGTCAGACATGTTTCCCCCATACACACCTACCACACATACACATTATACTACCTGATAGTGTACATAAAGAAGTTTTAATACTCTCTACCTAAAAGGTGCAAGAGTACTCGTATGATAGGTTTTGTGCAAAGTGAAATTCTTTGTACTAGGAATTACAAACTGAGGCCCCAAAAACAATACACTCTACACTTTTCAGAGCAGGGTATAAAAATGGCGCCTGTTTTTTAAAATCATTTCTAGCTTGTAGTTCATGGAGCGGTGATATCTATCTGAGACGTTTTCATCGCCTTGCCTATGGTTCTAATAACGTCAACAAATGAATTACAAAACGTAATACATAAACAACGAACGTGACTTTGTTGGCGGCTCGGAAAAAACAACGAAAATGAAAAAAAAAAAAAAACAATAGCAGCCATATCACAATAACAACAACTACGTCATCCATTTAGCTGTGGCTACAACAACATCGAGTGCATTCAATGGGCAAAGGTATTGTATTTCCTTTTTTCCATGTTCATTTTCGTAATTTGTTTGCCATTTGATAACTTATAATTTTATCGTACTATGAAAAAGTTCGCTCTGTGCATGATAAATAATTAACCGACATGTTCAAAGTCGAGCTACCTGTGGTTTGGGCCTACCTTGCTGTGGTTACAACAAAAACAATATGAAGTTTTCTACTATGATTGAGCTGCGAACCTGTTGTTGACAGATAGGCGGCGGGCACTCCAAACCAACATTTGAAGACCAACAACAAACAGTTAATAAACGTACTAATTCAGTTGTAGAAATAAATGGGGCAATCCTTTATTCGGTTTGTTAGAATTATTGTAAGAATTGTGCCAGTGCACTAGAATAGTTTTTATTAAATGACTTATCGATAGGTGTATATACGAAACAAATCAGAATAGTTTGAAAGAAGCAGTTAAGTTGCTGTATAATAGAAATTATTTAAACAATATATTGTAACCAAACTAAATATTTAACAATGATTGTAAACAGAAAATTAAAATTTTGATTAAATAATGCACGATGCATTTAAAAAATAATTTATGCATATGATCAATGAAAAAACTTCAACAAATCCAACTCAGATCCATTTAAGGCGAAATAGTGCGTTATAATAACGAACGTGTGGTTGACTTTTATATGGCAACATTTTTTGTAGGGGGGCAACCGTCCCACTAAACGTTGAATTTAATATTAATATTATTATTATGGATCCATTTATCATTCAACTTTCGAGTACACTATAACATTTTATTTATAATTGGAAACATTTGAACATTTTTTAGAAACTTAAGGCATACGAATCATAACTTCGGATAACCAGCAAAACTATTTTTCTAAAGGTGAGTTAAATACTCATACTTTTGACCTCCGCAGCTATTTAACTAAAATGAACTTTGTTGTACCAATCATTCCGATGACAATTAATTATTTATAGGTACTATAACAAAACTTATAAATACCAAATCCTTTTACGAAATCTTTTAGTCAACCTACAACTGACTTTTAAATCAGAACTGTAATATTAAAAATGCGAAACACAATTTTAAAAAAGGACTCTGTTTGAAGGGCAAACTTACAATGCAATATGAACTAAAAATACACAGCATGGCGCCTTGCTGTGCTGGAATTCCAGCAAAATTATATTGTGCTATACATTTTTATGGCAATTGTCAAGCGTTTACAAAAGGATTGCCCTTTTTATGAAGAACGTAGAATTGTAAAGAGGTATAGCAACAAAATTGGTCTGAAAAACAATTCACAAGCAAATAAATAAATAAAAACAAATTTTCCGCCTCATGTTTATTTTGTGGACAACAACTTAACCTGAAAAGCACAAATTGCAAGGTAACCATGTAGTAGAAAAATTTACTTCATTTGAAATTCCTTTAAGCAACTCAAATGATGATTGGCCTTAATTAAGTTTGACACTAAATAATTATTTGCAATTAAGTATGCATAATTAAGAAGTGGGAGCTTAAAAGTCGAATTTCAACTGGATTATGTAAGCTGAATTGTAAAATTTATAAGCATAAAAAATGCTTCTATATGCTACATAAATTTTAGGATGTATACGAGTATTAAGAACGAACAACTCTCCCTCTCTCTTCTCTTGTCTTAGGTGCAAATATAGTTGGCAAACATTGTATATCTGAGTGATGAATGTTCTATTCCAATAAAATACTTGGGTTTTTATTTTAATTTCTACACTTGTTGTACATATAGATGGAGAATATCTTAATGTGGGGGGCACCCGACTTTAGCTTTTCCATCTGTTATAGGAGATGGTACTGATAGAAGCACTTGAGCTCAATATTGATTATCAAAACTAGAAATTCTACAGGTTGGACACTATAAGTCATATATTCGGAGACATAGGGATAAGCTAGCGAAGAAGTAAGTCACAGACAAAGACATGGCCGTAGCGAGGGGGGTGCAAATCAATAATCAATTCATAATGTTTAGTGTGTATTTAGCTCAATGGTCTTCACAATATTTGACGAAATGATAAATTTGAATATTGTGTCAAATTCAAGTTAATCTATTATGTGATTTCTAACATCAACGAATATTCCTCTTCACTTATTGTGCACCAGCGGGGCTCCATTCGGACAAAACGAGTAATTGTGTATTGTTCGACAATGTGTTCACCCGGCTGTTGCACAAATAAACGAGTTTCCAAGCTTAGAAAGACAGTAGATGATGACGCGCCTCCGAAATTAATTGTACCAACACCACAAAGCCTACTCTATAGCTATGAGGCTTGTCAGGAAGCCGCCGATTTCATTACAAAGAACTCGGAAACTCGTCCGAAGTTTGGCATAATATGTGGATCGGGTCTTAACGCACTAGCTGAGATGCTGGAGAACCCGATGGTCTTTCCATTCGCAGACATACCCCATTTCGTAGAGCCAGATGAAGATCATCCGGGCAAAGTATTCGTGGGTACTCTAAGAGGTGCTACAGTTATGGCTATACAAGGACGATTTCAGCTCTACGAGGGCTACACAATGGCTAAAAGCGTAATGCCTGTACGTGTCATGAAGCTCTGTGGTGTCGAGTATCTGTTTAGCACGAATGCGGCCAGCGCAACCAAGTATGCTAAATATATTTAAAATAAAGTATAGCATCTAAAATAGAGTACATTATAGTCCGCAGTACGGAGTCGGTGACATTATGCTGTTGCGGGATCATATAAATCTGGCATATTTACTAACGGGTGTTTCCCCACTGCATGGGCCCAACGAGAAACGCTTTGGTACCCGCTTTCCCGTGCTGGTGGATGCCTACGATCCGACCTTGATTGAAAAAGCCTTGGGGATCAGCAATACTCTGGGCCTGGAGGACCATGTACATGTGGGCATTTACTCATGCCTGGGCGGCCCTTTCTACGAGACCGTGGCCGAGCAAAACGTTCTACAGTTATTCGGCACCGACGCAGTCGGCATGTCGACGGTGCACGAAGTGATTACGGCCCGCCACTGCAATATAAAGGTATTTGCTTTCAGCATAATCACCTCCACCGCCCTGGACTCAGAGGGCAAAACGGAACATCACATGAGTATTTCAGAAGTCACCCATGTTACCAAATTGCGGCAACAGGCCTATTGTGAACTAATCGCACGCCTCATCTATGAGGTGCAGAATGCGGCGTAAAAGGAGGATGGCACGTGGATGCATTTTGGGAATTAAAACGATTGAGTAAACAAATAAAATTCAAGCGTAATTAAATTGATTTCAAATCAAATTGAATTTAAAATAAAATGCTTATTTAACTAAATCTTTTCAATTCACTCGACACACCGAAAATATCACAAAAACAAGACGCTTAAAAATAGCTTATCTATTGCGTTGCTTAGAGTTCCGCCAAATATTGCAGTCAAGATAAACACAGAATAATGTAGATAGGGAAAATCTCGGAAGTGGTGGGGAATACTTAATACCACACTGTCTTTTAAATTTGAATAAACAGACACATAAGTAAACAAATAATTGAGTGTTTCATTGCAATTTTGATTCTGTATTTTAACGTCCGTTCTAATTTAAAAACTATTTTACCTACAAAAGGGTAACATTTCTGATATACTCGTATAGAGAAACATTTGTATACCACCTTTTTGGAGTCTGAAATCAAATATTGGTGAACTTTGTTAAAAAAAAACCCACCATAAACAAAAGTATAGTATGTATAGGATAGAATGTGGAAATTAAAAGACCTCATTTCAATCCTAAGAAATATGGTGAAATCCACTTGTTGATTACACACACTAATGCAAATTATTGATATTGGATGCTTTTATGCGATTTGTAAAATTTGTTGTTTGTTGTAACCACCGATGACGAAAACGTAGCCAAAATATTTGGTGAGACTCAGGCTTGAGCGCCCATTAACAATTATTTGCACACTGCTGGTCTGTACTAGACTTTGTTTATTTAACCCATATTTTCAGGGGCGATTGTTGACAGCTATTGTCCTTTCTCACCCACTTACCCATACCCTGAAATCTGGCAACAACACTCATTGAGAAAACAACCAGGGCATTTTTTTGTTGTTTATTATTTCGTTACTGAATATATATTCAAACTATATATTGTTACTATTTTTAATTATTTTTTCTTTTATTTTTATTTTGGATAAGCACACGTGTATATTATTTGAATTTTTTTTTTTTTTGAATTTTTTAAAGTTTTTAATTTGATATTTTACCTTTTTCCAAAGTTTATTTGCATTTGTGAAAAATATTAATTATTACTTCGATATTAAATTTGTTGTGATATTGTTTGTTCGAATCATTAATGAAAATTGGTTTACCAACATCTAGGAGCAGCCTGCAAATTTCTCTAACTAATCAACAGCTTATCAAAACAATATTCAACAATGTACCAAAAACAAGCATTTAACACTAACACAGATCGGTAACTTTTGTTACTTGTGTTTACTCATATTGGACGTTTCGATCAGACAAAGGTATTGCTATAGTGTATTTAATCTACGCCGAAACAGAGGCAGGTTTTATTTTATTTTCGGCTTTAGTTAGCAATTAATTTACACAATTTAAACTACATTTAATTGACAAACAGCTGTGCCACCCAAATAGCTATGCAATGCTATGGAATAAAACGCGTGACTTAATTAGAATGTAATAGAAATCGCTTTTGGCTCATTTGATATACTCGTACTACTGAAATTCAAATTGGCAGTTTTTAAACGAATTAAAATAATTTAATTATCAGGCAGTAACTAATAAAAGTTTATTTAAGCATAAGAAGATACAAATATAAATACGCGAGCTTTCAAAAATATCTATATACAACTGGTGAATATATAATATATTTGAGCCTGTTAATTGGCCATCTGTCTGATTTAGTCGCAAGTTTGTGTTTGAGGCCAAACAGTCTGCAGACACTCGTACAACTAAATGTCTTGAGTTATGGTAAGTCTTTCGGTAGACACATGTCACTTTTCATTTTCTCTGTAGCCACTTGCCATACAATTTTGACACTTTCTTGAAACTGTATGCTCTGCATTGGGGCGTCAAATATGCTCAGAATAATTTTTGAGCTGTCAAGAAATTGAAAATTGCCATTGCACTACTGTAACTAAAATTCTCTTTGTTCATACTAGCACAAACAACAAACTAGTCATCCAAGTGAAAATTTCAGATAATAATTCCATAAATTACCCGAATAAATGAATTTAACTTACCTTAAATAAACTCCCAAAGTATATGCTGGGTTTTCAGAGCCATTCATCTGGAAGATATAAATATGAATCAATAATAATGATGAAAATGTTTCTACTTTTGTATTTAAATTCTTCCCCATCTCAGTAATTATTTATATAAATTTGGACGATAGAAGTTAAACATAATGTGGGTTCGGAAAATCCGTAAGCATTGATACTTTTAAACAAATTTATTTCTGCTACAGCTGTTAGCCAAACTATCTTGCTAAGCTATGTACTGAAATGCAAGTTGGTGGTACTAAATTCAATTCCGCATATCTAACAACAATAAGCTGCAAACAGTTTTTCTTACCATATTCAAGAAGTCGGTCTGTTTTTATGATTCTTAAGGTTCAATGGCGCAATTATTTTTCGCGCTGCTATTGTTTATAACGAAAAGTGGCACTCGTACCTTTCTAGTGTCGAACCGTGCCACGAAAGGCCTCCGTAGGACACATTTGCTGCTGCTGCCAATTCGACAACCGCTACGGTGCCACTGCCTGCTATGTAGTTTACTCCCTGCCTGCTGGTGTCCTGCGTAGAAAATCGCCATTCCCTGATCACGTTTTGAGCAATTTATATAGATAGTGTTTTTTATGCACATAAATTTTTTTTGGACCGATCGATCGCGATCTCATATTGATATGCAAAATTTAATTAATAAACGTATGCCTTTTCAGCCTTATTTTGGTATATTTGATTAAATATCTACTCTTTAAAACCTATTAGCGGATTTTATATTACTTTTATTTGCTTTCATATCTCCCTTTTTATTTTTATTGCCACAGGTTTATGTGTATGTATGTATGTGTATGTCTGAGCAAAAAACCAGACACGCTGTTGCCGTGCATTAAAAGTGCTTCATAAACTATAATAAGTTGATTAGATTAACCATATACATATATATACATACTTGTATATGTATATATAAATACAAACATGCGTACGCATTTTGTATTTGTTTTTGAACAGCAACGCACACTTTACATACATACATATGTATGCATTTGACTTTATGTCTGTATAAGTACGTACATATATACATACATACATACGTAGTTGCTAAATGATTATCACCTCTTTTTCTACGGCTATTTATTCATTTTTCTACTCATATGTAGACTGTTTTATTAGTCACCTATCACATATTATATTTGCCCAACTATTTATTGGTATTCTTTAAATTGATTAGAGAAAAGTTTTCACACCTGACTACAACTTTTGCGCTAGTGACGCGAATGCGGATTAAACCTGAATGCTCCAGCCATCCATCCCTTCATTCCATTCAGCTAGAATCAAGGGATTTTGCAAAAACCCGCTTATTTATCATAAGCTTACAGAAAGCCTAATATAATAAAAAAAAAAGTGAAGCATGCAACATTGTTGCGCTAATTGGTATGCAAATAGCTTTTAATTAAGTAAATAATGCTTTTCACAACATTTAAGCCTGCGTCATTATAGCAAGTGAGAAAAACACTGAGCTTAAGGCTCATTGCGTGAAGAGGGAATTAAGTAGAAAAGGCTGCCTATGGGATAATTCGACCACAAAAAATTGAGGTGTAGCTGAAAAGCAACAACAACCATAAAAGTTGTAACAGTGAAAATAGTACATACATACACAATATTTATATTAATATTGCAATTCGCATAAAAAATCATTTTAAATTCTACATATTGCACAACATGTCGTATGTGTGATTATTCACGTTCAATGTCTGTGTGTGTGTTTATATGTGAGAGTAGGCCTATCAACGTCATTCAGCCTGACCGCTGCACAAGGTGTAGGACCGATGAAATCTTTCTGTTTTTTTAAATGTATAAAAATAACATAATTAGTTAAATGCTGAAAATGTGGGTGAAATTTTTTCTAGGTTGATGATTACCAACACTCGGAAGTCCGAAATAAAGAAATTGCATTGCTTTGCTAAGGATAGTTGGCACTAATCGGTTTCCGAGAGCAGAAAGGCAATGAAATCCGTGACACATCCGTACCTGTCCTGTGTAACTTAATCTAAAGAATTCAACAAAATCATTACCTCTCTTACTCTTAAGCTAAAAGCAATTGAATGCATTTAATTAATATAAGTTCATTAGCTAAAGGCCCTCGCTGTTATATTAGCTTAATTACTTTAACTAGGTGATAATTTGCAATAATTCGCTTACTTTTTTATAATAATAATAAAAAAACGTTTAAGTTTTGCGTTGCATAGAGAGTTTAAGAAAAATGTACACTTGTGGTTAAGACTAAAGCTTATGTCGTAATAAATAAAACTGCATCCATCAGGCCCACTCAAAATTGGTTTGAAATTGATTGAAGCAACTCAATGAAGTTTTCTTTTCAATGGAGCGCACATCAAAAGTTCTCCTTTCAGTCCTTCGCCTGCAGTGTGCGTGTACACACTCATACTTAATAATCAAACAACCTCTGCCCACATACAAGTACATACATACATAATTTGAGAGCCTTAACAGACTTGGCCGTGCTTGACAACAGCTCGGGCGACGATGACAGCAACAACTACAAAAAGCAATTGTTGACGGCAACCGGCCGCAGTGGCAACAGTTGTCTGTGTGCATGTGTCAGCACACACACGTGGTAAAAAGAAACTAAAAGATGCTCCGTTGACCAGTTTCGTTAATCAGTGTTCTCTTTAACATGACGTCACAATGAGCTCTTCCTAGACACGTACGAAGCAGTGAGCGCGAGTTAATGTAGGTGCTCATTCATTCCACTATGACTGTCGTATAATTTCATGCTCTTTTTTGCTCCCATGTCCAAAATGACGGTCGAATGGTTGCCATTATTTAACTACGTTAACTTTACGTTTAAATCCCACAGTTTTGCAATCAGAGCCGTAAAAGGATCGATTCTGAATCGATTTGTTAAAAATCGAATTGTTTTTGGAAAATCGATTAGTGGTATAAAGTCAAATGCAGATAAATTAAACAATTAAAAATGACGCTGATGACGTATGATCCCATCAAAAATTATAATAAAATTGCATTTTATTCGGTCAAAAATGGAAAAAGATCGATGCTGTCAACATCGATTATTTCGTGGCTCTTCTGTCAATTAGTTAACTAATTAGAATTAGTAATATTTTTCTCTTAACTGACAGTCCAAAATGGTAACAATTATTTGTACGTCACAGAGCTTATAACGACGCACCTGCGAAATGAGAGTTAACAAATTGCAGTCGTTAATGGCTTACCTGGTAGTCTCTTTCTACCATGCATGTACATTTATGTACGTATGTATGCGTGACGAGTGAGTTAAAAGAGCCTGAGTAGCATTATTTGATATCAAAGTAGACAAAGCTAATAATTTTATTTTAAGGTTCTTTATTCTGATGCGCTTCGCTGCTTTGAAAGCAAAGAAAGTTGTTCCAATTAATTGGCAAAAAGTTTTCAAGTAATAAGACGACTATTCATGTGTGTGCGAATATATGAACATACATACATACATGCATATGTATGTATAGCTTTGAACATTGCACAGCACAAAATATTGCTTTGCAATAGTCATTTCACTATCTCATATATACAAGTATAGTATGTTTGTGCGTAAACGTACATGCATATGTATATTCAAAAAAGTTTTGATAATATTCTGCCTATTCACGATTTATTATATAGTATATGTATATTATCATATGCATGTACAGACCTACATACCTACATACATACAGCTGTGCTCAAAATAATAGTAGTGCTTTCATAAAAATTTAGTTCGTTCAAAAAATGTATGAAATGGTGATTTAATAAACTTAAAATAATTTGTATTGTTAAGTATGGTATATTAACAAGTAAATTATAAAGAAATAATAACAAATTCTGGTCATATAACAATTTAAATAATTTTTTTTCCAAAACTTTATTAATTTGGTCGCTCAAAATAATAGTAGTGTTTCATTTGTTGGCCTCTTACTTGTCCCAACTGATCCAAATAATACGGTTATTATTTTAATTACTCATATTAGGACTTTCTAAATAATATTAGTATTTTGTAGCATAGCCATCGTGTGCAAAAACTACAGCACATCGCTTTGGCATGGAGTCCACGGGATTGTGACATCTTTGAGAAGGAATGGAGCTCCAAGCATGTCTAGCTGGTCCCCAAACCTATTCAAAATTAGTTGGTTTACTCTTGGCAACTTCCTTCTTTACATCGTACCATAAATTCTCAATCGGGTTGAGATCTGGAGACTGTGCCGGCCATTCTAGTACATTGATCCTGTTAGTTTGAAACCATTGTTTGGCAACATTACTTGTGTGCTTCGGATCATTTTCCCGCTGGAATACCCAAATCAGTGGCATTTCATCAATGGCATATGGCAGCATAATATTCTGCATTATATGCACATAAAGGTGGCGATCCATGACATTCCGGAGCCAATATAAGGCCCCGTGCCGTAATATGAAAAACTGGCTCATATCATAATACGAGCTCCTCCGTGTTTTACGGTTTTCGTGGTGAATCGAGGGTGCCATTCAGTGTTTAGTGGCCGCCTAACATACTGATGAGACCCAGTTCCACCATAAAGCGTGATTTTCGATTCATCTGACCACAAAATGTTTCTCCATTACTGCACTGGCCAATCAATGTGGTCTTGTGCAAATTTAATTCGTCTTGCCAGATGTTTTTTTGTGAGAAGGGGCACTTTCCTTGGACTCCGAGCTGCCATATTATTTTGCAGTAGGCATCTCCGTATTATTTGTGTACTTGTATGGAGATTTAATTCATCTATTATATCGGTAGAGCTCGCAAATGGGTTCTGCCTAAAGTATCTCACTACAAGGGTCGCCAATTTATCTGACATAGCGCGAGGTCTTCCACGTGCTTAGGGGCCTGGGATAAATTTTATACCATTACACACCATTGTAGGAGGACAACCTACTATATTTTGGACTTCATTGTAAGTTTTTCCCTCAGATATCAATTTTTGAATGAGTGCACGTCGTTCAGGAGCGCAGTGCTTGGCTCTACCCATTTCAGAAAGAAAAAACAAACTAAAATGTGTATTGGAAACTATTGTAAGCTATTAAAAAATAATAGAACTTACTATTAGCAACTTTTCGTGAGCTTAAGGAGCGACACACTTAATATTTTTGAAATGTTTGTGCAAGCACTACTATTATTTTGAGCGCGTAGAATAGGGACTAGCTGTGGAAAATGCAAATAACAACAACAACAAGTGCACAAAAAGCTAAAGTAAAGCGTCATTTTATTGTGCTCTTGTTGTAGATCACATAGGTAGAAAGAAAGGATTAAAAATGAAAGGAAACACAAAAATGCGAACGGTAGAACGTAGTGAAAAATATCACTACTATTATTTTGAGCACAACTGTACTTAGAATGTACATGCAATGGTTTTTGTACCCAAAATTGTATTGATAAATAAACTGGTTTCCAGAATATCGGAATTAAGTACCACAGCGTCAGAACATATTCTCTTAACTGATATATCAGATATAGTGTGAAGAAATAAAGCTAAATATACCATGCATTTTGCATATCTGAAAAAAGTAATTCGTTTGTTTGAGAAAGTTTAATCGTAGGAATGAAGAAAAGTCGGCTAACATCTACATATTCCGGAAATTTGTCTTTCAGTTTTTTTCCATTAATTTAAACCGTAGAGAGCACTCAAACATTCTAATGAAATTTGTCCCATATGGCATTGAGCTATTCACACAAACGTACGCAAACATACATACATATTTCTACACATAATACATACAAGCAACAACAAAATGGCTCGTTATATACTCGAAAATAATAATATTTGTACACACACACACACGCACGCACATACATAGACACAACGCATGTAAGCGCTGGCAAATAACAAGAAACACCAGCACAAAGAGGAACAGAAAAATATGTTGCCGCTGCCTAATTTAGATTTGCGTGCGGTAGGTCAAGAGCCAATTTCCTCAAAGAATTTGCTTGCCACACGACCGAAAAGCTTGTGGCAAAAATACAAAACCAGTGAGTGCTGTAAAATTGACATGAGAATATAGTATATATGTATATACGTCAATAAAGAAATTTCCGAGTGTGTATACCTTGTTTGATATCTTTTTTGTATGGCTAAAAACATATTAAGACTTCGTTCTTATTCTTTTTAGTGTGTATGTACGTGTATGTTTGTTACACCCAGTTATAGGTACATATGCATATCTGTGTGCAGTTAAGAGTTAAGCCAAAGCAGCAACAAAAACAACAGCTGCTGACAGAACTTGGGCAGAGAATGCATGAATGGCTTTATCTTCCTTTAAAATGAGCCTATTTTGATAAAACTGACAAATTTGAATAACAAATACCAAGAATTGCAGGAGTTATGCAAAATTTAGAAATACTTATGCACTTACTATACAAGTATAAATCACTTATAACGGGAAGTTGGCGGTGTATCAGTAAATTTCCTGTTTTAGCTGTTATAGTCGACAGGCAGAGCTAAATCGACTAGTCTTGTCTACTTTGTCGGACCTGTCCGGCATCTTTTCATTTTTCAGTTTGCACAAACCTACCTGTACCTTTCAGGTACAAAGTATAAAAATGGCAAAATGCACTTTCAACAGGCCCACCAAACGCAAACTTATGTTAACCACAACTTTTCATATCCTGTTTAAGTGAATTATCCGCAGACTCACACGAGAACATAACGAAACGCGTTTGTGGTTTTGGATCTGGAACAAAACAGTATGAGCTACAAGTATTTTCCAGCATTCGCCCAACATTCTTCGGTCAAAACGCCCACGCTAGACAATTGTCTGCTTCATCAACAAGTTTCCAAAATCCTTGCAGAACAGCATGTGATTGTGTGTGTGCGTGTGTGTGTGCGATTCGGTTGTTTTGTGGTTTTTCTTTCATTCAAAATGCAAAATTTCGTTTACCAGATACTGACAGTGACGGCTTGTGGCAAGACCGAAGCGAAGTTATTCATGGGCTGGGCTCAAAAATCCTTCGATTGCTGCAGGAAGTAAAGCGAAATAAGCTATCGTGCATACTCCTACGTAAGGGTATAGTTTATTTGATTTAAAGTGCGACAAATACAGACCATTTTCATTTAGTTATGGAAATGCATTGAATTTTGTTGATTACACATCATTTTCATTTCAAACAAACAAGAACAGGTGTAATAAAAAATGTATTTAAACCATAGCCATAAATGCGCATTCATATTTGTATGAAAAAACAAAATCCTATTGGGCATCAGGCTTACACAAAATTGTCATATGAAATAAATCTGTTATTTTTTAGCCGAATGTAGAATATCAGTATTTATGAATGCATTTTCACAGAACAGGAAAAAACAAACAAGTTCGCAGAATTAATACTCATTTTGGCAAACATGCACGTTTACCTTCTGAAATTACATTTCTATTAAATTTTTTTTTTATTATTAACAGTTCGGCTGCAATGTAAAATGTACAGGCGAACAAATCTTTAGATATAGCTACGAGGCCTTAAATTTTAAATTTTACACTTTGCTGAAAATCGTGTGGGTCTATTTAAAGCTGCTTGTTTATTATGATTTTAGCCCTTTCTTTACCACAAATTTGTCTCTCACTGAAATCTAAAATATTCGCAGTTCTTATAGCAGTTGCTTCGATTTGCAGTGCAAAAAGCTTACTATAAAGTGGACAGTGCTTCTCCCGAAAAATTGCTGTAACTCCGTGCTCCTGCGTGAACAATATGCAGAAAAAAAATATTACTATACATATTATTTGGTTTAACAGCTTGGGCAGAGAATACATAGATCTTCATATCAAATTGACCTATCATAATAAAATGCAGCACATAATCAGTAACTAGAGGTGTTTTATTAAAAAATACCGAAGTTATGGAAAATCACTTATAGCGGGGGAGTCGGGCAAAACGTACAAAGTTCTGTGTCTCTAGGTCTTATAGTCTCTCACATCCAGGTGGTCATACGGACGGACAGACAGGGCTAGGTCGACTCTTATATCATGCTGATCAAGAATATATATGTATATACTTTGTGAGGTAGGCCACGCCTCCTTCTGCCTGTTACATTTTTCACTTTCCACAAACCTAATATACTCTCTTACCTGTCAGGCACAGAGTACAAAAATAAATAGATTGATTTTGGGTGTAATCAGGACCATTTTTAACGTTATAAAATTAATCAAATATTTTTAATTAACAAGCAGGGAGTGAAAATCAATTCAATAGATTCAATTACATTTTAGCGAACCACAATAATTATTTCCATGCGTAATTTGTGGAAAATGAGAAGAAAAAAAATGGAATGTCAGTAAAATGTGATTAAAATTTCAAGTGATTGTGCAGCAAAATATTATATAAACAAATAAGCAAAAACACAAAAATAAATAACAACAAAAAGTAAGAAAGAAAGAAACATGTGTCGCAGCATTAAAGTACTTAATAAATGCTTAAAAATACAGCTAAAAAAAAGATAAAATGCAGGCAAATATAAGAAGTAAGAAAGAGAAGAATGGAGAAATTGCTGCACGTTTCGTTAAACAACATTTAGTAACTGTAAATACAAAAATTGAATAATTACACTAGTCAGCAAACCCAATTTTTGTAATTATTCTAAGTTTTTGTGAACAAATCGAATTTTTTAGTTCTGTGTCTGTACGACGATATTTTTGAATGAATTATTAATAAGATAGCACATACATATGTATGTATATTCTTAAAAATTATTCGATATAAATTTCCATTTCCAAATACTTATGTACATATGTTTGTATATTCGTATGAATGGAAAAATATTAAGAGTATAAAAACTACATAAGAGCATGATTAGGGTTTTTAAAATTCATTCCACAGCAGGCGGCTGCGAATAGCATTAAAAAAATACCATATAAAAGAGCGCAATTGAATTAATTATTTTTAAATGACAGATCATATTGTTAATTCTGTTGCACTCTTGCCCAACGGACGCACAAATCTAGGTATGGAAAGTGCATTACGAGAGATCTTAAGAATAATAAATAAGTTAAAATTATTTTTATGAACATCCAATTTCTAGAAATATCACTTAATTTATGTATATCTAGAATAGTTCAATCTAAACTTACCACTCAGTGATGTTGCAGAGTGCTCTGTCAATGCCAATTTATTCGTGATAAAAGCCGACATATGTAACAGTTACAACAGATATCGAGTCTTTATCTCTTTTGTTCTCTTCTTGGGCTCAGATCACTTTAGTTGTCTGATACGGCAATAAAGTGCCACAATTGTTACTTTTTTCAATACCGATATCGCACATATGTATGTATGTATATGTATATATAAATATATTCATGTGTTCGAGTTTTAATGACCAATGTTCAGTATTCTTTAGTTCGCTTTAGTTAAATTTTCTCATACATAGCCCAGTAAAACAAAACTCCAAAATTGAAAAACAAAAGCCAAATACAATGTAAAAATACTGTGGAATATATATATATGTATATATGTACATGTATTTATAGAACAGTTTTTAAAATAGAAACGTTGCACGATTATGTAGTTGTATTGCTTTCTTATACATTTTTATGCGCATATGTATATTTTTTGTATCTTCCCAACAGCCAACCCGACGGCACACTTACAATTTATGTGATTATGGCCAGAATCAACACGTGGATTTGGCGCGCTTTTTCACAGTGAATAGACGGAGGAAACCGGAAAAAAGTAAAACGAAAAGCCTTTATTTTCAAACACAGCATATATTATAAGTACACAGATTGTATAAATTATAAAACCTACATATATAGCATATTCTGCAACAATAACGTTCAATTTGTTTATGCTGCTAAAAATATATGCCCATTGCTTTTGATTTTTATTTTGAATTTTATTTTTGATACACGCGCGATTTGAAACAGAAATTTCTGCCGTAATTTTCCATGCAATAACAATGATTTCAGCTTATATTTTATCGCCAATTCTTTTGCTTTTACGTTTTATTCTTGTTTGTTTCTATCGCCTAATTTCTCGCCTTGTTTTTGTTCGTTAAATTGTTTTTTTTTCTTTGTTTTTTTTGGCCTGTTGCTGTTGGAAGAAACAAAAACTATTCAGATACGAGTATGTATGTGCATATAAGCGACAAAATTACAGCACACCCTACTGTAAGAAGAAATTTGAAATTTACCAAAACAAAAATAAAACAGCAAAAAACCGAAACGACAACAACTTTATGTGTTTGTTGCTATTCTGACTATGAGTTGTGTCTATATATTTTTGGCTTTTAGAGCTGTAGATTGTAAGCTAAGTTAGACTTCAACGCAGCTTCCTGGGAAAGTCCAACAAAAAGCACAACCGAACGCTGGCGCGGACAAAATCAAACTAAAACTTGTAGAGACAACCAGCTGGCTGTTTGCCTGACGGCGCTAGTTCGTAAACAAGCAACAGCAACACGACCGTTAAAACAACAACACAACATGTTGCGAGCAGTCTCTTGGTCTCGGCAACCACAATTAAACGAAACACAAACGCGCATACACACTTATACACAAGCGGGCATTAAGCTTATTACGAACGTGGCAGTCACAGCTTTATAAGAGAAAGAGCATGAAAGCAAACGTTCGGCTCAATAAGCTCATACATATATACGAGGGCAGTAGCTTTCATTTCTGAATCAGGCAGTAATGATATGTACATATTTAATAAAGACAATTTTTATAAACGTCTCATCATTTGAAAGAATGAACTAGGATGGAGCGCCATACTTGTCTGAATCGGACAAAATCATGTATCCAATCCCCCAAGATTATATTATTATAAAAAATGTGTAGTTATATTAAAATTACTTAAATACAAAAAAATAAATTAAAAACATACATATGTGTAACACACAGCTATACTAAAACAAGGACACATAAGCACTACCTCCACATGAAATGGTCAAATTAATCAAACGACCAACGACCAAACGACGACGAAACCAATAACTATAGGAGCTATGAGAAGCAATAATAGTTAGACAGTGAGAGAACACAAGGGTACTTTATCTAGATCTTATACTTTTGTATATTATACTATTGTTGTCCCATGTACAGGGTTAAACAAAAAACATTCTAAAGCAAAAATAAAACAACAAACACCAAACTCGTGACCTAAGAGAATCTGGATACCAATTTTGGTTACTCTAACTCTTATACTTTCTGAGATCCTGAACTAAGAAGGTAGGTAAAAAGGGATGTAAGGAAAAACACGACAATGAACAAAAATGCGTTCTTACTACTAACACATCTACCCTCGCATTGTTTGCTTTTTTCGTTTTGCTGCTGTTTGCCTGCATCAAGATGCACTCTACTCCCCCAGTCTCTGCATTGAATGTTGTAAGCACATGAAAACAATGTATATGCATGTATGTATATGCATAGATGTATTTATGTGAACTCACAAATTAAATTTAACAGTGTATTTATATGTGTTGTTCGGCATGTGCATGTGTACATAGATATCACCTGTTATCAACAGTGTAATAGCTCATTACAAATACATATACAAGTATATATAAATAAGTACATAATATATTAATTGAATTTGTTTTTATGTGCAGGTAATAGTTGGGGATATAGTTTTTAAAAGGGATTTAATTTTACTTTCTTAAACTTCTTTAAGTGTATATGTACATAGTACATGCATATGTATGTTTGTATGTACATGTAGACAGCAACATCGTCTAACGAGAGAGAACGAATCTGTTTTTCATATGTTTGCCCTCCGCCCACTCTGTTTGAACTGATACGCGTATCGAAGTGCACAGCATGGGTGTGGGCGGGGAAGGTGATGAGGTTGACGCAAATGCAAACAACAACAGATGCCTATCTACATGGTAAAAAAAAGAAAGTATGGCAATAAAGTTTCGTCGTTGTTACTCTCATTGCACTGGTACGTCATAATAAACTTAGCATAAGCTACGCATGATTGAGTGAGATAATCACAAAAGTGTGCAACTGTGGCTTCCATTTGCGCTCGCCTATTCAAATAGTTAGAGTGCATATGAAACCTAATATCTTGCGTTAAATCAAAGAAATTAAACAGTCTAGCTACACAAAACTCGCACACAAAACATTATGGCTATGCCTGTGACATCACACGAAGAGAACTCAACCTGTCGGACGAGCGCAGTGCCATACTTGTACATTAAAGCTTCTTTGTACCATGACCAATGTGTGGATTTTGTCACTGTTCGGTGATATTGCTGTTGCGTCTGTTGGCGCCCTGGATAGGCCATTCCCATTAACAGTGTGCTCCACACTTGTGGATCTATGTATGTGTGGGTAGGTAAGTGCATTTGTGTGCGCGTTTCCATGTACAGATGTATGTATGTATATATGTATTTACATGAAGCGTTAATGCAAAGTGGCAATGGAAACAACAACGACAATAGCATCAACACATTGACGAAAATGTTTGTGTTGTTTGCTCCTATAATAGGCCGCTGCCTATAAAAATAGTAACTCTTATTACAACGCATCCAGAGTGGCCATTCAAACAATGCCCATGGGCCATGTTATTGCTTTCGCGAGACATTGTTTGCTCTTTTCCGGCTCGATGCCTGAACAAGGTGTTAATCGGTGATTTATTATTAATTGTCTTTTAAAAGCAGCAAAAAAGGGTCGATTAAATATATACATACATATGTATATATGTACATATGTATGTACGGGTATATGTATACATAGTATGCAACTGAATGTTTTGAGCATTCAAACAAGTTTTCTCATTTTATTTATACATACATATGTATGTTTATTAATTATTATTATTATTTGTTGTATAGTATGTACACCAGACTTAATTCACATGCTCTTATCAGTAATTTAACTGATAACTTTTAAGAACACTTCTACACACATTTATACATATGTATACATACATATGTACATATACATTATATTTTTATATTTATTTTAAGCTGATTTCAAATACCCTATAGAATTGTCTTTATAATCGGTTACAAATATGCTCCTAAAAAATACAATTATAACAATTGTATTATACTAAGTATGTTCAAGAAAGTAAGTATGTATGTATGCTTTTGAAATTGCTTTTGAAAACAATTTATTATAATTTTTAGTAGATGGCTTGTATCATAACCCGAGACTGTTTGGTTGAAAAAACATTTCACCATTTACACCATATAATCTCAGTTTGAAGATGTCAATTGTGCCTCAGAGACATCTGGCATCTATTTCCTAACAAAGAAAACATAACTATTTTAAAGGGCATTGCATTTGAGTCTGAACCTTTGTGCTTAAGTGTACATATTTTTCGGTGTATAAGAATAAACATACTTTTTAAAAAACTCTCCCTGATTCTAGCACGGTTATATTTCTTTCTTCATTATTGATGCTCTGGTCACATGTGCGCTTACACCCATACATGTACATACATTAACCATAGTGCCACTGTCGGCGACGATGACCAGATAACAATTGAACGATTTGGTGTTGAATCTAATATGATTCATAATGCCGAAATGACAAAGTATTCATAGGTCTGTCAGAGGTCAAGTGGCAATTTGAGTATACGAGTTTACATTTAATATTTTCAGCCTTAGTTCTAGATGTTTCTTAAAAATATATACATATATATGTACTTACATTAATAATTTAATTTGTGTCAGCCCTTTTCAAAACGATAATATAACAGCTTAAATAAATAAAAGCTGTATCTGTAGTTTGACATTTAATTGCATTTCCACCGGAACCCCAACGCTCCCATATAAAAAGAGAAGCTGGACTTTTAAACCTCTTTCCAAAACAAAATCCTATTCATATCGTGTCTTTGATACGAGCCCAACTTCAATGTCCTTTACATATGGGTTCAAACAAATGTGTGTTCCGTGCACTGTCTGTTCGGTGTGTACACTGTTAAAAGTATTTAAGTCTTCAGCTTGTATCGCACAAAAAGAGCCTGTTTTAGAAATATTGTACCTTGGGCATCTTTTAAATTCTACTTTTGAAATTAGTTTCATAGGTGTTCATAATTTAATTAACAATATTTAACTGTTTAGAGCCTATCAATTGTCAACATCGCCAAACAAACATTGCCAAAATGAAATTATAAAATTCAAATCAATTTTTACAAAAAAAAATTTTAAACTCCCAAAAAGAAAAAGTGTGCAAAGATGACCGATGTGGACTATAATTGAGCTAAATGGTCAATTCATTTTCTAACCTATTTAAAATTAGACTATATATAGACTATAGACTAATAAATAACAGTGGTTCCCAAGTGATTCCCTATTTTGATTTTTTGAGGGCTACTTGTAAAATAGCACCAATTTATGTGAAAATTTTTCGCAAGCTTGCCCGAACCTTAAGCTTGCTTAATGTTTGAATAGCTAGCTCAAAAACCAAATAAGTCTGAGTATGATATACTTGAATTTACTATTACTTGTACAATTTCATATATGTATTTATTTAATACTTGATTGAAAATATCTACTCTTACATCTAGCTTTAACACAGATTAAATTTAAGAAAGAATCATGACCACATAACATATTTAGCTTTTGCGAAAACAACGAGTGTCAATTGGAATGGTTTTCTAGCTAAGCTCTGTCGTTTTTCTGAGTGTATACCTGCATATTCGCACCTCCGGCTTTCATTAACATTTTGATTCTGAATGACGCAGAAGTTGTCGCTTCGTTGCTCAGTCTGTCGCGGCTTTTGATACATGCATAGTCGATGCAAAATCTACCAATAAAGCTGTCTGCCTGGCCAGCACACGATAGGTCTTTTAATAGGCAAAAAAACCAATGGTAACAAAAACAAACTAACAACATTGTTGCTGACAGGGCCGTTAATCTGCTGCACAAATTGTTCATAAGTAGATTTGGTTTCAATGACTGGCCAACACTCATACACACGGAAACCATTACTTACAGCCTATTCCCGTGGCTGTTTATGTATGTATGTACATATATTACCCACATTTTTTAAAGAACTTTTTAAATTGCTTACGAATTTTCTACATGTTTAACTAAACTTTGTATAAACATATATTCCAAAAATTTGTGGACTATTTGAAGATTAACTATTTATGTTTTTGTTTATAGCTAACAACAAGAAAGTGACACACCTACATAACATATGAAATGGTTGGAAACAAGTTTGTAAGTAGAACGACAATAATGTTTTGGGCTTAAATAATTAAAAGACAAACAATTTTAAATTCAGTGTCAATGTTTTGTTTGTTTTTAAAATCACCAGTAGAGAATTTGTTTGTTCAACAAACATACATATGTTGTATGTTCTGTGTTTTTATCATGATTGGAGGTGTGGATAATTTCAACGCAGGTTATATAGACGGCAAGGAGAGTGACTGCCGCAATCCAACTTAGGTTTTCCAATGAGTTTTATTTTAAAAATTGTCAACTACAATAGAATGTAAACTGTTCTTTGCGCATAACGATACAATACAAGTATATCAAGTAAATTACTAGAAACATTCATTTTAATTTGATTCGCCTTTTTAAAATATCAAATGAATACCAAACCAATTAAAGTAATATTAATTAAAATAAGCTCGGTAACAAATGTCATTTTAAATCTAAGCCAGTTGGCGCCTTATTTTCTGAACACCCATCACTATTTCTGGAGAACAGCTGACAATTGACTATTTGTGCAGCCCTGGGTGACCAAATGATTTGGGGCCAGCCGACAACAACAACTTCGGAGGTGCACTTACATTTTCCTCATAAAAAATATAAAAAACAGTGCAATGGCGCCGCCAAAAACTAATAACCGCAACACGGGGCGTCGCAAGAAATCTCCATCTAATCTTCTGGAGTCCCTGCTCGATAAATATGTAAATCTGAACTTTCTCAAATATCTCATATTCGAGCCGGCTGCCATTCCTATCATAGCGATACTAATCGTTATGACAGAGGCTTTTATTAACATGCTAGTTATACATCGAGTGCCATATACGGAAATTGACTGGATCGCCTATATGCAGGAATGCGAGGGCTTTCTTAATGGGACCACCAATTATGCTCTGTTGCGTGGTAAGTACACGTTGCCCCCCGATTTATTTTTGGATACCAGCTGCCGGCCCACACACATACATACATACATAGAATGTACAAACATACGACTGCCTGCTTGATTTATTTTTCTTTCGTCAACATTTTTGGGACATCTAGCCCAACATAATGTTGACAAACCTTTCACTTACAATAGAATTAACATTGGATTTATGTGAAATATAATAACTACATAACACTTCCAGGAGCAACTCAGTTGAACATGGATTTGATTTTGTTTATGAAGCCTCCGCTTTGCTCCGCTCCGCCTGATTTGGTTGAATCTTCGTCTTGCTCTTTCGCTGTCGCGCTTGTTTCGCTCGTGGCTCTTTCATTGGTGATGGGCTCGTCTGGTCGCTGCTGAGTGGCCTCACTTGCTCCTGCTTTGGCATTGGCATTTGCTCCACTCTCATTTGATTCACTCGGACCTGCGCTGCAACGAGTCGTGGACGAAACAGAAAAAAAGTTCATTCAGCAACTTTATATAAATGAAGGCGCATATATTTTTAATGCAATCGACAACAGTTAATTGGTTGATTTGCGGGTTGCATGGGTTTGGAATAATTTGTATTTACGTTGCTTTCTTACTGCCGTCTTTTCTTTGTGCGATGCCGTGAATTTGTCCGGGTGTGTCCGTTTCCAGCTCGGCGTATGCTTCTACCAGTGCGCGCTGCTCTTTGCTTAGCTTACGCGGCACGTCGATCTTAATGTGAACATAGTGGTCTCCATGTCCATGCGCATTGACTCGCTTCAATCCCTTTCCACGCAACGAAATCCGATTATGTGATGAGGTGCCAGGTTCGATGTTAATCCACTGATCCTCGTAGACGCCCTGAACTCTAACAGTGCCCCCCAAAATAGCCTGAGATAGGGAGATAGAAACATCGGTGTGCACATCGGCGCCATCGCGCTTAAAGTAATCGCTGCGCTCCACTCTAAAGGTTACAAAGAGCTCCTTGCTGCCCACCTGCATGCGCACAGTTTGTCCATTTTCAATGCCTGCCGGCACAGGAACAGTCACCTTTCGTCGCTGTACCGTTCTACCTTTGCCCTCACATTCCGCGCAAGGATATTTGATGTATTGGCGCGTTCCCTGACAATAACGGCATGTTGAACGCATGACAAACGGGCCTGTCGATATCGTCTCGAATCCAGTACCATTGCAGTATTGACAACGCCCTGGTTTGGTGCCGGGCTCGCACTTGGAGCCCGTGCACTTGGGGCAAGTATCGACAACATTCACATTTACGTCTTTATTAACGCCACGCGCTGCTTGCGCAAAGGTCAAATCCATAACAATCTCTTGTGCCTGTCCAAAACCAAATTTGGAGTCAGCAAAGTCATCGAAACTGTTTGAGCGGAAGTTTCCTTCACCGAAGATTTTACGAAACAGCTCCTCTGGGTCAATCGAAGAGCGGAACTGCCAGCTTTGTGAAAATCCTTCTGGACCGAAAGGACCACCGCCTGCACCACCAAAGCCGCCGCCTTGCCGGCTCATATTCTCGGCCGTTTGGCCGTAAGTGTCGTATTCACGGCGTTTCTGTTCATCGCTAAGCACTTCATATGCCTCGGAAACTTCTTGGAATTTTTTGTTAGAATCCGGATCGTCCTTATTAGTGTCCGGATGGTATTTCTTTGCCAGCTGATAATAAGCCTTTTTGATGTCCTTCCCATTGGCATTCTTTGCCACGCCCAGTATTTTGTAATAGTCCTTGGCGTTCAAGCGGCTGGAACGGTGGAAATTTCGTGTTTGCTGCTGCATTTTCGCTACCGACGTCGTGGTCGGCGCTTTTTGTTGCTGTTGCCTTTGCCATGCTGCTGCAGTTGCTGCCGTACTTAAGGTCAATTGCCGGCGGTAAAGCGAGACAGCCAAAGATGAGCGACAGACTCGGTTAGGCACTTGACGCAACACGAGGAAATTTTTACACGAAATCATTGTTTTTATAAAAGAATTAATCTATTTTTGCAGCTAGCAACATGCCGTAAACGTAAAAACATGCCGTAATTTTCACTTTGACATTTTGACAGTCACAGCATTGCGTAAGCAATATTGTTCAATTCACAATAAGTGCAACACATGCGCCCAATCAGCTGGTATGCGTGCTAGGAACACGATAAGACCAGGGATGCTTTAACATAAAACCAGATATCGAACTGATAACCGTTAACATTAACTGTTTAAAAAATTAAATATATACATATGTAAATATATTTTTTGTATTACATGATAAAACGTTTATCCTTTGCAGGTGACACCGGTCCTTTAGTGTATCCAGCTGGCTTTGTGTACATATATTCTGCCCTTTACTATATAACAGGGCATGGCAGCAATATCCGAATGGGTCAATATATCTTCGCTGGCATATATTTGTTGCAAATGTGGCTTGTATTGCGTTTATATGCGAAAAGTCGCAAGGTGCCACCGTATGTGCTGGTGCTAAGCGCCTTTACATCGTATCGTATTCATTCGATCTATATTTTGCGACTGTTCAATGATCCCGTTGCCATACTCTTGCTCTATGTGGCTATCAATCTTTTTCTGGATCATCGTTGGACCCTGGGAAGCGTTTTCTACAGCCTTGCGGTGGGAGTCAAAATGAACATATTATTGTTTGCGCCTGCTCTGCTGCTCTTTTATCTGGCTAATCTGGGCGTAGCCAAGACGCTTATGCAGTTAAGTGTGTGTGCAGCAACACAATTAATTCTGGGTGCTCCATTTCTGCTGACCTATCCGCTGGAATACTTACGTGGCAGCTTCGACTTGGGTCGAGTGTTTGAGCACAAATGGACAGTGAACTACAGATTTCTATCCAAAGCGTTCTTCGAGGATCGCAAGTTTCATATTTCATTGCTATTCATGCATCTTCTGCTGCTTCTGTACTTTGCCAAGCCCACCTGGACATTTTTCAAAAGCTATGTTCGCCTTCGGGAGCTGCAGAAGCAACTGCAACCACAGTTGGCACGTAAAAATCTCGAGCAGCAGGCGAATATAAAAGCAAAGAAGTTACAAAGGAATGAGCAGCCACAACCGGAGAAAGAGGAGCAGTTTAGTAATGACCAGAAGACCTTTCTCAAAACGTTAGAGAAAAGTTTGCAAAAGGCATCGGGTCAGAAGGCGCCACAGCAGATTGCGCCTGCGCCCACCCAGGAATCCGCAGAGCGCTACGGCATACACTTTGACCAGTGCACCCAATTGGCACTCTTGCCCTTCTTTTTGTGCAACTTCATTGGCGTTGCCTGCGCACGCTCCCTACACTATCAATTCTATGTCTGGTACTTTCACTCGCTGCCCTATTTGGTTTGGTACACGCCCTTTTCTCTGGGCGTACGGTATCTGATCTTGGGGATAATCGAGTACTGCTGGAATACATATCCAAGTACGCATGTATCCAGTGTTGCACTGCATCTCTGTCATCTGCTGCTCCTGGTGGGCGTGGGACGTCAGTTCTTCAAGACTGTCAGACTCAATACAGTCGTGAATAAGCAAACAGCTAACATGAATAAGCAGAATGGTCAACAAACTCCGACGACACTGACGGCTAAGAAGACGCAGTAAAGAAAGATATTTGTACGTGTATATTAAACAATAAAAAAATTTCTTTTAAAATCCTTAAAGCGTTATACATATGTATTTAGTCTTTCATTTGTTTGTATTGGTACTGTACAGTTTGGGAATTGGCTACCAACTCATCCAGACCGGATAGAAAAATCCCACTTAGAACTAATTTAAAATTTAACTTAAATAATAAAGTCCAGTTAAAACTACAAATGATACAATTGACGACACGAAAGAGGATCGATCCTATTAGATCTTTTGGATATACCTGCTTATGAAATGATATGCCACAAATTGCTATCAATTTTTAATTTGTAGCAGCTACTATTGAAAGTAATACCAATTTAAAAAAATGGCTGTGAATTAGAAACAATTTCATGCAAACAGCTAATTTGCAAAGTAAAACAAATGCCCGAATCGCTTCTCCTTACAGTGTTTTAAAATTAAGCTAATTAAGCACATTGGTAAACTTTTTTTTTTGTGTGCCAACTTAACTTAATCACATGAAGAACTGCGCAAACCGTCTCTGAACAATATTTGTAAATTTAATAAAGATTTCAGCAACGCTTGCGTGTCAATTACCCACCGTAGTAGTTGTAGGAGTGTGTGTTGTTAGAGGAGGAGCAGTTGGTGGACTTGGCGAAAGCGGTGGAACATCATCTACACCGATGTTGGCACTTCCATCGACATCCACCTCAACAGTCTCCCGAATGACATTGGTGCGCTGCACGCTGAAGAAACGCAGGAGCGTTGTCTCGCTGTTCCGCCGACTTGAAGTAGGAGTGCGGGGTGTGCCAGACCCACCCGTACCATCGTTATGTGAGGTGCGACGCCGTGGTGTGGCCTGCAAACGCGGGCTGCACTCAGAGTTACGCAAACTCTTTAAACGCGGCGAGGCCAGTACGTCGGCAGTAACACACGACTGCTGCTCCTCGTTAATTTTCTCGCTCAGTGAAAGCGGCGCTCGTACGCTGGTCATTAGCTTCTGTTTGCGTATTTTCGTTAGCCAGTCTACTTTTTCTTTGGCCTTACGTTTGGGTGACATAATCCCTAAATGTGGCGCCTCTCCATCCAGCACGTAGTTGGGTAAATTCGAAGTGGGCGAATAAATGCCATTACTGGACAGTAACAAGGACTGTCCAAGCGGAGAGGAGGCGGACGAATATGCTGATGCAGCGGCTGCTGATGTCGTTGGTGGCGAGGTGTAGATGTGATTGATATTTTCACTTAGTGGTGATGGCATATTAGCGACGCTATATGCTTTGCTTGATGAGGACGACAAAGGTGATACTTCTTCGATTGTGTTCTCCTGATTGCAAGTCATATCTGAGCTCCGTTCTTCTGGTGCTCTCAGGGGCAGGGGATCATCCTCTGCAATCGCTGGCAATTGTATGTGTCGGCATGAAGGCTCCTGTGGGTTCGTGGTGGGCCCAAAAAGACGACGCCCTAAAAACGACAAAAAGATCTAGTTCAGAAATCGTTCAAATTGCTTTCAAATAACGTATCAAATTAAATGTGATGGATTTTCATATTAATGAATATAATTGAAGTATTACTGAACTCACCTCTAGACTCCAACATCTTTGGTCGTTTCTGTTGCTGGTGCTCCGGATCCGCATCATTGCTTGTGCTAGCCGCCGCACCCAGCATGTCCAAAAATGAACGTTTCATAGACATTTTCTCCACAGATCCGGGCGTGCGTTCGTTCTGCTCCATCAGGCGTTTAAGGGAGCGTGGCGTCGACTCCAGCGCCCGTAAATTGTACTTGTGTGTGGCTGCGCCAGCGGACGCTGGTTTCCTATCGAACTGTCGCACATAGGCTGCGTGTCCACGATAGTTTTCTGCACGTTCCGCATCAGTTACATTGTCGGGTCCAATACGCCAAATCTTATGACGTGCATCGTCACTACATGTGACCAGCGGGCGGTCGTGAGTGGCACCCCACGCCACACAAGTCACCTCAACAGTGTGGCCAGACAACGCTACTAGAGGCTCATCCGCATGCTCCAAATTCCAGATGTAGGCGCGCTCATCGCTACTGCCACTGAGCAAATACTTGCCGTCCGGACTAAGGCACGATTTAATATAGAAGGTGGAGTTAAGCAAGCCTTTGTAGCACGCCAGCGGTTTGGGAGAATACGACATAAGATTGTAGCAATAAATGGTGTTGTCCATGCAGTTCGCGTACAAACGAGCGCCCGCAGCATCCACAATAAGATTTGTGAAGCCCTTGAACGTAGAGTTGCCGGCATAGGGCAGACTATGCCTGGGCAGTGGCTCTTTCTTGTAGGCCGTGTAGTTGCGTCGCAGATCCCAAACTTTTATGATGCCGTCACCGGCTCCACAGGAGATGAGAGTATCGTTGTCCTGAAACGCCAGTCCAGTAATGCTGCTCGATGTGGTATTTGCCACCGTCTTAGGTGTGCGAGTGCGCTGCTTGCGCTGCGATATGGGCGTACCTGGGCCACCCGCGTGTCCACTGTATATACAATTGTCAATGCGCGAAGTCAGATCCATATTTAGATTGGCACGAATGTCCCATATAAGTATGGCGCCGTCTCGCCCGCCAGTGGCAAAGACAGCGGGATCCGTGCGCTTAAAGGCAGCCGACTTGACGGACCGTGTGTGCCCGACATATGAGTTTAGCCCCCTTATACCAGAGCCAGCCACATCCCAAAGTCGTGCCGTATGATCCCCCGAGGCGGATACAAATCTCATCTGACCTGGCGCCCATTCCAAATCAAACACAGCATTGAAGTGGCACTGTGGCGCGCTTAGCGATTGCTCCTCCGGCTCCTGGTTGCGCAGCGTCGTGTCCTGCAACGCAATCTTGCCATCCTCATTGGCAATGGCCAGTATGTGACGATATCCATCGCAGTTGGCAAACTTTGCCGAGAATATGGGAGGCTCCGGATTAAAGTCCGGACTGTAGTTAGCAGGCGCAATGCCCCGCCAGCTATCCTCCTTGGAAACACACAGCCGCCGTAGGGCAAAGTCATAGGTCCGCTCGTTAGCTATTAATAAGCAAAAGGGCAACGATTAATTAGTTCAAAATTCACAAACAACTTTACTATGCCGCCGCACTCTGTTTACGTTTGCGCTCGCTTGTCTGTTCACTCTAGTTCCCTAAATTCGCTGTCGCAGCAAATTTTTACGGCTATGCAAAAGAAACCGATGCCGATACCAATGACGAAATAGAAATCCCGGTATGGGACTCAAAACAACAAGTGGGCTTTGTAATATAACCACTTATCTTTTGATTAGAAATTTTTGGCGCTCGAACTTGCATTTCGAGCGCCAAAATGCAGCGCGCTTCGTGCACTTACCCAAACCATGTTCTCTGCGGCGCAGTTTGTTATAAATATTCATTTTAATTATGTGGATTAGTTTAATTGTATGGCTGAACACGGTTTTAAATATTTTCTTTTGATATTTTATGCAATTAAAACAAATTCTGCGCCTACAGCCTAGCACATATTCCTGCGACGCAGCTGGTATTTGATTCTATACTGGACTAGAACTTTGCCGGCAGAGGGTGCTGTACACACTTTTAACAGTGCAGCAACAAATGTATCGAAAATGGTAATCGAAAATCTTAGTTATCGAGTATCTGTGCTAAATGCTGCGCAGTGCGCACATGTGTTTTGGTAATTTTGTTGTAATTTTTTAGAAAAGCAAAGCATTAAGACGCCCTATAATGGTAAGTGGCACGTCATTAGCTACAAGTAAATTTATTATTAACAAATTACATTACAGGTAAAGGGTAAAAAGCCATATATTGACCGCAAAAAGGCAGTTACCTTTCACCTCGTGCATAGAAGTCAGCGTGATCCTCTCGTAACAGATGAAAATGCTCCACAACGAGTGCTTTTGGAGGCGGGCGCGCGACAGAAGCCACAGAACGAAGCGCCTCCGGATCCAGCCAAACGCCATGAGGAGCAGAAGAAATATGGAGTTCATTTTGATGATGACTACGACTATATGCAGCACCTCAAGAAACGTGAAAACGTTGTAGTTTGGGAGTACATGGAGAACCCGAACCAAACGAAAAAAGACAAGACAGGAACGGAACCGAAACTCAATTTACCTAGCTCTGTATTCGCGAGTGAGTTTGAAGAGCCTGAGGGTATGCTAAACAAGGCTGCGCCGCAGCCTGGTCCACGTCCAGATTGGGATCCGGATGTGGTTGCTGCACTCGACAGCGACTGCGAAGTCAACGAAGAATTAGAAGATGACTTTGTCGTTCAAGCGATGGGCGGTAGTGATGATGACGACGATTACGATGAAGAAGAGGATGACTGGCGCGACGAAAGTGGTGACGAAGATATGGATGAAGAAATGGAAGAAAACGCCGAGGAGCTTATGGACCGTTTGGCGCCATTAATGCGTCAGCGTCGGTTTGACGACGAAGAAGTGAAATCCCGTTTTACGGAGTATTCTATGTCCTCCAGCGTTATACGTCGTAATGAGCAGCTTTCCCTTCTCGACGATCGATTTGAACAGTTCTACGCTACCTACGATGACCCTGAGGTAGGTGATTTGGCGCTGGAGGACATCGAGGGTAGCTGGCACCAGAAACATCCAGTTGTTATGCAATGCTTCCAGGAGTTCAAAAAAAAGAACAAAACTATAGAGTATAATAAGGAATGGGATCGAGAACGCTTGGAAAAGTATCGCAATGTTGTTGAGGGCGAACAAGATCCTACCGAAGAGTTAATAGAATACGAGGTAGAAGATCCAAAAGAAAAGAAATGGGACTGCGAGTCTATACTATCCACATATTCGAATATATATAACCACCCAAAACTGATAGATGAGCCACGTCGCAGTCGACGCTCAAGTGCTACCACAAACGCAGCCCCCATACAAATCGACCCCAAGACTGGTTTGCCCACAAATGTGCTTCGAGGTGGAGTCGATGGCCAGTTAACAGCCAAAGCACTAGCCAACCTCGAGGACAGTGCATCAAAAGAAACCGGACCCAAATCGCTGTGTGCTAAATCAGTCCTGTCTACGCTAAGCGTACTTTCGATACGTCCGAAAGACGAAACCCCCGAAGAAAAACGCGAACGCAAGCGATTATTGAAGGAGTACCGGAACGAACGTCGCATCGAGAAAAAGGCGAATGCCGAGGCATTCAAGGAAGAGAAGAAACGGCAAACTGGCGTCAAAATCAATCAGCTGACCAATCAGCAAGGCTCCACGATTGTTTAATCGGCGTGATTTGCCTAATTATTTAAGTTGTATATCAAATGTTTTTAGATTTCTGTAAATGTGATTGAATATATACGCATACCGAGCTTGTATGCGGCACTATCTATATACATTTGTATGTTAGAATATTTATTGAATAATCAAATTAGTCAACTGTTCCCCAGCAACGATATTGATGATGGCATTATTGCTGCGTTTAATGCTATAAATGATTTGCGACTACGCCTTGCACTACGCAACGTGCAAATAAGCCGACAACATACAGTCAGTCAGGCCGTCAGCGAGACGTCAAAGTGGCATGCGAAGCCGTCGCCACAAGCCAGGACTTGCGTGCAGTCAAAAGAAAAGGTAAACAAAAATAAAACAGCAATAAAACGACAACAGCAGCACTCCCCAAGGCACATACATACGCAACAATTAGTAATGCCTCCATTGGGGCTGGATGACAGCCGCAAAGTCATACAACTATATATGTATGTATGTGAATACGCCGCGGTCATACAAGCCAGCCAGCCAGCTAGCTTAGCCGATTTGTCAACAAGAACCAAGCTAGGACCGCATTAATCAGCAGTCAAAGAAAAGTTCCAATTCACTGTCATTTTTTGACGTTATATTGTTTTTTTTTGCGGACTTTTTGCAAACCGTGAACACAAAAAAACTCAACAACATGCCCATGACAGTCCGTCCCTCATGGGCCTTTAGGTTTTCAGCGCTAGGCATATTCATATACATATTATATACATATATGTACATATACTTTTTATATGTGAGTGTGCACGTCTGAATGTTATAATAGTGTGGTATCAGAAACGCGATTTATACTATTTACCGAGCCATATAGAAATTTCCCACGAGGCGTCAGGCGGTACTTCCAGCCCTCGGTGCTAGCTTTCGCTGTTGGGTATTCGTGTGGAAAAATCTACCTAGCCCTATATACATACATACATACTATATACTCATATGAAACAGTGTTAGTTTCGTATTTGGTTACGAGCATTTTGTGGAAATTTCAAGTGAAATTGCATGCATTTCATTGGAAAAACCAACGTCAGTGGTATATAGGAATTAACCTTAGTCGAAAAGCTGAACATAAAAAGCGGCCTAGGTCACCATTAAAAGTTGTAAATTGATATTTAAAACAAATATAAGGATTTTTTCTTGTTTTCAATGCCTTTTGAATGATCTAGCGAATGGTCAATTCTCATTTATTAATTCTTTGTATTAATAATATAAATTAACTAATTCTTAAGCTTATCAATTAGAAGAATGCGTAACGTCAACACTCATTCTAATAGCGCTTTCGGGATTACTCATTTCTATCAATCTACATATGTATATGTACCCTGCAATCATTTAATTATATCAATACCAGCTGGCTAATGCAAACTGAACTATTTTACACACACTATGCATTATGTTTGTATATATGTATGTATGTACAGACTATACATACAGTGAAAACAACGCGCAGTTCACAAAGCCATTTCCACAATTCCACCGCACCAGCGAACAGAACAGAACACCACACATTTGGGCGCGAGCTGGCTCAATTCATGCCACTGCCATTGCCACAGCTACTCCTCCAGCTCTAGCTCCGTGTAAATGGAGACCGTCGTCGCTCGATAGAGTAGCGCGTTTGGCTGTTGATTTCGCTGTTGTTGCTGCAATTCCGCTGCCGGCGCTGTCGGCTTTGCGTTAAATTGTGGCAAGACGGCAAGAAAGAAATTCGCGTATTTTCAGTTCGGTTCCAAAGGCGAAAGGATTTAAACGCGCCGACCAACAGCGCGGTAATTCCTTTATAATAGACCTCGTCATTGCTCCGATTGGCTAAAATACAGTTGGCGCGTCCCTTGTCGGCGGAGGTTCGCGTGAAGCTCACATTTAAATCGGCGTGTAATTGTATACCCGTTTTCAAAACGAATACGAAAACAAAATGTCACACAAATATTGCAACTAAATACATAATTACAATAATTGCTCAAATTATTATACTATGAGTGTTGCTACAAGTATAATGTACGTGCGTGTTACATATGTACATATGTATAATATTCGACATCGAGTATACCTTACCCGACTTTTACAAACCCATTATAAACAACTATCAGATTCATATGAGAAATATAACGTTGTTATGCAACACGCGAAACATTTTTGAGCTCCCAAAAGAAATCCTACGGAGTGCTTTTTTGTCGGATATAACTTACTTTAAAATCAATTAATATTAATTACTGCTATGTGGCAACATACCGAACGCGTTGGTTAATGATTATAAATGAATGAACTTTAACGACCAAGAATACGTATATAATTGCATGCCTAAAAAATTATTTCGATAGTACGAAACGAAACATTTATTTGTGTGTGAGTGTGGGAGCATATGTACGTCAACAGATCTCTATCTGCCAGAGATATGTACATAAATGCCTGTATTTAGGTTCAGCCGGATATGGTTCATCTTGTCGTCCACTCATTTATCAGCTAGAAATGGAATTTTTAATTTGAATTGCGAGTCTCCAGCGCCATTATCATTGTCACGGCCAATGCCAGTTTATGACTATATAACACGTTGTATGACGTGCAAATTATAATTGTCATATTCAGAACCAAACGGAACACTGAATTTCTTGCACTATATTTACAGACGCAAATGCATACACGGATATATCCGGATATAATAATAGCTGATCAATTTGAAATTTCAATTGAATGTGGAGCAACAGCGTAATTGCTGTTTAAGACTCGATTTTGTTCAAATTTAATCAAAATTGAAAACGGAACGACCGTTAAACGGGGTTTCCTGTATTTTCCGAAGGCCACACTGTACAGCAAATTGCAAACACTTACATATGTATAAGGAGTACTGTTAATACGTTTATTTAAATATTATATATATATGTATTTTTAATATATTTATATAGAGCGTTTAAAATGTTGGACCTTGTAAGTCAATTGCGGGAAGTGAAAATATGATTATTAGTGTAATGTTACTAACATAATAGTATATGTATGTATGCATTATTGTAGTAACTCAAGAAATCGAACAGTACGTTTTAGTCCATTACCCATTATTCATTACTTTTGCCGACATCGTTTAGTTTTCTATCTCTACAATTTTCTTATTCTTGTTAGTAATGGATAGTTCTGCTTTAAATTATTCATAAGTAAAATGCTTTAATAATTCTTTATGATCAGCGTCAATGAAATATTAATGAAGTCCCATAGCTAAATGCATGACAAACATCCTTTCAAATAAATTGTGGAGCTTCTGCAAGCGCCATAGATTTGATTTACGTGAATCTTCAACAATTTTAAAAAGAGGACATATGTATGCTAAAAGTATAATACTGAAAACAAGGTCTAAAAGGGAAAAAATCGTGATTCGGGATAACTATTTGCATGCGGACTTTTTTTCTAAAGTTTTTAATGAGCCGCCTAGTTTAATATATAAAGTAATAATCTAAAACTGGGTTATTAACAATCGAAGCAATTGTTTTTGAAGGATCTTTATTAGGTCACCCCCTAGATCATGTTCTGTAGAAACCACTGTTTCAAGTACCCTGCCACTCAGACACTCGTATCACACAATTGCTACGCTTTGAACTTAAATTGAGGAACTGTTACTGGCACGTTGGCTGCAGTCTCAGTACTCTCTCATGCTAATATGCATGGGGCATGCGGCTATGGCAATAAATGTAAAGTGTGCCCGCCTAAGTAAAATTTGCACGCGATTCAATTGTCTTGCGGCAAGCAGCTGCGCGTGCGGAGTGTGCCTCCAACAATTACCGCCTTGACCGCCGCCGCCTGCCTGACAGCTCTCTGACATCTTTGCGGATATCAATTTACGCGGACATGGACATAGACACGAAAACGAAACTGAACGAGCACACACACAGATGTGCCGATAATCGCAATTTATGCCTCGACATATGCATAATCCATCCATCCGTACAGTTGTATTTGTGTGTAGACATATGCATATCCGACAGCTAAAATCAACAGACAAATGTGCAACGCACACAACCAAGTCGCATCTGTGTGTATGTCTGAGTATTAAATACAGACGTTTATTAAGTTGAACAAGACTTTCGCTATGGCTTGTACACACATAGGTATATCATAGTCAGTTGGCACATGTACGTATCTGGGGATTTGTTTATTCGCCACCAGAACGCACGCTGAGCTGGTGCCGAGCCGAGCCGATCCGCGACTAGAACGAACTCAATTTTATTTCTCGTATGATGTTGATATCAAGGATTAACAGTAGAATCGTAAATGCCTCCGAAGATACTCAACACAGACACACGTTTGCATCCATCCTATAAAAGAAGCTAAATAATAATCCTTATAATCAGTGATATATCCACATGAAATGCTTGTGCATTCGAATGATGCTTATTTAAAGTGAAAACGAGTCGCAAAGAATTCAAAAAACAAAAATAATAATAATAATAATAATAATATAAAAAATAAAACACACACAACTAATGCCATACGTGATAAATGAAAATTTTGCTTACTCTTGAAGTCCAATTGAAATTCGGTATCGCATTGCTGATTTCATAAACTGAATTATGAAATTCCCACGTCGATGTAAAGTGAGATGATTTGAGGTTTGAGTTGATTTTCCGTTTCGTCTCCAACACATCATGCTGGACAAATACACAAACGCATTGATATCGTTTGGATTAGGATTCATATTGATGTGGTGAGTTTGAATTTCACTTGAATATGTGCTTTGTATGCTGCACATCTGTGTGTGGCCAATCGATATACTCGTATACTCGTAGTACTTACATACAAACATACTTTGAATATTCAGTTAAAGCCATTAACACACAGATTCCTTTATTTTATGACCCTTTTTACGTTTTCGTTTTACATGCATATGTATATTGAAATAATTAAGAATGAAGCTATTCTTACATTTTCAGGAGCTGTAGTATTTCTCAATTACAAAATCGAATTGTGTTTTAAGTTTCTAGCCTTACAGATTAGTTGTCAGGGTTTAGAGATATCTATCGTCAACTTGAGAATAAATTTAAGGAATTTATTGGTGGTCAAACTTCATGAAATCAAGAATTAGAAGAGAAAGGACTGGGCTTCATGTTCTACCCATCCTAAATCTTTATTAATTCAGCAATGCATCTTCTAGTCATTGTTATAATTCTAAAGGAGAGGCACGATTGTTTCATGGCCAAATCTTCCCTTTCTCAAGGCATATACTATTTTAGATCCCTCGATGTGATGCATGATATTCTTTGGGGTGACATGTGACATCGCATCATATGCCATTTTGTTTTGTTTTGTTCTTTTTATATTTTGCTGCTTTTTTTGCAACCCGTAGCCTTCTATATGCAAATATTGGCAAATCATTTGACAAACCAGCCAAGGTCACTCGAATCACAGCAAATGGGACTCGAACACGAATATCCATTCACTGGCTTTAAGCTCGGCTGGTGGCAGTGGAGCAAAGTATTCGGAAAATAGCCAAATAACTCGCTTATAAAAAGTTAAACAGCCAATCAGACACGGACACGAATGACGTTAATTGCGATTCATGCTGAATTTGTGAAAGTTTTTAGCAAATGCGAGGGGGTACTACTGCCCCAGACTCTATCCCTCTATATATATTTTGTATGTACATACCCAAATACACACCTCTTGTTTCCGGAATTAAAAAAATCGGTAACATTTTGTTGGTCACATGTGGAATTTAAATGTTTGCTCATTTTCAGGCTAAGCGAAGCCACGGAAGCCCACGTGAACTATACGACGAAGCCCCGAGTGGTTCTTCCGCCTAATTATGTCAAGGGTAAGTTCAGTTCAAGTCAGTTTAGTTTTATACAATTTTTCTAAGCAGTCGCCAGTTCGGTGCTGACACAACTGCGTTTCTTCAATTTTCCGAAAGCCCAGACGGGTAAGCTCTGCGCAAATGTATTTACATATGTACATGCATCTATTATTTTCTATTGATAGGCTATAGTCCTGATATAGTATCGGTCCGAAAGTTGGTGATTCAGGTTTTAATTGCACGGATTTTTAAATGTACATACATATGTATATGTTTGTATCTAGACAAGAAATTGCGTGCAGACGTGACGCAAAGAGTTTCAGGGTTTTTGTTTCCAATGTAACCAACACGAAATGCACGGCTATAACAGCTCGACTTCTGCCTATACATACATACATATGTATGCCTGTGTACTGACGTCATCATAATGCACTTAGCACGATATGGTAGGGAAATGATGTGGTTTGATATATGTATGTATGTATGTACATAGCTCGAAATCATACTTATTTGCAGCAAGCTAAAAATTCTTCGAATTTTGACAAATTAGACACATGGATTACTGTCATTTTTCGATGTTGAAAATAAGCAGCTCAGGCATTATTCAATCGAATCTGACTCTACTATCAAATACAAAATGGATGACGGCAAGAACATTGACGGTGTGGAGTCCAGTTTTTGCTGGCCAGCTGAGGGCGTGTCAGCAGAGATTGAACTGAACAAACTGTTCGAAATAGAAGCCATACTAGACCAACGCTTTCGCAATGGACAGGTAGAGTACTTAATAAAATGGAAGTACTGGTCTGACGAGGACAATACGTGGGAAACTGATGAGCGGCTCGCCGCCGCAAATCTACAGGTCAAACAACAATACCTACAACTCCAGAAGGGTGGAGAAGCGAAGGATGTCGGCACTGACATCCCCAGTGAGTCTCTAGAGACGTGGCGTTCTTAGTGGTTAAGACTTCGCATCTTTGTCCCAAAGATAAAGTTGAGACTGGCCCTGAAATATGGATCACAAAAAGTAAAGGGGCGCATTCCTTAATAACAGCAACAGACAAATGCAACAAAATAAACACACATATGTGCATTTTTCTAACAATAATAAAAACAATTCAGTTACGATGCACGCAATCCGAACATTTCAGAGGTGATTTCAATCAAGAATAGTATTAAAAATGTTTTTTAGATAAAATGCATTTTATTGTTTTGAATCTGCCGAATAACAAAACATATTTTTGCAGAGTCTGAATTAAGGCATTTATAAATTATATAAACTAGATAATGTAGGAACACCCTTTAGCAAAGACCCTTAGCCCTAATAACATGCTTACCAAATGTATAAAGCGCTAAGGAAACTTTACTTTCCGCCCTCGACATGGCTCTGCCTTATGCTTAGAAACAGAACAATTTATGTCTACTACCTATAAGTTAGCCCTATTTTGGGCTACCTGCAAAGTTGAGCCTTTGATTTTGGTAAGCTAAGATAGTTCGTTTTACACGCTTTACGTAAAAGCTCCTTCTTCAAAGAAAAGTTACATAGAGACCGATGGAACAACGGGCGGAGGTGCGGGCATGATTACATCAAAACAACGCAAACGAAACACTATAAATAATGGGGTACGCCTACGTGGGTGATTCGTGTATGATTAAAGGCTAAAATTGAAGCAATTTAAATTTGAAAATAATCAACACCACTATTATTCTCATCGATTTTCCCTTCTTGTAAAACCTGCTCCACAGTCTCTTGTCTTTGAACTTGAAATGGAAGGTTTATTTGTTATCGTATTCTCTTCGTCATGGTAGTGGTAATGGTTTATTTGGCTGGAACAATAGTTAGTCGGTCAGACAAGGACTAGGACTAGGTAGGGGTATATGAGTGGGTCAATACGCGCACGCAAATGGATTCGAGCACGAAAATGTAAGGCTTAGCAATTTTTGCGCCTTAAGCTCTCCACGAGGTGTTTTTAGCAATTGGACACAATTTATTTTAGACGCCTCTTTTGTTGGAAAACGAACGGGCCAGATTGGTCTGACTGTTAACGTTGAATCAGTTGGTTGATATCGTAAATAAATTTATTCATTTGCAGAAATACGACCGCCCTCGCAGAAGGGCTCGCCAGTGATAGTAGACTTTAGCATATTTGTTGTAGATATTAACTCAATAAACGTAGAGGACATGGACTTTAGGTAAGTGATAATCAAAATGGTGATTTGACAATCTTTCCGGGGAATCACAATCTAGTTAGTCACTATCCGTGGATTTTCAGAGTAGACATGTTTATACATCAGCGGTGGATGGAGTCTAGACTGGAGATATCAGACGACATATTTGAGGAAGGCGACGATTATGTGACGTTACTTCCAGAGTTTTTCGACAATCTCTGGCAACCGGATCCGTATTTTCTGAATTCAAAGATTGCTGGTAAGTATTTAATCAAAATAATCTTCTTCGATTTCATTAAAATTGTATTGTAAGGGCGTATATATTTATGTGTGTGGCTTCGGCTATTAACTAAAGCGCATTTGTAGTATGTTTAAAATTAACAAATCTAGTGATTTATTTATGAAATCGGAAATGGCAATAATTGTTCATCAAAGCACGTGTACTATTTTTCCCTTAAATGTACCAATGCATTTGATTTGTATATAATAACAGATTCTTAATTTTTTTACTATTGATTTTATTGTTTTTCACAATTCCCGAACCAAAAAAAAAAAAAAAATTAAAACAAACAATTTTACAATGCCAACTTCTAAGGATTTGGAAGCCCATATATTGGGACAACTTCAATGCTACGCGCTAAGGATGAAAGAGAAATAAAAAACTTTCATCTGAACAAAACTTTAAGTATACCTACCTACAACAAAAATCTAGAATGTGCTGTCAATCGCCAAAAATCCAAAATGACTTAAGTTCACTGATGATTCATGTATAATATCAATGCATTCATTTCTACCTACATGCAATACTATGTTGAATGAGAAACTAAATTCAGTATCAATAAGCAATCAATTGTGTTAATTGTATCCAATATCGTACCAACGCACATTCCCCGACCATAACTCCAAGAATAATACCAAATGCAAGAGCGCACAAATTTATTATGTACATTTTCTTTTATTTTTACGTTTTCCATGCAAGTATGTATGTATTTATAAGATATATTATTTATATTAGTTATTAAAACTCATTTTACAACCTACAACCTAAAACACCGCAAATATGCAAAAAACTCAGAGTAGCATAAATTGATTAAACTTTAAACCGCTTACATACAAATATATATAAGTTTTGAGCATATTTAAAAATAAATATGAATGCCTTCAAATTATATTCTAAACAATTAGCTTTTGTGTGGAAGTGAAACATAATTGGAATTAAGAAAAGCATACTTTTAGGATGCACCTTTCTGCTGCCAGCCATTTATGAATAAAAAAACGGTTTTCCTTACATTTTTTCCAAGCAATTGTGAATTGTATTTGAAGCTGACAATATTTAATGATTCTTGTTTACCTTAAACGATAGATGAAAATGACGTTTTGAGAAAACGGGAGCGGATTTTGCTTATCCACTCTGCCAAATTGAACCCAGAATTCAAGTAGAGTTCTTCTTATTTTGCCCCTGCGTAGGTTTTTACATAATAATTTTCTGTCTAGGTTGCAAATACCACTTATTCTCATTGCGTGCTACCATAAAATCACCCTCAAAGTACACAAACCAATTCTGAATTTGGCTGCACCTGTTCCCCCTACAAAAAAGGTAGTTTGGGCGTGGCTTAGCTGACCGTGCAACATTCAAGGTCACTGCCACCAGCAAGTGCTGGCTTCAACACCCACACGTGCTTGCAACTGACCTGCACTCTTTGCAGTACTCTATGTATTTTATATTGGGCTGCTAACGCCACTAGACAATGATTAGATCTTACCTTGACTCTTTGGTTTATTTGATGGCTTTGACATTGTCAAAAAACTGAACATTAATAAGTATTAGTGCGATTCTTCTATAGCAATTACCGTTAATAAATATAGTTATTTGTTTAAGTAGTAAGCATATTGTTTTTGAAGCACTTTCGGGGCACTGTTTTGTTTCCAGAATTTAAATGTTCTCACTAAATGCAATAACACTGGTTTACAACATTTTCTAAACATAACTATACTATTTTTTTTTTGCTATTTTTTTACAGTTTGTAATTGTTGGTTTTTTTTATTGTATAAGTAGTTGTAGCTCACTAAGGCGACCTTCCACTGCAGAGTTAAAAAACATTGTCAATATAAATATAAATATAAGTTGAAATCTATCTAGTTGCCTATCGAAAAGCTTGAGGTGTGGTCAGAGAGCATACAAATATATCTTACAAATAGACTTTGAAGATGTAGAGAAAAACTATATTTTTTTTAAACCTATGTATATACATAATCTACAATTCGTCAAATTTGAGAACAAACTTTTTGGTCCCCGACCGTTCCTTTAATTCTTTTGCAAACTAATTGATTTTCCTATTAACTCCCTGTGAACACCCTTTTCAATAAATTTTTTTTAATTTTAAATTAAAATGAAATATTAAAAATGTGGGAAATTTGTTATTTTGTTTTATATTGCTAGATAAATATAGAACTGATTGGCAGAGAAAGATTTCTTTATTTTCAGTTTTGTTTAAAAATGTTGGCACTAATTTTCTTTTTTATGTTTGTAAACTGGTGTAGTAGTGGCCGCACCTTTTTGTATTGCCTTTGTGGCAGAGCACTATTAGCATAGCACTTGGCATCATGACAAAATTAATTGAGCCTCTACCAATTCTATAGTTCTAATCAAAGCCACTTTGTTCCGCATCTCTGCAACGTCTTCTCGATGTCTTCTCTTTGTAGAAATAGCCACTCTGACTCACAAATTTACATCGGTGACCCTTTACAAGAATAAAACGGTTCGCTATGCAGCACGGATGCACGCAATCATAGCCTGTCAGATGGACTTCCAACTCTACCCAATGGATATACAAGTGTGTCCCATATATATCGAGAGCTGTAAGTCGGAAAATAAAATGAAGGACTGATTTTAAAATGCGAACACTTTCCCTCAAGTTTCATCCAACAACCAGAAGGTCAAGCTACGCTGGTCAGCGGACGGAAATGGTGCGACGCTCAATCCAGAACTTAAACTGTTGCAGTACAATCTGGGCCCATTGGAACTGGAGGAGAGCGACGGCTATATGCCGGAGAAGGTGGGAAATTTTTCACGCCTGACCGTCTATTTTCGCTTCGAGCGCCAAATCGGTCATCATTTGATTCAGACGTTTGCGCCTTCGTCCCTGGTCGTCATGTTGTCGTGGTTCAGCTTTTGGCTGGGCCTGGACGCCATTCCAGGACGCGTAACATTGCTCGTCACATGCATGCTGACGCTCGTCACAATGTTCACGGGTCTCAGGGCGGATATACCACCCGTGGCGTATGTTAAGGCAATTATTCAAACTCAAAGGATTATAAAAATTCCCCTAACTAACTGAATTATTATCCCAATAGGCCCTGGATTTGTGGATGGCTGGCTGCATGGTAAGTGCCGTACAACGCCAATTGGATGATATTTAAATCATTTGAATATCCGCTTTAGGTATCTGTATTTGCTGCCCTGGCCGAATTCGTGGTTGTTAAGGTTCTGGACGTTCAGTACCAATACCAGGTCAACCGAATACCAAAGGTATTACCCATGGTAAGCCGCCAACCTGGTGCCTTCTTAAATAAATAATGTCTATTTTGTTGTTTGGGTTTTTTTTTTTTTTTTTGCTATTGTTTATCGTATGCAGCGCATAAGCAACATGGAGAAAGGTCAATGTGCAACTATGGCGAGCTGGGAGGGTGGAGCCGTGCGGTCACGAAAGGCCACACAAACTCCGACAACACCGGGCCAGGTGAGTGAGTAGTGAGTTGCCTTGGCACACATTTCTATGGGACATAATGCAGTTTGTTTTCCTTCAAGCTAATGATTTTGTATTTGTTTCAAATTACTTCGTATTTCTGCCATCGATAAAGAAATGATGCCCAATTGAAACCGCACACTGTGCCGCCTAAATAAATCTAAAATTGACTGGGGAATTTTAACATCCTTTTCATTTATTATGAATTAAGAACTGGGTTGATTCTTAGCTGCAGCGCATACTATATTGTTAACAACATATATCTTCTCTTTACAGACCTCCTTGCAGGGCAACGGCGGACCGCCAAAGCCAGCGCGACGGCAGAGTCTTCTATCGGTAGCCTGGACGGATACGGACACCGGTGTTGAGAAAATTATGTGGCGAGAAATCGACAAAGTCTCACGTGCCGTATTTCCCATACTGTTCTTTGTTTTTGTGCTACTTTATTGGCCCATACTGCTGATGAAGTCATCCTAGGACTTGGGGAGTTCCAGAATGCACACTTCTGGACTCCGTTAAAAAAATTTATATTAAAAAACAAAACCAGACATCGAACTACACACCCATTTTACACAATGCTGAGTTAACTTTTGCATTTGAGGCACAAAACTTGGTAGGCGCAATGTTGACTTAAAGGCATAGTGCGCGTATAACTTATAAACCAAGTAATCATATACATAGCTGAATGGTTCATAATTCATATTGAGCATTATTTATGTGCGTCAATTGCTGCTACTATATGTTTGTTCTTTTTCTCAGATTTTCTTTTTTCTTTGCAGTTAAGTCTGCGTACATATTAGAGAGGCTAATTCATTACATTGTCTAAATCTAATTTTAATCAAATAATAATTTTTACAGATGTTACCTGCAGCTAGTTAAGCTTGAGAGCACTTGCCAGACATTTTTTAACAAAGTAGTATTCCAAAATATTTACAAAAACTTCACCGAATTGTATGTTTATTGGGGTCCGTATTTGATATTTGCTCAGTAGTATTAAAAATTGGGGTTTCCGATCCTAGTATTGCACAGGTATAGATACATATAGAGTGTATGTATTGTGTGTATTTTTGAGAAGCAATGCGCTATGATAAATAATAATGCTACTTTAAAAGATTCCACAAAAATATCAATGCTTAAAAATAATTTCGGGAGGGGATATACTAGCTTTAAATAGTTGTCTTGTAAGCAGGAGGAAGTTTGTACAAACGGGAAACGTATATTCTAGGCGTTTCATCAACAAATGCAGCACAGTGCTTGTGACAATACCTTAACCTATGAACGTCTGCAGCCCCCACTTTATATATTCATCAAGTTAGTTAAAACATTATGGAAGGGGGCTGCTAATATATCATTCCTTTTTAGTTTTATTTATTTAGTTTTTTGGCTAAGCAACTTCACTAGAAAATAATTGGTGCTTTAAAGATAATAAAAATTTAATATAACTAGAGAGTATAAACTTGCTATTGTAAATAATATTAGAAATGCCATTTAGAAAAATTTACACTTCAAAGGCCATTCTATTTTTTATGCAAAGTGTATTCAAATCCAAGCGAACTTTAGTGCTGTGGCTTTATACAGATTTTATATATGTATCTAAATCGAGTTGAAAGTAGTGCACGAAAATCATTAGGGCACAGAAATGCAGATTTAATTGTTAAGCTAACTAAAAATTACAAACAAAACTGTATATGTAAATAATAATAATGTATACTTTTAATTAACACATACACATTTTCATTTATCTGCAAAAAGAGAAAATATTTGAAATATTTATGACTGTTACTTTCAGAAACAAATCGATAGATTCATTTTCATTTTGCACTCAAATAAGTTCGAACGATGAATGAAATATTTAATTATGCTGCATTATTCAGATAACATTTTCTTTTTCTCCAGCTAAATTGTAATGTTCTAATAATTGCTTATTATATAAAATATTTGGTTTTATCTAGTTACCCAATAAATACTCTTTCAAAACCTGTCAATAATATAAGCAAAATAAAATGTACAATAATATTAATATAAAGCACCAAAGGGGGCCTTTTAATTATTTCATGGGGGTAATTTTCACATCAATCCCATCTACAAGTATGCCAAAAATGTTGACATTTAGCCCTCCCTTAAATAGGAATATAATAATAGATACATTTTCTCAAGTCCCATTTGATACATTTACACAAATATAAACTTTTTTTTTTTCAATTTTATTTCATTTAATTTGCATCTTCATTTTCACTAACGTCATCCTCGTCCGAGTCGTCTTCATTCTCGTCACTAAACTGTAATTTCAAAGATCCTTCATCTTGTGTTCTTATAAGCAACATTTCTGAATCGCTATCACTCTCATCCATTGCTGTTTTATCACCATTAGTCTGGTTCGAATTTTCGCGCTCCCTTGCAGTGTCCAAAAGCACGCGCAGAGTGTACTTGTTGAAGTCGCAGCTATAAACATTTTCGAAAAAAATAATAGATTTTATATTACTTATAAACTGATACAACAGATACTCACATTTTATTTAGCATCTCATATTTGCGTGAGATACTTTCGTGGAGCGCCAGCAAGGCGGGGTTTTGAAACGCGCTATCACGATTCCCGTGGCTAGTTAGCAAGCAGCAGCACCATTGCAAGTAAAATTCTATGTGGGGCGAAGATTGCAGCATGCGGGCCAGATTTTGGAGTAAGCGGTGGGCGAAATCATTGGATAGATCTGCGCAAATTAGTTCAACTGAAAAGAGTATTATTACTAATTTACGACTAATACAAACCAAATTTTATTTAAAGCAAGGATATTCTTTTGTTGTTTTTTAATTTATGCATTTCCGCTTGGTTATGTTTTTATATTCATGGGCCATCAGTTGGCCGCATGAATGCAAACATACCCTTGAAACAGTTTACTAACAACACGTGCGCAAATTTGCACATTCGATCCAAAAAAAAAGGAGTCAGCGAGAAACTTTAATACAAGGGTGTGTTACAGCCATTTCTATTTATAGCTGCAAAAAGTTAAGGTCGCTGAAGACCTTGTTTCAAAGGACTTTTAAAGGAGACAAGCAATATAACTATTCAATTTTATTACACATGAGCAACCACTTACTGTCTTTATAGGGTATGCGTTCCAATACTAAGGCAATCAAATTTGGATCGTTTAATTTTAAACTCATTATAAGTGCTTTTGTATATTCTCTATTATTTAGGGCTTCATGCGTGGCCTTTGGTGTAACTTCCAGTGACAAATCGAAGGGATCGAAAACAACACCTGAAGAAGATAAAACTCATCAATTAATGCACTTTCAAATGCCTTATAGGTTTTGCAGCTTTATTACCCTTGTCTAGCGCATAAATGCACAATCCTTCAGTGCCCGCGGCTGCGAAGGCTTGTCCGGTGGGTGAGAAGCGTACACAGAACACCCTTACTTCGGGCTGGAATCGACGCGCAGACATATCTCCTTTTCGTACGCCCGGTAACCGCACAGCCACCTTGCCCCCTTCAAGTTCTTCACGTTGCTCGATCAAAGCCATGTTACCAAAATCACTCATATGCTTACGGCTGATGAACTCCTACAAGTATAGTATGCATAATAAGTGTACAATGGACAGCATATATATTGTACTTACATTTAGACCATCCAGGCTCTGATTTTTTGTTATCTCAAATTTCTTTAACAATATAGCCTCGCGCACATGATATATACAAATATTGGGCGATTTGCCTGCCGCCAATAGACATTCACCATCAGCTGAATATTCAATTGTGGAAAAGTAGCTATGGAAACATAACTGAGTAAAAAAATACTAGCAAAATATCATTCACTCACTTAGCCTCAGCATTTTTTTTGGCCGTTATAATGTCTGTCTCCAAACGTCCGCTGCCCAAATCGTAGCGTCCTTCGATTGTGTTCACCTGCGTGGCCGATTTTACATCGAAAATAATTATGTTTCCACTGAGTGTGGCAACTGCAACCTATAGAAATAAACTGTCTGAATAAATTCATTGTTGTTACATAAAACAAACTTACTTCTTCACCATTTGGATTGAATGCTACACTTGTCACATCTGCGAGTGCGTCAATGGATTCATGTTCACTATTGCTTTCCAAACAGTTCCAAATCTTCACAGTTTTATCCCATGATCCAGAAACAAGTGTTGAAGAAATGGCCGATGGCGAAAAGGCCAGAGAAGAGACTGGACCTTCGTGCCCACTGATTACTTCCAACAGTTTTCCCGTCTTTACAGACCACAAAAAAATTTCGTACACATCCTGACCACCTGCTACAACTAGTTCGCCAGAATAATCAAGTGCAACGGAAGCAAATTGTGCCGGTGTTGGGGATGTAAAAGTACGAAAATTTCGATACCTGCCAATAAGAATGTTTTATAATAATGTTTTAAAAAGCCTGTTAATAAACCGACCTGGTGATATCGAAGGCACGGACAGTGCCATCCAATGAGCTGCTAACAAGAAACTTTTTGTTGCGACTGAACTGGACGTCGGTAACTCCGCTAGTGTGTTCACTAAAGGTGACGAAACAGAAACTACTTTGTGTATTCCAAAGTTTTACCTTCGAGTCCTCGCCTCCTGTAGCAATATATTGGCCATCCGATGAGTATGCAATGCAAGTCATCTCACTGCTGTGCCCCTGCTGCTTCATAATATATTGCTCGCTTTGCCATTCCCATACCAGCAGTTGGCCAATTTCGCGCGATGCCAAGGCCAACCAATCTCCCGTACTATTAAACAGCGCAGTTGATATGGGATAGTCTGAGATGCTTAGCGAATGAATCATGTTCACGTCAGGCAATTCGTAGAGGTAGAACGCTCCAGTACTAAATGCTACCACCATTACCTTAGTCCGCGGGTTATAGTTGGCTGCAGTTAGCAGAGCATCACGATGCTCTTTCCTAGGTTCATTGGCCAAATAGTGGCGTGCGAGCTTCTTGTAGAAAAATGGATGTGCTTTTCTAACGCTCTCATCTTTGATTTCATTTTCATCATCTGGCACTGCCAGGGTATCTGTTTTTTCTATGACATTGTCCACATCATCTTCGGACTCATTGCCTGAACCAGCAGCAGTGGTGGGTGGCTTTTTTTTACGCTGAGGCTCTGCATTCTCATTTCTTGTTTTTTCTGTCAAGTCCGAAGGCGCCAAACTGCATTCCCAGAGACAAAGCTGTCCATTCCTACTTACAGTATTCAAATGGAGGCTATTTGCTTCAAAGAAACAGGCAACTATAGCGTCTGTGTGGCCGCTGAGACTTGTTGTACGAAAATTTTTAAAAAATTTAACTGCACAAATTTTTGTGGAGCTATCACGGCAGCCGATGGCCAACAAACTGGAATCCGGTGACCAATCCAACCACGTAACATCGTCATAACCACCTATGAAATGTCGCTTCAGCACAAAAGGATTGTACTCGCCTGTTATTTCGCCTGGGGCGCAAAAAATGAGCACAACGTTGCCTTGAGCCACAGCGAAATATGCTCCGTCAGGACTAAAGACTATGCACTGGACGCCACTTTTGAACTTGTGGCTATGTATAACGGTGCAGGATATCATGCTGATAAGTTGTGCTTCGCCACGTTCATTGACAGCGATTAGCAAGCTCCCGTCTGGCGAAAGAGCAATGTTGGTATAGTTGTATCTCGACTCCACCGACAATGTTCGCGACTTGTTGCTTGTAAATAAGAACGTAATATATAGACGATTTGATAGCAAAATTTACATGTAATCTACCTACTTCTTCAAGTCATACACCGTTATCCGATTGCCCACAGGACTAATAACAGAATTTCCATCCGGAGAAAAGGCCAAGTTTCCATTCCGGTAAATGGTGCCCATCAAATTTGTAAACTTCGGACAAACGGGTGGGTTATTAATTTGGCAATTGTAATAATTTCGTTTGTACTTACTTTGAATGAAAACTTCATTTTTGGTCTTTTAGTTTATGGGTATTTTATTTTCTGCCTTAGTCAAAATACATGCGGGGAAAATATAATAAACAAAATTCTCGCACGTGTCGCAGGTATTAGCGTTGCCAACTTACTGCACTCTTTCACACAGTTGATCTCCATCTGACAACTAGTGCTGCCAGTCCTGTAAAACTAAATTCCGGTATTGATATCGAAACCATCGATTAAAATCGATATAATCAGTTAAATTATTCAAAAGTACAAAATTAAAGGAGTAATTAATTAATATATTCATTGTGCAACAATTATATAATAAGATAACAGTTTTACAAATTAACTATTTCATTGAAAAACATGGAAGAATATTTGTAATACATATCATATATATTAATTAAACATAGTTGTCAGTATATTCATATACATAAAATTAGGCAAGTTAAACTATTTAAACGGGTATCAAAGTTAAAAAAGGAACATGACACTTCAATTCACTCATGTTTGATAAAATTAAATGATGAAGCATTATGCATTTCAAACTAGGAGTTAAGCAGTTCAGGCGAATTAAAATTACAAAAACATAAAAATTACAGGCCTGTTTGAAAAGGCTTGGATATTTTAGGATTTCAGTAAGGATCCAAAACGCTTTCAATGTGTTAACAATATTACTGTTATGATGAAGATCTCGTACTCGGCAGTTTTCTTAAAAGCAAACCGCGATGAGGATAAAAAGCGGAAAAATAATTTAAGAGGGGAGAACAAATATTTTGCGATAATCGTATTAAAAATCGATGCATTCCACACATATCGCATCCCTAGCCTGCTCGGCGTCCTTCTCGTCTAACGGGGCGATTATAATACGGGCAAAATGGAGAATGCTTTGCTGGCCAATGTAAAAAAGTTATACGACCACCAACTATATGAGTGCGTAATTCCAGCGGTAACTAATAAAGAAATTAAAATGCGAAGTACCATTTATAATTCTCTGTCCATTCAGGCCAGCCTGCTGAGCACTCTGCTGCAGAATGATCGCACGGTGACCACACTTGAGATGGAGTACCAGGTAATGATCTATCTGAGCAGTGCCAACTACAAGGAGCGCCGCTTTCGGCTCGCCTGCAATCAACTGGAGGCCGTCGTCCTTATGCGTAAGACAATGGTGCGTTTTAAGGCCGCCTATTTGGCGGCCATCGAGAACACCTACAGGGAGTTTTCGGAAGTGGAGTTACGCTACAGAGTTGCCGTCTGCTATCGGGAAATGGGTGAACCAAATATTGCAATCAGCACACTACAGGCGGTGCCAGCCAAGTCCCGCACACCCAAACTCAACATGATGCTGGCTCGACTGCTTCATTATGGCTGTAGCACCAACAAAAACGAGGTGGCGCTCGCATACAAGGAGGTGCTACGTGACTGCCCGATGTCCATGATGTCGATTGAGGCGCTTCTGGAGCTGGGCATCGACGGCAACGAAGTTAACTCACTGGTGGTCAATGGTAGGTGGCAGAGATGAACTGAAATTTAGACTCTTACAACGTGCTATTCCCTCATCTGAAGCCGCCACCCTACCAAAGAACATTGAATGGATGAGCATCTGGATCAAGGCACATGCCCAGATGTACGGCCGTAAGCATTTGGAGGCGGCCAGGACATTCCAGCAGCTCAACGACACTACCAACTTCCATCAGAACGAGAATCTTCTCACGCACATTGGCAAATGCTTGTATTATTATGGAAATTTCACACAAGCGGAGCAATATTTGGGCATGGCTGCGATGATAAATCCTTACAACATGGACGCCTTGTGTTCTCTGGCCGTTGTCTACGAATTCAATATACAAAAGAAGCCGGAGCATGAAAAGCTCGTCACCCAAATGACCACCACTGGTGATTTTAGCTCAGCACATTGGTTCGTACTAGCTCAGAAGCTCTACATGAACGCCAAGTTTGATCGCGCGTTGTCCTTTACGGAGCGTGCGCTCTCGTTGAATCCCCGGAACATTGAGGCACTGCTATTGCGTGCGAAGCTCTTTCTGGCCGTTGGGCGTCACAATGAGGCGATCAGTACGTTTCGCAGCGCCCAGTGCTTTGCCCCTTACCGCTTCGAGGTCTACAAAGGTCTCGTCCACTGTTATGTTCATCTGAAGCGCATTAAGGATGCTCAGACGATGTGTGCCCTGGCCGTGCGCCTTTTTCGTACCTCGCCGCGCAGCTACACGGTGAGTGTAAAAATATATGCCTTAGGACGCGATCTGTGGAACAAAGTTTGTTTTACATAGGGACAAGCCTCCATTGCTTTATTCCACTTTTTTATTCTCTTTAGATGTTTGGACGCACACTCTTCCATTCAACTAATCCGACAGCCAAGAAGAACGCCAAAAAATTTGTAGAGAAATCCCTAGAAATAGACGAGCACTACATGCCAGCAGTAGCACTGATGGCTGAGATTTGCAAATTCGAGGGCGCCACTCAGGAGGCGATTATATTACTGAAGAATCAGGTGTCCGGCTTTCCACATCCAAAGCTATTCACCATGTTGGGCGACCTGTTGAGCGCCGAAAAAGAACTGAGCAGTGCCCTCCACTATTATACTCTAGCGCTGAGGTAAATGCGACAATTTTTGGTTTTGTATTAAATACAAAGTTTTAATTTCCATCGCGTAGCTTGGAACCCACTTGCCAGCGTGCTTTAAAAGGTGTGAATGCTTTGGGACAGGCGGCACGCACCGCCAGCAACGCGAGTCAGCCATGTGAGCAGGATGGGAATGGGGGCGGCAGCAGCCACAGCACAAGAGTTGATGAGAATAAAAGTAATGCGGCGACAGTGGCCACGCCTTGTGGCACACCAACTCATGAGTGGCTGCTGGAATGTGAGGAGGCATCAAATGATGCTTTGGAAATGTCCTCGCCAGCCGCACCACATGATGATGCCGAATCGGATACGTTCTCGGAACCTTTCTGGCACGATGTCGATGGGGAGATAACAAACTGATTTGTCGTGCGTTTGCTATTCCTCAATGATGCTCGACCCCCAAACTCAGTCTGCCTGCCTAATCTGATATTTCTGCAACTCTCATCTCACATTCCACAATATACATATGTATTTATTCAATCGCTGGAATTTCATATTCAAACAAAACAAACCCCCACCCCATGTCATGTAAATCATTTTTAATGTTTTTTGGCATATTTTTGTCCTTAACGTGAAATTCGAATAAACTTTATTTATTATATAAAACTGTAAGTGATTGTGTAGCGCTAATTTGCAAAACTAGTTTCAATTAAAATTGTTGATAAATGTCGCGAAATGTTTTTCCATTATTATGTCAGTCGTAGGCAAACAAGCACCAGACCCACTGTGTCATGTATATTTTAAAAAGGTTGTAATTATTTGAAAATGTAAATGCAATGTTTAACGCGCGGCACCAGCTCCACTCATAAACTTCATCGATTTACTTGTAGAACGCATAAGAATCAAGTTTCGTAGCACACACCTTTGCGCTAGGCTATTGGTATTTTAACTCATTCAGCTCCGCAGCAATGCTCGATGACTTTAAATAGACATAATGGAACTATAATTCATAAATTAAACTTGGGGAGAAATCGAACTAAGGTTCTAGATCTTGCTGTAGCTTGCATTTCCCCATATATGGTAGTTCGGAATGTTCGTAGGGAGTATTAGTAGGGACTATTGTATATAGTGTTAAGAATCGGCTTATTACACAAATATCGTATTGAATGTCATATCGGTTTTTGCTCAACTTTCGCTTTCTTATATCGATAGCGCAATATCTATACACTTCCCTAACAACATACACACATATGTTTGCTTTTATTTACCAAATAATACGTAAATAAAAAATATTCACAATACCAAAAGTCATGGAAAAGGTCAAATCAGCTTTGGGAAAGTTGGCCGAGCGCAAGGCCCGTTTACTGGATTTGCATAAACAACGGCAGGAAGCTCGCACACAAAACCACCAAGAAGTCGTAGCTGAAGATGCGAGGAAAAAGTTGCCTAACAATTGGGAGGCAAGAAAGCGCCAGGCAGAATGGCTTTTGGCTGACGATAAGGCACGCTCTGAAGCTGAAGCTGCTGGCAAGGACTACGACCGGCTAAAACTGCTTGAAGTATCAGCCGTTGATGCAGAACGAATTGAGAAGAAGAAAAAACGCAAGGACAACCCAGATCTGGGATTCTCTACGTACGAGGCGCAGACGGCAAGACAATACACACGCTTGGTTAAGAACATGCCAGCGCGCGACATGGCCAAGTACGAAAAACAAAAAGCCGAACTGGGAGATGCTTTCTACGGTGGCCCACACACTACCTTGCATGCTGTGACTAAAGACACTCCGAGTGCCATCAACAACATGGTTAAGGACCTGAATCAGCAAATTGAACGCAGAAAGAAGTACTCCAGAAGGCGCATCTACAACGACGATGCTGACGTTGACTTTATCAATGAGCGCAACTCCAAGTTCAACAAGAAACTGGATCGCTTCTACAGCGAGCACACGGCTGAGATCAAACAAAATTTGGAACGCGGTACTGCAATCTAAGTGGAAACTAGTGTGAAGCTTAAGTATACATTTTAACCATTAAGTGTAAGATCCTAATAAAGAATAAATAAAGTATTTGTAATGTAACTGCCTACGCACACATGTACATATGCATTTATTCATAAAGCAGAAAGGAAAAAAGAGTTAGCAGCCCCGTTGTTATTGTTTTCTTAGACCGGAGCTCAACATGCAACATTTTAGCGCACGCGAAAAGTTTCTTATTTCAAACACACTTAACTGTGTCCCGATGATGATACAAGGGCACGCAGTGCTAATAGATTTGCGGAATGAGACTTCGGTGGCAGGAGTTGTGGACATGGCAGATGGCCAGATGAATATAGAACTATCCAATGTAGTGTTGATTGATCGGAACGGTCATCAATATGCATTTGATTATTTAATGGTACGTAATCGTATGATTCGTCAACTGCACATTCCTCCCACTATCAATATGCAACGGGAACTTCCCGAGGCAATGGAGCGCGGGATATTACGACGCAAGCGTGTGAATAAAACAAACACGAAACGCACCTTCAAACAAAAGCGAGCCGAAGAAAAGCATAAAGAAATCATGGCTCAGATTACAAAACAGAAACAAACGGAATCTTTAATGTCATCGGGAACAAATGGGTCTGTATTTTTATATATTAGATCTTAACGCTATTAATAAGACTAAATATTGTAATTCTTAACAGGTAGGATATCTATGTATGAATGAAATGATTTCTAAATAATCATATAACAAGGGAATATCGCAACATCGAATAGCATCAAGTCGAGAATTTCCTGTTATAGTTCTCGAGAAACTGCAAAGATATTATTATTAATTATATAATATGATAATAATCAAATAATATGATTATAATCAAACATAAAAATAAAGATTTGAGATATGTATGTATGTATAGTTATTAAAATTATATCGGAATGATTGTACACTTAGGTGTTATCTTAAATATGTACATAGCTTTTTAATTTAATGATATAGCTAAAAAAAACGAGATCCATATGAAACTACTTTTTTAAATAAAAACATTTCCTTTTGAATTGCCGTACATACTTGTGATTAATTCACCAGGTGGCAAGTTACTCCGAAGTGTTCGTGACAAGCTACCGGTTAGTCAACGCGCTCGAGCAGATAGCACTGAATTGATATTGGCGCTTGTAGGTCCAGATTCTGCCGAATTTTTTTCAATCAAATATACCTTATTCTGAGCAATATGCATACAGAACCTGATCACTCAGTTTATTTTAGAGATCCCATTACTAACTACGCGATTTGTGCCAATGACTTCGCCTATAATCTTATTTGTGTCGCTATGCGAAAACGGCTTTGCTTAATTTTGGTTAATTTGCCGGTAAGTCAAATCTCAATTTCAATACATTACTATGAATAAAAGGTCATTCTTCATTTTGAACTGTAGGAGGAGACTGGCGAATTTGTGTGGAATAATGTGCAAGAACTGGAAATAAGCGACATTGACCGACACTGCAATGCCCTTTGCTTTTCGCCGGACACTTCGCTTAATTGTACGCCCAACAAAGTGACAATTTGCGTTGCCATTGGATTATGCGAGCTTAAGCTGGTTCACAGCGATCTCAATCAGTACAACCGAATCCAATCTTTAAAGGGCCATACAGACTACATTAACGATGTTGCTTGGGTATGTGATGGGGAGTTGCTCGCCTCGGTCAGCGACGACTTTACGTGCAAATTTTGGAACGTCAGCACAAATCTGGAGAATATAATCACATTTTGCCTATCCTCGGCGGGTATGGCCGTAAAATCTCATCCTGAAGACCCAAATAAAGTACTCGTTGCCGAAAAAAGAGGCATAATTCATCTGTATAATGTGCGTAGCAAGCAAGCGATTGTGTCTGTTGAGGCACCGAAGTTTCCACTGATGTCTGCCGATTGGTCAAATGGCAACCGGTTGCTTGTAGCTGCTTTGTCCGGTGGCGACATAGTTACGTGGGATCTGAGCCGTCCCTTTGTTCCTGCCGATGTTAAACAAGTACACGAAGATGGTGGTCGAGCCGTACAATTTGCACCAGGAAGCTCTGACATAATGGTTGCTAGCATTGGGAGACCTGATATTACATTAAAGGTCTTCGCGCCAAAGTCAGCGGTGCCGTTGGTGGAGTACGGCCTCAAAACCTACGGCGGTTTGGCATGGCATCAAAGATTACCATATATAACTGCAGCGTCTGATAGAAAACTATATTTCTGGAAGGTGCAGGTTAAGTAAAAAGCACGGCCTAAAATAAAGTTACCTTTTTAAAAAATAGTAATTATGTGGTTCCATTAAAAACCGTTGTTGTTTATTATTAGTTTAAATCAAATGAACATGTCTAATATTACTGGGCCGCTTTTTCGGCCTGGTATTTGTAATGCAACATCTCGCAGTCCTCATTTGAAATGACCTTAAACCCATTCTTCGTCATGTGATATACACGGATGATACCACCGGAGTAGGCATCTCTATGGGTGGCATGGTAAATGGCTCTACGGCCCAATTCCTGAGCTGCTTCGTCTTCCAGGTTGTAGTCGTAGCCAGAATCGAGCACACCATATGCGAAGATCGAGCCACTTCCTACTGAGAACAGGTTACCAGCGGTGCGAGAGCCCTCAGAGTCGACATAGTATAAGCCGGGGCCGCGTTTGTCATAGCCAGCTAACATCATGCCCATGCTTAAGCCCATGCCTTTGTATTCATGAGCGATGTTAGCCATGATTTTACTGGCAGCGGCGACTGAGATGCGCTCCTTGTTTCGTAGCTCATGCAGCCGGCATTCTTTTGACAGCACCCGATCCCAATAGACGCAATCGGCGGCGCCACCAGCCAAGGTTCCCAGCAAGAAATCATTAATTTCGACAATCTTTTTCATAGATTGCGAACCAATGTACTGTCCTCCAGTGGCGCGCGAGTCCACGGCTAAAATGACACCACCCTTGAACTTGAAGCCCAACGTTGTGGTGCCGTGATCAAATTCGATCTTAATGCCCGTCTTATCTGCATTTGCTTGAATTTTATTCAAGTTCTCTACAGGCTAAAAAATTATTTTTTTTATTAAATATTTTTCCGAGACAGTTTACCTCGCACTTACATTCGCAAATGGCGGCGCAGCCAATGTGTACGGATTTTCAAAATTAGAGGCGTAGCTCTTCAACTCGTTCACGTCGTCAGTTGCCCATGCTGTGGGCCTCATGTACGAAGCATTTGAAATTTTGCAAATTTCGGCCAACGCCATTACTTCTCACAGTAAAAAATCAGTTCCTTAAATTCAAAGCAATGAGTTGCAATAAGTTGACAACTAATACTTATGTTAGAGATGTATGAAACATCGATTACCGATAAAATTCTTATTTCGCGTTGCCCAACTGTCTGCGGGAGGCTCTGTTGTGCATAAAACCTGTTGACAGTTTTAAAAACTGATGTAGGTTGCGGAATAATACTAAATTCAATAAAATATTAAAAAAGTATATAAAAATATTAGACATACAAATAAACAATAAGAATTAATGTTATTTATGACACATCTTAACATCAATTATGGAAAGATATTAAAATCCACAGTAAAAATACTTTACGTAATACTTTTGAAATATAGATGATATCGCTTAATGAAAATGTAAATAAAATCCTTAGATCTTGTAGTCCTGCATTAGCTAACGATATAAAAGATAAACTATCAGGCACCGTCAGTATGTCTATATCCAAACCTCCACAAAAGAAAACCGTAGGATCTTTGATAAACTCTTTGTCGCCGAGTTACATGGCTTTTATATTACAAAAAAATGTTTAGTTTAATTATATACTTACTGTTACTGGCGTTAATAAAGGCAATACAAATATAGAATTAAAATATATTTTCTTTAAAAATGTTTAATAATAGCATTTATGTGTAAATATCAGAATGTCAAGTACATTTTTGTAATAACAGATCGTTTTGGTGTTTTGATAGAGACGCTAATGCGGCCTTATTAATTTAAAAACAAAATTTAATTGTAAAACTGTTAAAGTAATTATGACAAACGATGGCTTACGTCATTCATAAAATTCTGTTTGGTTCAAGAAAAATGGGCAACTATGATATTATCATTTTGGAGAATACATAAGTAAATTTTTATCAACTCCCTAAAAATGATTTCTCGATGTACAGTACTTAATTTAAAATTCTATAAATGACACGGCAGATGATCTGCCAGCTACTACTCAAACTTATCCTTATCTTAACAATAGCTTACATCTGAATAATAATATTACAAATTACAATAGCCAATTATTTAGTCATTTTGCGTCGCCTAATCGTAATCTATAATAATAGTGTTGCATTTCTTAGGGGTTGTTGGTTTAACGGAAATTTATGCAGCTAACCCGGCTTTGCTATCTGTAACTAAATATTGATATCTCAAGACATGAAAATGCTTATTTATCTTGGGAATTTGTATGTGGCCTATGGTGAATCAGGTAATGCCTCAAAGAGGACTAGTGTCCGAGTCTTCACGTTCTTGGATTGTAGTTATACTCTGCTGCAAAGCATTCGGCGTCAGCCATTCCTTTGGCAGGCATCTTTGTAAAAATGGGACACAAGAGCTAAAATGTGCTAAGCGATTTACCCAGCTTGGTATTTCTTGGCCGCAAAGTATCTGTGACAAATTGTTTTCCAATCAATTAATATCAATAAATAATGGAAAGGTAGTGCTAAGTTACCTGTGTTAAGGATCCGGAAAAATGGTTGCAATTATTGTTCATAAGATGATAGCGATCTCCCCGAAACTGGTTTCCTAGCTCCTCCACAATGCGACGCACTTCCTCATAGGTAAAGTCAGTGCAGCCAATTTGAATACTTTGACGGAATTGAAATTGATCTCCGAGTTCATCGTGATCGCGAGGCGTTATCTCAAAAACGCCCGTGAAAGGAAAAGGGTGTCCACCATATGCGAATTCTGTGCCAAAAGCTTCTACTCCAGAATGAAATACACCAAGCCCAATCGACGTTGTATATTCGTTGATCCAATACTGAAAATTAGTGTAATAGCGTTGATCATGCAACTAAACTAAATGCATGTTTTAAATTGACTCACCATATCATAGACATTTAATATTACAGGTTCCCTTGTCCCCATGTTGGAAGGCAACAGCTCTTCATTACCACTGTCTTTTGGAACACTAAGGCAGCTCGGAAATGACAGGTTGCACGGCAGTCCGTTCGAGAACATTGAATAAATGCGAAGTGTGTTGATTGCGAAGAGAATAATCTGCGTTAAAGGATACAAAAATAGTACAATATGTGAAAATACTTTCCATATTTTTTAATTACAAACATTTGTGTTGATATTCTGTGCTTTTATACCATAATTGTGAACAATATGCATACATTTGTATAAACATATACACTTAAAGCACTGCACTGAACATATGTATATTCAAACATACATGCTTACATATTATATGCTAAGTATGGGAATATGTATAAAAATATCTATGTACATGCAAACAGATGTATATATGTATGAGTGAGCATAGTGAATATGTATGTACATACATACATACATATGTGTACTATATTACAAATGTGTCATGACACATACTTACACCTTTGCAAGGTTCCTAATACGCCATACTCCAAAGAAGAGTGATGAGTTAAGTGAAAGTGTCACAGGTTTTAAATTTATTTTCCCGACGTTCTTTATTTAAAACTCTCAATTTTTGTTTATGGACCCAAGGAAAATACGCTCGGTTTGGTGCCGTGAGAACGAAAAGCACAGGGTGGTCCAATATCTAGTGAGTAGGCGTATCGTCAGTATCCCCACCAGGGCTACAATAATTGCATTTATCGCTGGTTAAGATGCAAACTTTATTTTCTTTAAAATGTTTTCTGTTTTTACACGGTAGGTTGGTTCCAAAAAAGTTGTGTAAAAACGACATTGATCATGTTATTTTAAATCGTGCTAAATGGAAAAATTATTTATTTTCAAACCGTGTTAAATCAAAACCGCTTAAAAACAAAATTAAGTGTACATAAAATAGTTGCCACACTATTTAGGATACAATGGCTTAAAAAATTGTATTTAAAAGAAGTACTATTAAGGATGAGGATTTATATTTATCTTTAAAAAGGTCAGATAATAATTTATTTTAATTTATGCATTTAATATATTGAATAACAGGAAGCTATCTTTCGGGGCTTCTTGCTCAATTATTTCATTTTTAAATTGGTAATAAGCGTTAGTTTCGACAAAAATACCAAAACGAAAAGTGCAAGTTTATTAAGAACATATGAAATTTTTTGTCGTGCTTTCGCATTATTTTATTTCGTATTATTTTTCATTTATTTTATGGTTGTGCGACAAATGCACTTCAGAAAAATATATAATATTAAAGGCAATATGTATTTTCATACATGTTTCGCTATTTTTTGCGAATGCATCCCAATGATAGGTATATACATACATATGCACCCTGTGCTGTTCCACTTTCATTTTGTGGCGTGTATGGAACGCCGAACAGCACGCATTAGTTTTCTGCATAATTTGGAGGTTGGTTGTTAAACTTATTTCTGCGTTGGATAAAAGTGCGCTGAGTGTCGTTTGGGTAAAGCTTATATAAAATGGGAAAACGTCGGACGCAGTCCCTAATCGATTCCAATTCGAGCGATAGTGATTCGGACACAAATTTGGAGTCGGTGAGTAAACGAAAACGATTTTTAGTGCTTCCTACACTTGAATATGTGTATGTAGATATGTATACATACGTTGTGTGCACATTTCTATGTATGTATGTATGTGCTTGTACATTTGTGCGAATGTAACAAATCAATGATGGTATTATTAAATTTACTACGCAGGACTTGTTATCACTGGCAAAAAAGAGGAAGAAGCCCGGCAATGCCAATAAAGCGTCCACTTCCAAGTCTGACTCTGACTCAGACTGGGCGAACAACAAAACAGGCACCCATGCCGCAAAGAAGAAAAAAAGAACAAAAAAGGCGAGCAGAGAGTCGAGTTCGTCGGAAGAGAACTGGGATGATGATAGCCAGGATGAGGCGCTGGTGCAGTTGCCAGCTGCGGATAAGCAACCGCAAAATGAAGCGAATTCGGCCAAACTCAGCGAGCACGAAGAGGGTGAGGTGTCTGATAGTGACTCAGACAGTGGAAAATCGAACTCGTCGTCAGCATCGGATTCGTCAAGTTCGTCCTCATCAAGTTCCGATTCTGAGTTCGATGACGGGTACGACGATGATCTTATGGGCGACGAGGAGGACCGAAAGCGTCTAAACGGTCTGTCGGAAAAAGAGCGAGAAACAGAAATTTTCAAAAGAATCGAGCAACGCGACCTGATGAGAACAAGGTGGGAGATCGAAAGAAAGTTAAAGCTTGCACGACGTGGGGAGAAGAACGAAAAGTCCAAGTCAAAAAGTGAACGTGCAAAGAAAAAATCCAAAAATAAGGAGAAGATAAAAAAAGCAAAAGATTTGATACCACCAACACCGGTGTCGCCATTGCCGCAAAATGAACCCAATACCAACAATACCGAGATGCGGACCTTAGCCAAGAGCCCCTCTCCAATATTATCTAACCGGGAAGTGGCCTCAATGTCAGGGGCACTTGGCGGCTCCGCTGATGGCAGCCCCGATGAACAAGCTGCAGGCGGCGTGTCTGACTATTTTGATCATAAGGAGCGGTCAAAAGAGCGCAAAAAGAATGTGGAAGCCAATAAAACCGACGATAAAAGAAGCAATGCAATGGCCTTGCTGAAGGCTAAACGTGAAGGAAAAGCTAAACGAGGTATATATGAATACAAACATAATTGAAATAAGATAATGATAGATTCAATATTTATAACAATTGCAGAGGAAGAGGAAGCAAAGCGGCAAGCGGAACGTGAGCGGGATGATGAAAAAGAAGAGTTGGAGAGTGTTTCTGGTTGCAAATCGGCTGTAAAACTGAAAGCATCCGAGATTTATTCAGATGATTCCGGCAGCAGTGATTGGGATGAGGATGAAAAGCCAACAGGAAAGCGATCTCGTTCCAATAGCAGTAAAGCGACAAGCGAGTCGGAGGACGACGAGAAGGCGACCAAAAGCCCTGTCTTTATAACCACCCGTGAGGATTTGAACAAGTTGCGCCTTTCGCGGTTTAAAATGGAGCGCTTCGTTAATCTACCAATTTTTGAGAATACAGTTATAAACTGTTTCGTTCGCATCAGTATAGGCAACAATGGGCAGAAGCCAGTTTACCGGGTCGCTGAGATAGTTGGTGTTGTTGAGACGGGAAAAATATATACTTTGGGCACAACTCGAACCAATCGGGGACTGCGTCTGAAGCATGGCACACAGGAGCGCGTTTTCCGCCTAGAGTTCATATCAAATCAGGAGTTTACGGAAAATGAATTCAACAAATGGTTCGAAGTGTGTCAACAACAGAAAGTGCCAATGCCAACAGTTGACCTAATCGATATAAAACAGAACGACATTAAGAAGGCGCTCAACTACGAATTCAAGGACGAAGACGTCGACAAAATCGTTGAAGAAAAAAATCGCTTCCGCAACCGTCCAACAAACTATGCCATGAAAAAGACCTGCCTAATGAAGGAGCGTGACGCGGCAATGTTGCGGGGCGATTACGATATTGCGCAGGACCTAGGCCAGCAAATAGAAGAGCTAGAGAGCCGTGCTTCCGAACTAGACAAAAAACGTTCCAGTAGCTTGAGTCTAATATCATACATCAACGACCGAAATCGGAAACGCAATGTTGAGGATGCTGAAAAGGCCATTATGGAAGAGGCTCGTGCGAATAAGGGCATGAAGATTTCTGATCCGTTTACTCGACGTATTACTCAGCCCCGAATGGGTTTCAAAGGCTCCAAAAAGGACGAAGATGATGTATTACCGGCTCCATTACCACCACCACCTCCAGGGAAGAAGAGGCCAAATGAAGCACCGACTACCAAACCAACGGACAGCAAAGATTACAGCTTGTACTCTTTACACGACTTTGACATCGACCTAGATGTACCATTACCAGGTGAGCTTTCGTTCAAAGCTATTATTATAATGGGTAATAATGTCAATATTTTAAAAATCTGTTTTTACAGTAAACAGCGCTAATGCGGTGCCGAAGCCTGCGAACAAACCATCAGAAACCGTGTCAAAACGTTCGTTAAACTTAGAAGATTACAAAAAGAAACGAGGTCTTATTTAGCTGCTTAATTCAAATAATTAATATAATGACAGTTGTTCGTGTGCTTTCATCATAGGTTAGTGGTTTTAATTAAATTTTTGATACATAGTCGATCAATGTGAAAAGTTAGTCACTATTAGTTTTCGCATTCAACCAGAAAATTAGTTAATGCTCGGATTTCGCAGTTGGCGAATTTATCACCAATAAGTATAATTTATAAATTGTAATTTGTATTCCTATCATAAAAGATAGTCCGTATACATATATATATAATCGATAAGTTTTTTTTGTTTTTAACTACAGACCGCAATCTTTTACATTTAAAGAGAGCACCTTGTTTTTCGCATTGAATCTGTTTCGATCTTTAAGAACTGGCCAACACATACATAGATACACGCGCGCATATATACTATATAAATATACTGTTGATTTATGTTCTAGGTATATTTTTTATTTTTATTTATAAACCATATTTAGATAAAATGTACAATCAGTTGACACACGAAACGTAATTATGACATTAATCATATTAACGCTCTCAATCAGTTTTAGATTGCATAATTTGTTTCCTTTTTATTAGGATTAAGCTCAATATATTGTGTATGTATTAGTTGTTGTATACCAGCAATGTTCAATTAACCTACGTATATTAAATATGTTCTTGTTTGTAGCAATCAAGAACGCGATTTGTAATAAAAATCTATCCATGAAATTAATTATTATCTGTGTAATTTGTATGATGCCCACTGGAATTAAATATCCAAATTGACTTCTCATTTTCAAATCGACATAAAAAGTTATATTTCATTTACTGGCTCTAAACATTTGTTTGGTCGATTAATGAATATTGTGACTTGAGTGTTTCTGGTGGCCTTTAAATTGGTTTGCAGTTTGTTTGTGCAGATGTCGCGTTCTCTTTCCCGTCTCCGTAGCTCACAATTAATTCAATTAATTTGATGAAATGGTTTTTTAATTGAATGTCGAGCTATAGATGTTTTGCGGTACAGTTCGGGGTAAACACAAACATATATTGCCAACGGTTTTTTTTATATATATGTACGTATATACTTATATGAGCAGCTTTCATCAACCTCGTGTTTTTGAGTACGCTGCTGGGAACCTTTTGGCAAACGATATAAATATACCTATAAATATACATACATCTCTCTGTACGTACAAATTCACATCCGAGAAAGCTTAACAATTAACAGAAATCTGTGCTGTCTGTTTTGAATCTAAATTACTCTATAGTGGTGAATGGATATAATATAAACGGGAATGCAGAGCTCTACATATCAGTATCCAGCTGCATGCACATGGCACTGTGCAACAAAAACTTTGTTCTTTTTTGGTAGCCTTCGACCATTTTGTAACATATTGTTTTGAAACTAGATAAAAAAAAGGAGAAATACTCACGGTATTTAGGTCTTCTGGGGTTACGGATTAACTAATATATTAAGCAAAATGTTCAATTCCAGCACATTAAAATGTAAGTATGGCCGAAGATAAAAAAGAAGATAAATGTTTTGTTATTTAGACCTTCTGGGACGTTAACTTGCTAAAATATGAAGCAAAATGTTCAATTCAGCACATTAAAATGTAAGTATGGCCGAAGTCAATCAATTGCAATAAGGCAAAAATAAAAATTAATATTATTTAAGTGAATAGTAATATTGATTAATAGGTTATAATTAATAATTTAATAGTTTTATTTGGTCTAATGGTGTGTTTAAGAATAAACTAAAATAGCCCTAGAATCTAAAGAAGAAATATATTCTTCACCTGATGTAGTTAAAGTTCTGTTTGGACATTTGTTATAATAATGTGATTTTAATGAATTATTCAGACTAGGGTTAAGTTCATTTTCAAGTTGAAACATATAAGTTCTAATAGTAGATTAAAAATTAGTAAAAATTTACTTCATATTATAGCAAAAAAAGGATTCATTTGTTGAAGACTAAGAAATGAATTCTGTTTCTAAAATAAATTTCGAATCTTCAAAAACCTATTTAAATATATATTTAAAAACAGCATGGCTTGTTAACCCCGTTTTTAGAGATTCAAAAAGGATACCTTAAATGGGGGAATTGCTGTTGAAACAAATATTTATCAGTTTATGAAACTAGTTGAGGTTTTTTTCTAAACGTACAACTTTCTATTTCAAAATTTGTGGTAAAAGGACTTATTTTTGTTGCACTGTGCAGCCGGTGCTGCTAAAAGAGCATAGTGTTCACGAATGTTGCTGATCCGATAACAATGATGAACTGGGACCGGGCGTTGACGGCTCCGCACATATTCATTTTTCCATTATGGCACAATGACATTTTATCTGAAAATATGCGACAGAAGCACGTCGACGTCCTCTGAAGCGGAGAGTGTAATAGATCAGAATCAGAATCCGAACAATCAGAATGCTGAAAGTTACCGATGCGTGGCCCTTACACATACAAATAGGCGGCATCGGTAGATTGTATGCATGCATGCGCATATATAAAGATACAGTGTGGATTCATTATGTTTATCAAAAACACAACAGTTAACACAACATTTTCGGGGGTTCCTCATATCAAAAGCGCACTGTTTTCATACATGTTGCATGAACATGTGTATGTACTTATGAGAACTCACTTAAATACATACATATGTATATAAGTAGTATTATATACTTGTATTTATTCTGGTAGCATAAAACTTGCAGTAACATGAACGCGGCTAATCAACCGGCATACAAGCAAGTGGCTTTGGGAATTGGAATCGGAATCGGAATCATCGTCATTGTCATTGTCCGGCTGGTCGTCCGTCATTCAGCGTCTCTTCATCGTCGCCTCTGCATCTTTCATTGTGCACTTATACTTATGAGTTACGAATAGGCCTGCCCGAGCTGTCGGGTTGGGGACGCCGCATCTCCAGTTCTAGCGATCAGTTCAAAGTTGACGTCGTCGCGGTCTGTTCAGTTTTTCAATTTGTGCTTGGGAACGCGAACATTTTAAATTGCGACACGCGCCCAAAGGGAGGTCTGTAAGAGTGTAATAGATTCGATTACCCGGAGCCGTCAATGCTAGCTTATAGTATTTAATTTAATTTAAATTCAAGTGTTGTTTATATACATTTGTGAAACGAGACCAACATGTGGCCGCAAAAGTGCACAAATGGCGTCTTAATAGTGCTTCTATTCTCCCTAAGTCTGGTCAATAGTGAACTCAATTTCAACAATGATCTGGAAAATAATCAAAAGTTTAAAAGCATACCAACTACGATTAAAACCTTTGAGAATGACACTGTTCTGCTGCCGTGCTATTTAAATAGTAAGTATTACAAACATAATTATCTAAAAAAAAATTAATAGATATATTAAAAATAAGGACAGATTTAAAAAGGTTTCCTAAATTTTGGGCACTTTGCAACATGTCTGCTAATTATAATAGACATTATAGTAAAATATCTACATACATATATGCGTTTAGTTTTTTATTGTGCACTGTTTGTTCTGGTGATCATCGCACATCGCGAAAGTAAAAGCTAAGAAGCTTAAATTGGGACACAAGTTAATAAAACTTGTTGTGCGTAGGGGAGCACAGTTGTTTTTGGAAAACGTGTCCTCCAATTGGCAGCAAACGTTTGCATGAAAAATCTAACTTTTTCATTAACTTTCCTTTAGACTTGATTTCTGTATTTTACATATTTTTGTATCTCTCTGGGCAATTAGGTCAATAGAATCGAAAAAAATGATTGATTTGCAGGAATTTAACATTAAAAAAAATTGTTTAGCAAAATCTGTCCATCTTTGTTCATTTACTTGAAGATATTAATTATATTTTTCTGAGGAGTAGAATATTACTATATACAAGTATACACTATACACCAATAGGAATGTTGTCAGATCCGTAATTTTTTGTATAAAAGCAAATATAGAATTCAACAAGAATATGGGAATAATATATAGGAGTATTAATTAACGCAGGGTTGTATAGTAGAGTGAACTGATGTTTGTAACGCTCTAGATAATTCCTGTAGTACAGTAATACAATTTTCAAATACATATTTCGTGGTAACTTCAACACGAAAAAAAGTACATATTTTTTTATTTGAGCATTAAATCTTTTGCTCAAGTTCATATTATAAAGATGAACAACGCATTAAGTTAGGCATGATAAGCAAGAAGTATCTTTCGTAGATTATCGTTGCCCGTTTTCAATTGAATATAACAATGACATTTAATTGGGATAAAAGGAACAAATAAAGTGACTTTATTTACTACACAAAAGCAGTTAAGGAAATTTTCTCGCAACAATGGATTTGGACATAATAGATGAGCAAACGTAAACGGATTCTATTAATTGAACGTTCGTCTCATGTGCTCATGTTCAGGAACGATAGTTTTCTTGCCCTCCAAAATAGAGTCATGATGATATAATTGGACCAGCATCAATTTTCGGTATCAATATATTGATAAAGAATATCAAATTTGTATTGAAAAGTTTTGAATTTATAATTAGCCTTTTAATTAATTAAATCATATATTATTCAAACGTCAAGGTTACCAATTTATGTCTAAATGGCAGAATTTTGATTACGCACAAAAGGCGAATACGATATTTTATATAGATATACTAGGCATACTATATTTTATATTCATATCTTGGTCCAACGAACATACTCGTAGGTAAACAAAATAAAAAAATGGTCAAGTTTCCAATGTTATTAAATTGTGTTCGAGATTTCCACCGTCTCTTATGTGCACAGCTTACTTATAATAAATAGGCCGTCAGCAAAGGATCGAAGAAACATTGTAAAAAGTTTTATTTAAGATTTATAGGAAAAGTGTAATACAAAAATAGTAATCTAAAAAATACACATGAAAAAGTTTGTTTTCGATGTTTAGAAGAATCAACATATTCGTACCAAGTTTGGTGAATTTAAGTTATTTAGTAATATATTATTTACTTTGTGCATTAATGTTGTTTTTACGTGCTTTGGTTATAGCTTAGTGTCCGTGAACCTTAAAGAAACGTGTGTCCTATATTTTGATTTCCGGTTCTTCCGATTTCTAGCACCCTTTCGCTATGTCCGCTGGCACAGAGACGATGTTCCACTTGTTGATTCTCGACACCCAGAGATTTTACCGCAGGAGAGAATTCAATTGTGGGCCAATGGCAGCTTACAGGTTTCAAATGTGCTGGCTGAAGATACTGGCGATTACTATTGTGAGATAATGTCGAGCACAAGTCACGCTGTACAGGTATCTATAATCTTTCATATATTTGTAATTTCCTTAAAATGTATTGTTTGCCAGGTGCATGCGATAGAAGTTCAATACTCGCCTAGTGTCGTTACGGAGCCCAGTGGCGTCTTGGAGCTACCGGTGGGTGCAACTTTTGAAGTAGTTTGTGCAGCCAAGGGAGTGCCACAGCCGGCAATCACGTGGCGCCTTAACGGAAACGCGCTGGACAAATATAACAATATGGGCAACAGGCAGAGTCATTTATTTGAGATCAAGTCTCGCAGCATGTCCGGGCCCATTGAGTGCATGGCCAGCAACGGAGTGGGTCAACCAGCAGTAGCTGGAGTCTATCTGCAGGTGCTGTGTAAGTACTTATTTCTTAAAAAAGATGTTAAAAACATAAGATTAAATGTTGCAATACACTGCCTTCAGCGTTTTATCGGTGAGGTTTAGATTTAACAATGGATTGAAGCAATCAACTTTTATAATTTTATTATAAACGAATGAAAAGGATTCAAACACATTTATTTTTAACGAAAAATTTCGAAATAAATATAAGCATTATCCATCTGTCTGTATTCTCGTTTAAGATTGTTTATAACTTAAACATTCAAGTGATTAGCAGCATTCGGAAACTCTACTTGAGGCGTGTACTTCAGAAATGATTGACAAAATCCACAATATCATTGGATTGTTGGGGAATCGCTCTGTGTTTTTATTTTCCTCGAAATTGTATTTGAAAGAAAACAATTTTGTGGTCAATTCAAAGACATTAGAAATTTTACATCAATTCAATACTTTTGTTAAAGTATTGATTACAGCCCAGAGGCTGGTCAAATAGAGTTTGTCTGGAGAAGATTTGGCTCATCAGTACGAGCAGTTTATCTTTGGAACAAGTGCATATTTTCAGAATCTTTGGAGACATATTTTAAAAGAGGTCCGCTGATAGAAAATTTAAGTACTAATAGCTGATTAAGTAATATTATTTTATTATTATTACGTACACAGACTTTTTAATATTTCTAGCCATTCAATAAAGATTATTATTTTTGTTTTCGAATAGTTGCACCCGAGCTGACACTACCACAGACTGTTGTGTACACGAAAGTGGGAGCTCGTGCCCATTTGGAGTGCATTGTAGAGGCGGCTCCAACAGCAGAGCTACAGTGGTTCCATTATGGAGTGCCCGTACAAACAGGCCCCCAGATAAGCAGCCATGAGACGGAGCTGCAGGCGAATCGTTCGCTGGACCACTATGTTAGTGAAACAAAGCACGTGCTAATCATCAAGAAGGTCAGGGACTCGGACATGGGTCAGTATGAATGCCGGGCTCACAACAATATAGGCTTCAAAAGTGCAACTATTGAATTGACTGGAAGACCAATGCCATGTGTGTTTAAAATTAATCCTGGAACGCAGAGCTCAACATCTCATGTGTTGGTTTGGCAAACCGAAAGTCTACTGCCAGTAATGGAGTTCAAGCTGCGTTTCCGACAGATTCCATCAGGTAAGTCAGTTCATTTGATAACCAACAAATAGATCACATATTTGTGTTTTAAATTCCAAAAGGCAATGTTACAAAACAAATCAGAACTAATTGGACCGAGCTTACCATTCCTGCTCAAGTGACAATCGGTAAGTTGGCGCTGAAGATACTTTTGAAAGATACATTTTATAATCATTGCTTTTCTTGATAACAGGACCGATTTACATCACTTCTTATACACTGCATGGCCTGCAACCAGCCAGCCTATTTGAGGTCTCAGTTCTAGCCAGAAATAGCTTCGGTTGGAGCGATAATAGCAAGATAGTTCGATTCGCCACTGGCGGTGAAGGTAAATCTTAAGCCTATCTTTTGGAACCAATTTTTATAATTCATTCCATTTAAAGTCGAGTTGCCCAATTACTCAACGGAATCAGAGATGCAATACGATGGGCCGGAAGAAGATGACCTAAACAATGAAATCACCCATAGATCGGAGATATTCACGGCGAGCATGATTCATAATAGAGCCACAATCACTATACACAGCGCTTTTGTATATTGCATCATTTTATTAAACCTAAGTTTAGTTTTCCTTCAAAGAACAATAATGTAAAGGGAAAACCACGAAACATTTGTACTGATTGAGATGTTCTCATAAATAAATCAATTTTAAATTATTCTTTTCTAATGCATAATTCTCAAACTCTCGGATATGTCAAAATAAAATATTTTTTTAAAGCTATATGCTTTTTAGCCTAGATTTGTGCTGCAAATTCTAAATGATACAATTAATAATAAAAAAACAAATACATTTTGTAAAAGGTTAGCTTTATTTTCCAAATTCTGGATGGTTAGGTGCTCTTCTATATAATTTTGATTGTTAATAAATTTGAGTCAACATTTTTGTTAGAATCATGACTCAAGGTGTTGTTTGCTGATTTGACTTCCTAAATGAAATATCGGGGTGATGACACGTTTAGACAGATAAGAATGTTTTGATTTAAGAAAAAAAGTATTGGCTTTCATGACTAACTATTTTTAAGAAAAAGCAAGTACATAGTTTTTGCAAGGCGTTACTTTTCAGTCAACAGATTTCTCAAATATATTTCTCCATTGCCTTGTACGAATACTCAAAACTGAATTTATTTTTAAAGTTTCGGTAAATGAAAGTACTATTTAAAATTTTTTGTCAAATTTTTTTTAATTATGCCAATTTTTTTCATTTATTAGCTATAGCATTTTGGCTTTGGAATAAATCGTTTGTGTACCGCTTTTTTAAGGTCAAGCTTGTCTAAAAATAAACTGTTTTCTCGAAATGGCGTAAATATGCGAAAATCATATTAATTATAGTTATAGTGAAAATATCCATGTATGTACTATATACATATGTATGCGTTGTGGTTAGACACTAACTACTGAGTAAGAAATGTAAAAATTGTTGCTCAACACCGTTGTAAAAATATTTGAAAATATTCTTTTTTAAGTGATAGCATCAGGAAATTAGTATTTTAAGAGGTAATTTAAACAATTGTGCAGTAAATATGTAACCACACTATAGGTATTATTATGAGTATTTTTCATCAGAAATACCCACAAAAATTTGAATATATGTATACTGGGGAATTTTTATTCGGTTCCAGAATTTACATCAATGGCATCATGTTGACGTTTCAGTTTACAGAAATTTCCATTAAATTTCAACGTTTTTTAAACAACACTGGAATAAAAAATGTCGTGATGCTAACGGCTAAAAGGACTAAACTGTTAAAATGAACTTGAAGAGGGCGCCTTACTTTGACTATTTACCGATGAGGCAGCAGCAACAGCTTCAACTGCACACTGAGAGGCGACGCGTTCAAGAGAATTGGGAGAGTTGGGGCCCCGGCACCGTGTTCCATTCCACTGTGTATCTTAGTTTGGGGCTGTCGTTGTCATTGGCAGCACAATCTTGGAGCAGTACTCATTTAAAAAGCATCGCGTACGGTACGATACGGCGGCAAAACAGCTGCATACTCTAAGTACTTAAACACTTCAATTAGTTTCTATGTTACGGACATACGCATCGCTCAGTCACAATAAACTATGAATTTTAAAATTAAATTGGCGCTCGCGCAAAAACAACAACTCGCAAAATCAAGCCTCTATCAATACATTTGTATTTTTCAATACGAGCGTATACAGATAGATGTTTAATGTTTTCGGGGCGAAAGCTTTTCAAGTGCAAGTGTTACAACTGGGAGAACTGTTCATAAATCAAAAAAAAAAAATTACAATAATGCCGTTGCTAGCTACCTTTTGTTGTAACGTTTTTAACCAAATCTTTGTTGAGGGTCTCTCTCCAACGCTCCATCTCTCATTTCTTGCGCTGCCTGTATCTCGACCAGTCACAGTCCCAAAACCTGTTTGTTCCTCTAGGCAATGCCGTGTAAATGGCACAGGCATCGCTATCGCCATCGCCATTCATCCATTTGTACCTGGTTCGCTGAAGCCTGCACTGTGGCACAATGAACATAGCGAGCTCTGGACCAAAAAACACCAAAACCGCAATGTAGTTACCTGCCAAGAAATTTAAGCTCGTTTCCGAAATCATGCAACTTTTGAAAAATTGGTAAAATGCACGTAATTTTGCAAAATTATTGCTTTTCAGATGTTTAAATAGTTCAAGTAGTGATAAAATTGTTCGCTTTTTGCAAAATTAACCAATTTCCCTTTCGCAAAATTTGTTCGCTTTTGGAAACGGGAGGAGGCCTAATTATTGGCTACAACCTTGTGACTCATAAGATAGCCAAGCAGTGCAAAACTGCAATGCAGTTGTAAAGTTGGGCAGAGTTTCTGGGCTAAATGTGAATTTCGCTGTTTAACGGTACACCCCGCAGTCACCCGCACAACAACAACAGCAGCAGCAACAGCAATAATAACGAATCGAAATGCATTTGGCACTCGCTGCTATGCACGCCTCACAAATCGTAGAAACTAGTATGCAAATGGTTTGGCAAAAGTTCGCTGCACACATTCTATAAATATATAGAAACATGCATTTGTCGTTGTGCCTGCCAGCACTCGCAAAATTTTACAGAAATAATAAAAACGGTGCCAATCAAAGGCAAAAATGTGCAGAATAAATGAAAGCGAAATGGCAGAGACTGCGCCTGCGACTGCGACTACGACAGAGGGGGATGTTCTTGTTGTTTTTGTTGATGTTGATGTTTGTGTTGCGAGGCAAGACGTTGGCATTGGCGACCAATTGAAAAAGTTGCAGGGCAGCTGATTCATTTCAGGCAGAAGAAGGAAGCTAAAAAACGGGCCAGACAAGTGAAAACAAACGAAGAGGCAACGGAAAAAAATCTTTTGTTGTTATTTACGTCACCTACAAAGTTTTCGATTCAATTTCGGGCGGCATGCATTCCAGATACAGAGATACAGATACCAAACAAAATCAAGCCAACCAGCTGCATGCCTGCCGTTGCATGCCACACACAAACACACATGTACTTACATACATACTCACAATCAAATGACCCATCGAGTACTGCAGCTTGTATATGCATTAACACATACATGTACTACATGTTCATACATAGTACATACATAGTTCTACATACATATACATATAGCGGGAAGGAGAGCCTTGTGCCCGTGCTTTGGGTTCTGGGCGCTTTTCCATCTGTGAACGTAAACTTGAAGCACAATGTAAATAAACAAACATGCAACGAGCAAACAGCAATTGCATTCACAATTGATAAATTCATATTTTTGGAACACATACGTAACTATATATGTACATATGTATGTACATATAAACACATAATGTTTATATTTATGCCAAAATATATAGGTAAATACATTTGGCTTGAGTTTGTTTTCTGCAGCATATGTGTACATGCCCAGCCCCGTAAAAACCCGATATATTCTGAACAATACCAACTCCAGCATAGAACATTTAAAATTACAGAAATTTTAAAGATAGTATTTAATTACTGGAAAATCCGTATGTAAAATAAATATACAAATAATTTGTTTTCCTGCGATACGTTAGATGTCTAAATTCAATTTATATTATTTATGGGTTCTTATGGACTTTAATTCCCATGCAATTTTTCAATTTTCGATTATTGAACTTCCATTGAACGCATTTCCTTATCGCACAAAAAAATGCTGGACATGTTAATGTTTATTTTTTTAATTAAATTTTTTACCAATTGCGAACAGTGTTTTCTAAGATGCGAAACAACATTTTCAACATTTTGTGGGCATTTTTTGAGTTCTCCCATTTGCACATTAATTTATTTATATTCATAAACATATTTGCATGCTTTTGCATGCCATTTGGTATTGGGGTCCCACCAGCCCCCAGCAACTGCCCCAACCCATCGACCGACACACTTATGCACATATTTCTGCCGGTTGGCATTGAGTAAGAGAGGCAGGCAGGCTAGGCAGGTGATCGGCTAAGCTGGCTGGTGTAAATTAGCGAACTGAGCACAAAAGATTGCGATTTTCGCACACAGATCATAATATCTTTGAGATACAAATGCGAGTGTATACATGTGTATTGCATATTTGTGTGAATGCCTCGTATTTGTATTTGCAATGTGTGTATGCGCCTTGCATAATCATGTTTACCATTTAATCGCTACTCAACGAAAACTGTCCACTGTTTACTGCTAAAAACAACACGAAACCAAACACAAGTGCACAAGTAGGTGGAGTGGGGGGTTGGGGGAGACTGCACTTCAAGCCCAACAGCTGCAACATTCGACTTATGTACAAATTATTTTTTGACTCAACTTCTTATATCGGTGTTTCTTCGCATTCGGTATTCGAACAGAAAAATGTGCTGTTGGCTGATTCGTGGTTTGCGGCTAAATTGAAAATCGAAATTGAAAACTTAATCGCGATTGTTTTTCTTGGGCGCGTTTCCGTGGCGGGCCGCGAGTAGAAACATGCACACGATATGCATACGAAAGCAACTCTGATCGGTTGTCGGCACTTTGTGTTACCAATTTGCTTTAGCAATTTAATGGCAAATTAATTAAATTGAGTATCGCACCAACAACATCTCTACATATTAATTGCAGTTAACGATCTACCTCCGACACCACTACGAACACAAAATATAAAATCGATAACGATGAGGAATTTGACATGGCTCCTATTCCTCTATCTTTCAATGGGAATACTCTATAAAGGTAAGCCTTAAGGCAATAGTCCGTAAATGAAAGGCGTTAAGCCAACAAGCATGTCTCAATGTATGCGTCCGAAAAAGGGCATCCAAAACCTTATTAATATTAATTGCATATCAATAAAAAATACATTTGAATACAAACAAGAGAAAATGGTTAATGATAATGGGACATTATTCTTAATGTAGATGCTCATTATTTAGCATCTATAGCTTAGATTAGACCGCTTGATAATTTGTCGTGATCCCACAATAAGTTAAGAACGTATTACAGTATCTAGATAGAAGTTCTTGCACAGAGATATTTTATAATTGACAAATATACACACTATACGTTCAGGAAAGTGTGCACGATAGAGCGGCATTACATCCTCTGTAGAACTACGTAATTTATATATTTAAAGGTTTGTCATGCTATTTAATATTATTTAAAGACTTGTACATTTTGCTACGCTGTCGGTGGAGTAATACTTGTAGTAAGGGCTTTTCTGTTAAGCATGGGACTAACTGCCTCGTTGATTGTACATACAGACGATGTTAATACTTTTTATACATATACTTGTATATATATATAGGGACATCTGTATAGTATATATAGTTATTTGTGTAGCATTCCTAAAGATATACTGAAAATAATTCAAAATATTTTTGCCCAGTAACTCGTGTAACTTTCGCTTATTATTGATAATTGTTTTTACTACGGGTATTGTGGCATTCGATGTTCAATGAAATAGAGTATATAATAGATGTACATACATATGTATTAAGTGTGTATGAAGGTGCAAGCTTTTTGAATTGCCGATATCACTCGACCCGCCTAAAAAGACACTGCCAACCAGCTAACTAGCCGTCCAGCAACCCAGCGCGCCAGCAAATAGTATCTACAAGTACATGTGATATGACTGTGCCTATCAACTCGTTATTTCTTTACCACGTGCGTTTTTTGTTTTTTACTTAATTCTTATTTATGCTAAAGCCAGAGAGAGTGGAGCGTCATGGAAGCATGATTGTAGAATTTTTTCCATATCTTATCATTTTGTAGCGCAGGTGAGTGAGATGGGGGCGGTGGTGAGGGCAATGAGGAGGCAGCCTATCTTCTGTTGAAGAGTTATGGCGCAAATGCAGATAACGGTAAACATTCTACTGCACGTAAATACACATCTGTAGGTAGTGGTGGGCTGTAGTAAATAAGTACGTTTATACATGTATATACACTGAAAAAAAGAGGTATAAAAAATATTGAAACTTTCACTTTCGTGAATTTTAATACATTTTCATTTTTTTCTTTCCGAAATCACGAACAACTTATGGCTACTAAAATCGAATTCCTTCGAAGCATTGGCCATATTTTAGCATAAGTGTAGCACAAGACAGATGCAATCCCTTAGAATCCCGACAAGGCAACCATGTATTGGTTAAATTACACATATATTAAAATTTTGAGTTTTTTTCGGTACAATTTGGAAACATTTGTTCGACTTTTCTGAGTACTTCTGGGTTAAATCCCAAATATTTGATCAACAGAAAAAAATATTTAAACATGTTCATGGTTATTTCAATTTCTTGATTTTCGATTTGAAACTATTTTCAACAACTTATATCATCAGCTTGTAAATTGTCTTACTTCGTTATTTTCAATTATATTTCGGTTTCGATAGACCTAATCCCTTTTTTTCTCTTTTCGATTTTCTATTTAAAAAAGGCTCGACACAAAGGCCTAAATCTATTTAAAATATGAATAATGTGAACAATAATACTTAAAGTTCAACTGTTGACTGTGCAGAGATAATTTCAGTTTTTTGTAATAAGTAGAAATCTGTTATCAACTTCTTTGGGTTGTAGCCACCATTGGAAAGTATTTCCGAACATTTAATGAGGAATGCTATTTCTCCAATAAACATCGATGTTTCCAAATTTGGATGAATTCTTGAAATTATCTTATTTGTAAATTTTTGTAAAGTCGTCCTGAATGTCACACAACTTAACAGCTCTGCTCTGTATACAAACTTGGTTTTTGGATATTTTTAATAAAATTATTGGATAAAACACAAATTGAATGATTATTAATACAAACTTGACTTGACTTATTGATTTTATTTTCGCTAGTCGTATCAAATGATTAGGGTGACTTTTTTGAGTGTACGTGTTTTATCCGCAGAATATTTTCGTTAACTTGCCTCAACTTTTCTTGGTGTTGTTGGGGTGCTGGCAGAATTGACGCTTAAGCAAATGAGTTAAACAAATATTTGTTAGGTATACTTACTACACAGAAATACGACTACATATGAGCGTTCATAATAAGATATTTGCTCACATTTTTAGGCAGTCAACAACTGCCTCAACCCCATTTTCTTACAAGCAGCATACAACTTCTAATGTACTTTATATATCTACGAGTATGTTTGTGGATTGCTGCTTTTGCTAACAGCTATGAAAAATTGTTAATTAAAAGTTTATTTTCCCAAGCAGACTGTAATTTGTGAGAAATTGAAACCAAATATGGGTCTGATGATGCTTTCGAATAGTAGGAGTCTCTCCATAATTAGTGAATTTTATTATGCAAACATTGAAATGAACTTGGACTCACTTTAGATTAGAAGAGTCAACATGCTGGATTTCTTATCGCTCTCATTTTTTAATTGACTTGAATGGCTCTATATAGCTATATATTTACGCAAAAGTATTATATCAACTTGGCGATCATAAAATGCACACACATTACACAAACATATAATATAGATTTCTGGAAAAGGCATTTTCTGTAAAAGATCAGCATGCCAAAAATAATAATGACTGACTGCTCCAAAAATTGAAATATCTCAAGTTACACATGCCGATTGTCTGTGCGTTGTGTTCGTTGTTCCAAAATATATTTCAAAATTGCAAAATTTCCCACAAAATCGTATATTTATATATTGTGTCTGTGTGTGTGTACATCATTTGACCAATCATGACGAGTGTACGTCGCCGATTCTGATCGATATGCGTTCGTCTGAATTAAAAGCAATTGAAATCGGTTCTTTCAAATGTTGATGTGCTTTGGTTTTCCATTTCCTAGTCTTTATGCAAATCTATTAATTCGTACATATTCATAGCAAAGCGCTGGGCCTATAGTATAAGGTCACTACATGCAAACATTACTTATGGCACTTTGACGACCCTCTCCATTCCCGAATCTAGTATATTTTTTTGCGTTCAATATAAATTTGGTTTATGTACGAATAGATATAGACATATGTCAAATAATTTCTATGGCAATATATATAGTTGTATATTAGAGTTGTTTACAAACTGACCTCATACTGATGTATATAGTGTGTATTTCCAAGAAAACATATGTAGGACACAAATAATCTGAATTGTGCGCCGAACAGACACGCAAATAAAAACCTGTATGTTTACAAATTTGTTGGCGTCTAAGGAAACAATTTTCAGTTAAATAATATAATTGCAAATACGTATAAAATGTTGCACCGCATAAAAGCCTTTCTTTAATTTGTAAATAAACGGAAAAAGATGAGCTGCAACAGTTGCGACAAAAAGCTTCTAAAACCAGAAACCAGTTATGGTAACCCCAGATGAGCGAATAGTTTTATAAGGTTGGAATTAGCTAGAAGTATATGATTGATTCATACACACTTGTCCTTGATATACTCGTACTTATTTGAGTAAATACTGAAGTTTTTTTTTACGGGATATTGCGGGAATTTGCATATTATTCAAAGCATTAGTTTTGTCCATTACTTAAAGCATAGAATTATGCATTCCTTGAGGTGATTCTGGGTAGTTCCCAAAATTAGAGGTCTTTGTATGACCGGAAACGCTGCCATCATAAGTTATTGCTGATAAGAAAGATTGATAGAATATGAGTTATTTAGGCAACACAAGCCTTTTCAATGTTTCTAAAGAGTAAAGTAAAACTTTTCGCAGATAAGATTTTTGTTTGCAAAAATATGACTTTTGTAGCTAAAAAATTATGATGCGGTCAGAATTGTAAAATTATAGCAACGGCGACTTTTTGACCAATGTTTTGCTGCTAATTGGAGGTTTTTATAGGCAATTTTGAACCAGAGTATATCATTTTTTATTTATTCATCCAAAATATGTGTACTTTGTTTGTTTTATTATTTATTAACCATGAGTTATTTAAACCAAGCCAAATAAAAATGATAAATAATTATTAAATTACAATTTAAAGATTAGAACGATAATAAAGCTCTGTAAAGTAATTGTTGCAATACATATACATATTGAAATATTAATGAAATTAACAGTGAATCGACTTGCACTCGAGCTGCTTGGAACTGCTTGTTTATATCGCTTTCGAAATAACATCATGAACTGCTTGAGTGTGCTTGCTGGTGTGATTGGGAATACATATGCTCTATTGGAGTGGAAGGGTTGGATAAAAATTATATAAACCTTTGCATTAATACAGACGAAAATATCGGCAGACAGACGACCACTGATCTAGATTATGCATAATTTGTAGGGTCCGCCACGCCTTTTCTGTTAGCAACAAGTTAGCACTGCACATATGTATGTACATTTCTGTACATACATATGTACATATGTACATATTGGAATTCATATTTTTATGAGTTTTGTCTGCCTTGTGGAATTCACGGCTAATGGCATACGAAATTTCAATGCTCTGACGCCAACCTCTGACGGTGCAAAAGCGCACTCTTGTACAAGCAACTATGTACTTCTCTGTATACTCGAGAAATGTAAGTACATACAACAACAACAACGACAATCCATTATAACATTGAACTAGATGAGTAGAACAAGAGATGGGTCTGCTGGCGCCAGAAACCGCCGCGACGTCTTGACGCCATGTCCTACATTGAGGATTGCAGCACATGCTTCGGATTCGCACTCGCACTCACACTGTCTCTGAGTCGGTTTCAGCCCACAGCGGAGAGCAAACGATGGAGCTGAAGGAGCATTTGTGTGAATGTGTTGGTATGTGTTTGCACACTCAGCCAATGCTTCCATATGGCAGACTTGTAACGGTATGTGCGAGAAATGTTGTTGGTTTTGCTGTGCAGTTGAGTGGCTGCTGTGAGTGTGTGAGTGTTTTATTTGCAACCCTCGACATCAAGGGCAACAATGAGAGTAGAGAGAGAATAACTCACTGACGCACACGAAATGCTTGCATTACTCCTCCCATGACTGGCCTTTTCAGTTTTCAAACTCTGCGTCACTTTCATAGCCAAGGCCTATCCTTACCCCAATTCCAATAATCGTATAGAGTGCGGAGCAAGGGGCATCAATATACATATATTTATAGCCTTGACAAAAGCAACAACAGTTCCCCTTCTCTTGCCCCCAATATCAGAATCGCAGATTTTGATGTCTGGCCAATATTGTAATCGTGGCCGTCACAAACGGTGAAGGTCTCTTGATGGCCAGACCCAGACCCAGACTCAGATCACAGCATCTGAACATTTTTATATTTTATTTTTTGAAATGTTTTTTTGCTACTGCCACAACGGCGGCTCCAACATCCCATAAAAGGGGCGTCTGTGCGTGCCAGTATGTTGCAGTTGTTGTTGTTGTTGTTATTTCTGTTGCGGTTAGGCGGATATGAGTATTGGATAAGATAACTGGTTGGCTCTTTGCCTTTGATGCCAAACGGTTAAAGGTAAACTTTTTTATCTTCAAAAGATAACGAGTTGATTAAGCCAATTGAAGCCTACATACATGCCACCACCACATTGCGTAATTTTTTTTTATTTTTGCTGTGCGCTGCTCATCCGTGACATAGCCATATGGGTTTTCAATCCCATCTTGATCAATACGCTTGCCATGAGTCATGCATTGAAGTGGGCGGTGAATCATATACTATAACTGGAATTGCTGTTAAAAGTCATACAAATGAGACTTGTCTCTGCACAAACATGGAAACCTAATTACTATTTATATTTCAAATTGTCAATAAAAAACATGCAAATATGCCAAACCCAAGGCTTGAAGCACGCATTCAAATAAGAAAGGCTATCTCCGCTATTGCCTGAATACAAAGTAAATCATTTGTCCATTTATATAAAATTGTATGAACTTAAATGTTATTTGAAAAGCATGGCAATTTTTCACACAATCTTCTATATATTGGACTATCAAATAAGGATAAATGGAATATTTCAAATAATCTTATTGTAATTATAGTCAGAAATGATAACAATTCAGTAGAAACTGCAAGAAATTGTAAGATAATATTCAAGGTTATAATATTTTGTCAGAAAAATTTATTTAAAACACCTAATGTACTCTTGTACATTTCATGTACAGAGTATAACAAGGAGGATTTCAAAATAGCAATATTTAATGCTATTAATTGCAATTCATATAGGCATGTAAGATAAAAAGCCATAAATTGTGTCATTTATCTTGTCTAGGATTTTATGGAATCGTTTCTTCATCGGACTGTAATTCTCATCAGATTGATTTTATATCAAATTAAAGGTCAATAAGATTACTAAGGGTAAAAATCTCCAATCTCCCCGACTTTCAGCCGTGTGTGAATCAGAAAGACCTCCAAGATCTTGGATAGTTGATATATAGTATGTTGGAATAAAGCCCCACCTTCTTACATTTTTATAAATTAAACAAATATTTGAAATTCTGGAAATGGAATAATGTATGACTCGGAAAGTAACTATTTGCAATGACCAAACCTGTTAAATAAATCGTTTCAATGGTTCCTTTCAGATCGTTGTAATGCCTCCCCACTACCTGAAGATTACCAAGAAGACGAAGACTATTATGATGACGATGATGGGGAGCAGGGAACGTCATCAATCGGGCCTAGTGTTCCCAGTTCTCCCCCATATTTTGAACAAACCGACATTCTGCTGAATGCGAAGCCCGGCGATGACGTAATCATAAACTGTGACGTTCGAAATTATCAAAGTATGTTACCTGTGACTGTCTGAGGTGTTAGTCAAAATAAATAAAGTATATTGTCTCTCTTCCCCACACCTATACTTGAACAGTTTCTAATGCAGTGATGTGGTACAAGAATTCAAACATTGTGGCGAATGGTCAAAATGCTCTAACTAATAGGGTAGAGAGTATGAAAAATAATTCAATAAAGATACAGTCCGTAACTCTGGAGGACGCTGATGACTACTATTGTGTGGTCTTGCCGCAGAATGTGAGGCAACATACTAAATTGCAGGTGGTGGGCGCCCGACTGTCGATCTTCTGCGACGGTCGCGATGTTACGGACCGTTCGCAGACGTTCAAGCAGGGTGACAACCACAAGCTAGAATGCCGAACGAATCTGCCTAACAAGACTGACATTAAGTGGTCATTTAATGTAGGTGACTGCTTATCATTGTACACCAGATCTCTTACCGGTACAGACATACTAAACCCTTTTCCATTACACAGGGCCAGCGTCTTGACATTTCATCAAGTGAAGCTGAAAGCGGCGTAATTGTACTCGAGAACATTGAAGAAGATGACGCCGGCGTGTATCAATGCTTGGGAGATGATGGTAGCCGGGATCCACCGCACGGCATGGTCTCCATTGAGGTACACTACAGCCCCAATGTGTGGACCCACAGACATCATGTGAATGCCCAAGCTGGAGGCAATGCAGATCTGCATTGTGACTACCGCGCGAATCCCATCGCTTCCAGTTTTTGGTTGAAAAACGACAAGGTTCTAAACTTGTCCGAGAAGTACAAGATCATCAGCTCCACACACAAGGGCCATAACCGCACCACACTGATTGTAAAGGACATCAATGATAATGACTTGGGCGAATATCGGTGCACTGTAGATAATGTCATAGACTCGAAACAGGCGCGAGTGCAGCTCAGTTACAATCCGGAGACACCACAGTTCGAAGACAAGAAGATAGACGGCAGCCAGGTCACCTTGCATTGGCTGGTCCGAAGCCAACAACCTCTCTCGGAGGCCGTGCTTGACTACAAATTGTCTGGGGTGAGTTGAAAATCTTTTTCCTTTTTTTCTGCCTTTCATCGAGTTGGGAGTGAAAAATTTATGTATATAAAATAGATAGTTCCTCGAATGAGAACCATTTACGATTTCTACTTTGGTTTCATCACTCGAGAAACTATTGGGGTTGAAGAGGCTTCAAAGCTAGAAGATTAATAAATCTAACCGCCTCACCTTGGTTGGTTTTTAAAGAAAAAGGGTTAGGAAAAATGTATATATATTTTGAAGAGTATTGTTCATTTAGGAGATACTTTTAAAATGGTGATGATAATCATTCGCAACGCTTCAATAATTCTTGTATACTATTTGATTCATTCTGCAGTCGTATACTTGGAGCACTGTCTCTGTAATACACACGCAGCGTCATAACGAGACCAGCGGTATTTGGAAGATTAGTCATCAAATGGAGCTTACACCTGGTAATTGGCATGCACGTGTTAAGACGAAGAACACCAAGGGCTGGTCAAATTTCTCTCCGAGTCATGACTTTGTCATTCAAGATTTGGATGGTATGTGTGAAAAGAGATGAAACGTTTCTGAGATGACTATTTGAAAGTATCCTTTACTCTACGAAATTTTTGTATTCTACAGATTATAACGATAATTCGGACAGTGATCTGCCACCCGATGACCTCATGCGTGCTGGTTTTGGTGGAGGCGGTAATGGGGCATCGATGTTAAGGCATACCATAATTTACCTTCTACCAGGACTGCTCACAATGCTTCTACGCCATTAAGTGTGTTCTTTAGCAATTTGTACATACATACACACACACACCACACACACTATGCTGCACACAATTTTTTTGTAGAATTGCCATCGCTATATACCTGAGTATTGTAATTATACAGGCAAATGAGCTTGCAGCACTTTTAGCAGGCCCCTCTGGCATATGCTAAGGTCGCCCATAAGCACATCAAAGGGTTCAATGTTAATTCATGCACGCATAAGAAAACTTTACAGCAACAACAGTGCCAAGAAACATGCACAAAATGAATTGTATGAATTAGCTTAATTTACGTAAAGTTACAATTTGAATAACTCCGACGATCGGTTTTAAACCGCCCTAAACTAGTGTAGAATATTTATTTATGTGTCATCGTCACAGCGCCTATCTATCTTTTAGCAAACTCTAAATTCATAAAAACTGGATCTAAAGCTTGTGATTTCAACATCTTTAAAACATCTTCCATTCGTGTCATCATTAATTACCAATATTGGGATATTTTCATTTCTGACAATCACAATCAAAATATCAGATTTTTATTGTCCGAATATTTTAAATTGAAGCTTTGCCTTAAGTATGATACAAACATATAGTGAGTGTCAGAAAAAGATAGAATGGATTATACTAGATCTATGCAAGGCGTTTTTTCACACGACTACCGGTTAACCACTAGATTCCGATTGCGTTCTCTCCAGGATTGTGGTTTTCGTTTATCGCTTGCAATCGATCTTAATACATCGTCAAAGTATTTCATTTGCTTTCTTTCTCTTTGATGATCTATAACAGTTATGTTTAAAAGCAAAACAAAGAATAGATACTGATCGATTTTTGAGAGTAAAAAGGCCGTGTTAGAAGTCTCTTGTGTGGGTCCAGTCTAAGTTGAAAGCTACAAAGAAGTTTCCTTGTTACCTGATGAGATACAACATAGTTGAGAGTGTGCTTTAAAACAGCTTCACTGTACAAACATACATGCATAATGGAGTAATCGAAGATCGAATGTATGGACTAGCACTATTTTGTATAGCAAAGCGTACTTATTTATATAAAAAAAAAAATAAAAAACAAAATGAAATTTACTTATTAATCGAATTGCACTTGAAATATTATCCAGACCAAAGCTTATATATACATAAATACATACACACATGTGTACTTATTTTTACGAGTACAAAGAAAAACTCATCATGAAGAAGAAGGAGAAGAAGAAGAATGGTAAGATTGTATGGCGAAAGATCTGTACGGATATTGGTACTTATAAGGATGAATGAACAAGTGGTCGGCTGATGTATGTACATTAAAGTTAACAACAAATTATTGATCAGGTATTGGTCTCATTGTCGCTACTTGTTTTGCCAATAAAAAATAATCAATGGCCATACACGCACCGAGCGACCTTAACCATACCCATACAAATAGCGATACAAGAAATATAAGAATATATTTTATATACTTACGTTTTATTTAAGAATCATAACATTAGGAACAAGAAATGAATGTGCCAATTGAAACAATCTATGTAGGGATTGTGTGAGAGAGTTCCAGATTAAAGTACAGATGTATGAATTGATTTTAAAAGCCGGCCTACATACAAGTATAATACACACATATGATTAATGTCCAGTGTCTTAAACAAATATTGTAATTATTCCGTTTTAACTAATTTGATGCAACTTTAAGAAAATACATGCTATATACAAATACATTAAAAATAAGAAACCAAAGATGTTTATTGTTTTATTCATAACGCATTTGTTAGAAAAATTCCTTTATTATACATATTGGAATTTATTTTCTTAAAGGTTGAGTTATTTTTTTATCGATTTATGCTTTTCTATATTTTTTCCAAACTATAATACTATAGTTTTTTAATGATGAATACCTAATCCCCTCGCCCTTGTCTACACACACCATTCTAAAGTCCGGAAAAGCTATTTGATAATTCTCTTCTCACTTTTTTAAGATAATGATTCTTTAATTCTTCCCTTTGCTTAATTGTCTTGAAATCAAGCTGTCTGGACTTCAGGTATAATCATTTTAATTTTCTACTCAATTCATTTAGTATTAATATATGGACATTTTTGGCTTAGAAACATATCCGATCATGCTTCAATTTTAGATTGCTTCAAGTAAATTCAAAATGCTGCGTAGAAAGTCGTAAAAATTCGAGCCTAATCGGCCTTGAACTTTACTTTTAGTGTGAAGTGGATATAATCTTTCATCGGACGAAATTCTGAAGGAGTAGTGAGTAATTTTTTTTTTTTTCATTCAAAACAAAAATTGTTTATATTGCAAAAGACTTTTCTATTTAAACATGTCCGATTATTTTCTATATATATACATATGCGCACTACTTATTCGATGATAGTATTTAAAGATGTCAGTACAAAATGCAAAGCACTTCCTATTCCAATTGTAAGTCAAACGCTCAATCACATAGACATGCTTTTGTATACTTTGGCTTTTAATAAATAAATTGATTTTGTCTTTACAATTACAAAATTTTCCAATTAACAAGACCTATAATTCTTCATCTTTTTTTTTTTCTTATATACTTATGCAGATGTAATCAAGTTTTAGGGAGACAGAAACGCTTTCAAGCATATCCAATGGACATTAAATTTAAATGTAAATCTGTGCGTTATGCTAAGGTACTCTATATATTTATTTTAAAATGGTACAGAACCATACTCGAAGCGGCCGCCAGCAACCAGAGCGTGATCGTCACATGACTTTGGGCCGATGTAGAACTCTCTGGTGCTATAGCATCCAGGGAATGCTCATGCTCCAGCACAATAACTTTAGTGTGAACACGGATTTTTTGTGGTTCCACCTCACAATAGTAGTCGCCAGAACTTTGTGGGCTCGAGTGCAGTATTGTCAGCTCATATGTCTTAGGGTTGAGACTAAAGTTGGGAACTAGCACGCTATTTCCATTTGAGACCAAATTTTTTCCTTGATACCAGAGAACGACATTGTCTGAAATTGATGAGCAAATACATTTTAAATAGGCCTGTCCAGTTTACATATATTATGACTTTTACTGACCTTTGCCAACTTTATCATCGCATTTCAGTACAATGTTCTGGCCCAGAATTCCAGTCACATCAACTTTCGTCCGGTTGGTCCAAGTGCTGGGCATCTTTGGAAAACTGGATGAAGAAGAGGCGCTGGTACCAGACTTACTTTGCTGACTTTGATCATTGGGTTCTCCGTAGTCGTAATCATCTGCCATCATTTGATCTTCTTCGATGGCGGGATGTGAGAGCACTGAAAATATTCAAAATCAATTAAAAATGATGTCAGAGCTGAACGAAATTTAAATAAACTACGCACGCAGTTTGCAGCTTTTGTAAACAGAAGTAATCGGATATAGCTAATTCAAAAAGCAGGGCAATTATATTGTTATTCGAGCTATCAACACAGACATACAACATTTTCAATAGATTTGTTTGTTGTTATTGTTTAGAATCAGCATAGTAATTAATAATCCTACTTTTAGTTTACAAAGTAAACATGATTGACGAGTAATTGTATGGCTTTCAAATTGTGAACTGCTAACATTTGCCTATATTCTTCAATGTAAAATAAATGTTTAATCTGTGAAAATATTTATATTTTCTCTGATTTTTTTTAATTTGCTATGAACATTCTGAAATAACATCATCAATATATTATTATTATGAGTGCAATAAAACATGAAAAGAGCAACATAACCTAAAAGTGAACCCCTAAAGTATGCTGTTCTAAATTTTAAATTTTATTTTTATTACCATTAAGCAAATTATTGTTATAGTAATGAGAATGTTTCAAAAAATTAAATCTCTTCTCACACGGAAAGATAAAATTGGCGGCATTGAAACCAATTATATTTTTAAAGAGAGTTTCAAAATAAAGAAACTGACAGTTCTGTTCGATACGATTGAGTTTAATTTTGTTGGCTTCATATTTGCCAATTCCGTATTGTAATCTAAAAAACTCAAAATATTGATGACTAATACACATTCATATGTACATATTATAAATTATCTTTAATCTCTTGAAGAAAATATATGCAAAGGGCAAAGGTGAATTGCATCATTCTGTCAATACCCGTATGTTGGAGAGCGATCACTTTTTATTCGAGGTATGTATTTATTTTTATATTTCTTATTCCCTTTTACTCGATTTTTGTCATTTTGCCATGAATAAATATTGTGTCGTTCACGGAATTGCATTCTTATGGGTTTACTCTAGAGGACAGATACCATCACCACATTCATTCGCAGAACCATACCCTCACTGAATAAATAATGCGAGCTTCAAAGGCTGGCGAATATCGGCTTAATGTTTAATTATTTCGCCCTTGTATGTATTACAGTGTGTGCATGTATTTTCTTTTTACATTCCCTCTTCTATATATTCTGTCGAATGAAAACATTTTAAGGAAATGGGGTCACATGAAAATGGGTGCATGGCCATACGAAAAACGAAAATGAAAATAAGTAAAATGGAAAGAGAAAACATTGCCTGCGTGTCCGCGTCCGCGTCCGCCTTTGCCTTCGCCTCCGCCAACCCTCGCCCGTGTCGAACAACACGTTGGGCGAGCCGCTCCGCCGATCGCCGCACCCACATGTGTCTGTCTGCCATGCCATGGACGCTGCACTGACATCGGTGCCATAACACATAACATACATACATACATACGTACATTTATATGCTGCTGTTTGGTCGGTCCGCGGGGGCAGTAGCCGCATGCTACTTCATTTTTTTGGGTGTCGGTGTCGACAGCGGCGTTGTTGACGACGGCGGTGGACAGAAAAGAATATAAAAAAAACGAAAGCATTTCACAATAGTGTCCGTTTTTCAACATGGCTGCGGGTCATGGCAGGCGAAGGCTAGCCGCAGTGGCACGCTGGCTGGCAGGCGGATTGTGAAAAAAAAGTTTAAATTTACATTTGTAGCGAGCTTCTGCTTCTGCCATTTCTGGCGTCACGTTTATGATGTTGTTTTTGTTGCTTTTTATTGTCGTATGCGTTCTCATTCTCCCCGCCAAAGAATGCACACAACAACAAACACTCACACACACACACACGCACGTGCGAGACAGTGAGTCTATGTGTTTATTTATTATAGCCATTCTTGTTATTGTCTCTTTCATTGTCGCTGCTCAGTGTTGCATGCTGAAATTTTTTAGCTTCTCATACACACTGACTGGGCTTCCAGCTCTCTGCTGCAAACGCATAACCATAACGGACAAAAAAGAGTAAGCACACATGTGCATGTACATACACATGTACATGTATGTACATACACATGTACAGCCAAGTGTGAAAGCGAACGAACGGCGATCAACGATTATAAAAAGGCGCACAACAAATGGAGGACAGTTCATTAAATGAATTACAATTTTGTTTTTTCGCTTTTCGTACAAAAGTTATGCGCGCGCATTCTTCGTATCCATGGTGATCGGTTTTGTGTATCTGCACATTTAAAATGCACATTCATTCACGCACACACACACACCCTCAAAACCCCAAACCGCGGGCTGCCGTAAAATATTCAATAAGAATTAAAAAAATGTTTACGATCAAAATACTGCTGTTCTTACATACTTCCAAATAAAAGAACTTCGAAAGCTGATGAATCAAATATAGAAAAGGCTATTTCGTTTAGACATAATACAATAGTTTCCATTAAAAAGAATTTGGGAATCGTTTTATGTTGCATTTTCCTAATTTTATAGTTGTTATGAACAGCCATTAAGACTAGATATTTTCTAATGGAAAAACTATTATAATTAAAGCTTATTACTCTTTAATATAAAACAGACAAATATTTAACATTAGAAGGAAAGTAAATTTAATAATTTAATAATTGTTATAGCAGCTATTAAAGATCTTAGGACACAAAAATAATTATTAAACTACAACCTCCGCTTGAAAAGGCACGGAATTATCAAGTAAAAAAATGATGAGATTTTGCCTGTGAATTTTGTTTTTAGTTTATTGCCATAAAGCTAAAGGGAATAGTCCTATTCCTATGAAACCATTAGGAAAGTCAAGTTTTAAAATATACAAAATTGTGCTGCTGCCCTTAATGTTATTGAAGTATCAGATAAGGCAAGCTTTTTGGTTAAAGATAACCATTTTTGTTGTTTTTGGTTTTGCGTTTTAATTGGTACCTAGAACTGGGCCAAAACCATTTATCATAACAACGATGATTCTGAAAATTTCAGCTAATAACCCCAGCACCGACTTAGATGACCATTAGAAAGTCAGTTAATGAACACGGACTGGGGATAGGGACAGGCATCCGGTAGTGCTCAGTCACTCTGAGCCAGACGCTGGCGCTGAAATCATCCAAGTGCAGCATTTTGGGTTTTACTACCTGTGATAAGCCGCAACGATGCAGCATTTGGGACAGCAACTACATACTATAGGTATGTACATATGTATTGATGTACAGACATACATCTGTATGTTTGTATGTAAAAGCGCATCGCTCTGATCTTTGATCTCTCCTGTCTGCATTTTCAGGTTCAGGTTTTCAGGTTGCTCGGCCCCTACGTGACTGACCGGTCGACGGGACAGACAACGACTGCGTTATACGAGCCGAAAATTGTTAGAGCAGTGGTGTGGCAGATAGAGACATGAAGCGAAGCGGATAATGATAATGGCATTTCGGTTCTTTGAAAACGATCAGGTTACCAAGCTGAGAGATGTGCGTATGTCTATATAAATAAGCAGGACTACCTACGCGCCGGCGGACCATTTGCACTCGGGCAGATGTGCATTAAAACACATACACACACTTATACACACAGGCACACTGACTCACAAGCACAATCATTGATTGACAAAAACCACCGCAGATGTGCAAATTGTTCGCATTCCAATTCCAATTTTAGGGGAGCGTTGCGCGAAACAACGGGTTTTGTTAGCCAAAATTGGCAGATGTTTGGTCCATGCTCATCAATAAATCGCCAGACTTTTTAAATTGGCATTGAACATTTAAATTTACCATATTTGTAGTACGCCAAGTTGGTGCACTTAAAATTATTTGAGAATCATAAATTTAAATTTCTAATTGGTACACAATATTAGCTTAAATATATTTATGTTATGTTTTATGGGATATCTAGAAAACTCTTGTATTTCAAATGTAGCCGCAATGAATACGAATCTTATATTTTGTAGATGGAAAAATATTTCCATTTCCTTTTTTCGGCTAAATTCAATAAAGTTGAAGCTTTTATTAAAATTGAAATTTTGCGACCAATCTTGATCGAGTGCTGTAACAGCTAACTTTTGCGTAGTCTGGATTAGTGAGTCTTGTAGCAGCTAGCCTTTTCGGAGCTTTCCCACCACGTGTAATTACAAAGTGTGCAACTCTAATTTCTCCCAATACGTATGTATGTATGTTTATTTTCTTCCATCTCTTTATTATCGTAGCACTAAACAGCTTTTCCAGTCACTTTTCTCTCCTTTTTTCTCACTTCATTCGCACTTTTTTGGTCCTTTAAGTCGAATCAGCTCAAATACTAGATAAAGAATTTTATTTTTATAGTATGCATATTAAAAAATTTCTTAAATGAACAACTCCAAAAAGCAAATAGTATTTCTGCAGTCATATTTCATGTGAAAATTTTATGGAGATTCATCATGCTTTACACGATTTTTCCATTTCCATACCCATAACAATTACAGTGGACGAATTAAGTTTCTACGCATTCGCATACGAGTATACTATACATATGTAAGTCCATTAGTATTCATACACATATGTGTGTTAATATGTAGATATATGTATATGTAAGTACTTATATACATTGTTATGCACAACAACAATATATCAAATCTTCAATCCAAATATAGAATTATGAATGTACATATGTACAATGATTTCACTTAAATGGCTCTCTGGGACTATCAGTTTTCCATTGTTATTGTTCACTCAATTCGTCTGGTGGCTATGGCTCGTCTCGATCCGATCGTCATCGATTGTTCTTTGCAACTACGCCAGCGCCAGCGAATGCTTTAAAATTTCTAGCACACATCCATGAAACATTTCCCGTTGCCGAAAGTGCACGTGTCGGCACTTACGCTAAGCTTCGGAGCCCAGAACCAGAATGCGATATCTCTGGCGATCTGTGCGGGTGCGGGCACATTGCCAGCAACTTGTAGACGTCAATCGTCAAATAGTCGAAAACCATAGCCACCATATAGACTGTAGACCATGCCTCCCACTCGCAACCCTTTTTCTGAGCCATGCTCGGTCAACAAAAGTCTTGGCTAGAGTCGAAACAGAGAACTCTTCGACTACGAATACGCCTATTGCATATTAAGGCGTTGCCATTACCATTGGCTCGGGTTCGAGTTCGGGCTCGTGTTCCATTCAAGTGGTTGTGGTATGTAATTAATATGCGGCACTCCTTTTACAGCTGAGAAATTATTTAGCGCAAAAGGCAACGATTTTGTTCTCTTGTACATATTATTATTTATTGCTTTGCTGGTCTTTGGCCTTTTTTCTTATTATGACTCGATGTCTGTGTGTTTTTGCCTACTGGTGGTGCCCTACAAGACCTAGACAGTCATCATTGAGGAAGTTGCAATGCAAAGTAAACGATTGTGGTTACACAAAACATACGCAAATTTGTTAGGAACTCATGGTGAGACAAGGAAATTATTTGCATACCATTTTAGTATCAAAAGTGTGTCTAATGGAGAAATTTATTAAAAAAAGAAAATGTTAAAGTGGCTGTTTTTGGACACAATTTTTAGCCTATCAACATTTGATACTCAGCATTGACTATCAACAACTGATTATAAACATTTGACTATCAACATTTGATTATAAACATTTACTTGTCTTCAAAACGTTTTCTTTTATTAGACTAAGACTATACGAGTATGATAATGAAGAGTTTTGGGTGGTAAACTTTGTCAGCGACTTTTAAAATACTTTGAATTATATATAATTATAATCCCACTATAAAATAATTATTTAAATCAACATAATTACGAAATTAATAAACTATGAACTTGTTTCAAAAGCCAAGTACAACTAAGTTTCTTTTAAATATTATTGAACTAAATACTAAAAATATTACAATTTAAAAAACTATTTATGATATTATTATAAGAACTAGAAATCCGCTGCCGTGAGTGCGTCGTGAGCAGAAGCTATCACGATTTAAAATGAAAAACTTTAGGTATTTCTGTCTTGCTAAGCAGTTACAGCTACCTATGTATGTTTTCAAATTTTTCATAGTCTTTCATGTATGTTAGAGTAATTTGTTCCATTTTGATTACAATTATGGATCATTGTATCCACCACACAAACATATAATTGGGGGGCCCGAGACTGGCTTGTGCTGCACAGCTGTATCATCTTCATTACGATCATCACCATTATGATTGCGCTTTATGTTTTAATATAGCACATATACATACATATGTACATAGATAAATATGTACAATGGTACATACATAAATATGGAGAGAAACTATGCAGCCACACATGCTCAAATAATAATAATGCCCGCTTGCCTCTTCGCGGCACTTGAGGCTTGAGGGGCACACTCGCCCGCACCCCAGAGCTGCAGTCAATTCGCAGCTCTGTTAAAGTAAATTGATTCTTTAATTGTCGAGAATTGGTTACGAGTTTGCTTAACTCGCTTTGCTGCTGCTGCTGATGTTGTTGATGCCACCAAATGATGCCGCCGAGTTGTCGGTGCCTCTACCATTGCCAGACCCGTGCCCTGCCCCCATCTGCGCGTGGCACCAACATCAACTCATTCACTTACTCACTATATACATACATATATACTATGTATATATGAATGTATGTACTTGTTTTTATGAGAACGAAAACGAGTGCCGCATTCAACTCTTCAGATACTCCAGCAAACTCGTATTTGCCGATGTCTGCAGTCCTGAGGCGTATGCGTCAGTCAACATTCCAGACTTGCTTTTGCATGAGTCAGAGTCGGAGTTGGAGATGAAAATAAATGTAACCAACGGCACCTCAGAAGCATTGTGGTTGCATAAGAATATCGTGCGAAATGGTTGTCGCCTATTCGAATTTCAAATTCGCGGCCACACGATCCCCAATTCTCTGAACCCATCAAGCAGACTGGCATGTAATTGAATCCCTTTTTCATATGTCTTTTGTAAAAAACAGACTGGCAGAAGAAAGGGCAAACAGGACCCGACTCCGATACCACAAATAACGTCCAAAAACATAAAGATATCCTCAAAACATAGTGAGGTATTGAATGCAAAAATTAATAAAGGATAGCTTGTTTACGATATCGCAAGGAACAAAACGAAAATAATTATACTAAGAACGATTGAAGCACTGATAGTTCATTATTATGTATGATATGTAAAGTAATAAAGGTACTTATTTATGGATTGTAAGATACTTGTAGATAGATAAAAATATGCCAGCTTTGGAAGTTTGTTGTCCCTAGATTTTGAGGGATATGCAGAACAACATACGAACAGGCTGACTGACTTGGCTATGACGATTCAATCGCCATGCTGATCGATGTAATATATATATTTAATTTCTTCATATACTCTTAACTAATTGGATATGAGGTATGGAAGAACGGGTAACAGGCTAACAGCAGAGTAAATAATAATGGAAGACTTGCTGATAATCGCTTGATGGATGAGCGCATATACATAAGTATAATATATTTAGTTTAGATATTCAATGCATATATTTGAATTTCTATCTTTCATTTATCCTGTTTATTTGCAGAGCATTAGAAAAGGGAGGGAGCAGGAAAGGAAAGCAGGGAGTTTCTGTAGCAGCCCCTTCCGCGCCTAGCCAGAGACGTTCACACGCTTCTTCGTCTCGCTTCTGTGCCCAAAGCAATAGCACTGATATTGCCAATTAGTGGCAGAAAGGACAGAACTCTTTGCCTACCTGAATGCCACACTTTACGCTTTTCACACCGGATGTGTGGTGTTGCACATATTGTTATTGTTGTTGTTGCTTTGTGTTGTTGCCCTTGTCTCGACAATGTTTGCTTTTTGTAATGCATCGCCATTGTTAATGCTATTATTAAGCGCCGTTGGCATAATTAGTATCGTAACCAATACACGACGAATGCCCAAACACCCCAAGATAATGCATCAATATTGAGAAATTCGCTTCCTATATGAAATGAGTTAGTGGTGGATTGAATAAATGCATAAATATGTGCAAGCTGCACGGATTTATTGATCGCGATAAATAACTGCATTAATGTGACAGCGGACTGCCTCGTCATTTCCTATAAATTACAAAATTTTACTGTCTACGAGTCTACTTAACAGTTCAAATGATTGCAAATGCGTAAAATGTTGAATGACATACAGATATTTTAAATTTCCGGGCAGAGATGATTCATTGGAGAAGACTATGATGAAGAATTTGGCGCAAGATTAAATTTATAAGTATGTATATTGAGATGAACCTGTGGTTTTTCTGTAATGACTTTAATCGCGATTAACTACAAAGAAAACTTAGGAACTCAAATGGTTGAAAAATATAGGTACCTGAAATATTGTACATATAAAATGCAGATTTTATAAATTTCCGGCAAAAGATGATTCAGAGGAGAAGAATCAAAAGACACATTTTTACTATAAAAATTCTAATTGGCTTAAATGGAATTCGGTAAAGAGTTGATGATTAATGTTGGAGATGAATCAGTGTTTTTTTTTTCGACCTAAATCGGGACTCACTTGGCTCGACTTGACTTTTTCATGAACATATGTAGGTCACAAATTCCTCAACAAACAATCAATTCTATTCTATTTACACGACGACACGAATATGAAACGCATGTCTATTTGACGATGCATTTCAAATCTGATGTTCTTCTGATGTACTTCTCCGATTAGTCAGTTCAAAGGGTCCCCCACTGCACACATAATCACACATTTCTAAGTTGTCAGTGCATACATATTTATGTATGTATTAAGATTAGATTATTTCCTGTTGCAACGCTGAACTTTGATTTTCAATACCGGTAATCGTTTTGAATTTTAAAAACTTACCCATGCAGGAAACAGCCAACATTGAAACGGTTACCATCAGGAGTTTATTTAGTTCTGCGCCTCCAACCATTTTTTCCAACTCTGTCTTTACCGCTTAAAGCCCAAATGTGTAGTAATAAGTAGTTTTAAAATTTGTGTCACAAGACTCTGATTCTTGTTTATTTATTTATTTTTATTTCGACTTAACGAATTATATCGCCGCGTAATCAAAAAAATTGTCTTTAGCGCCCCAATTTCTTGCCTACATATTCAGCACTTTTTAACGGTTTGTTTATTTATTTGTTTGTATGCGATTTTGTTTTGATTTCTTTGAATTCTTATCCAATGTAGTTCACACTCTGAGTACCACTTCAGCACTTTGCCCAAAACTGTCAAGTTTCACGATCTTTGCGTGCGTGAAAATTTTGGGCGTCCAATTTATGAAATGACTTTTGAAATTTGAGTTTCGGGGCTTGGTTTTTCCGGGGAACGTATGTATGTAGACCGGGTCGTTGTCTTTTCGGCGCAACAGTGGAAATACAAATGCTGCTGCCCGTTGAGGTTGACTACGAACGCAGGGTGACAGCAACGACAGAAACGCACAAGCATTGCGTTGGTGCCGGTTGCTTAAAGAGAGAGCGAGCGAGAGAGTGGGTATGCGTAAAGAGTTGTTTAAAGAGAAATGGCTAAAGAGCAAGGCTAATCACAAGGCGTGTTGCTGTCAGAGAGCAGTGTGTTGTCAATTCTCAAACGTCAAAAAAGCTGGATCAGCAATTAAGCAAGCTAGCAATAGCTAAACAGATATAGTGCTTGTATAGATTTGATTTAGAAATGTCTTTTCTTTTCAATGTAAAAATGCTGCTGATTAAAAAATTTTTAAGAAGAAATGCAGATGGGTCAGATCCTACATTCATGAATGTATGCCAAGAAGAGTATTATTAGGCCTTGCCTTTTAACGGCTAGGTTTTTCCAAATTTGTCCTGCAATGAGTATTTGAATATCTCCAGAGCTGACGGGAAGATAGCCAAGTTTTCAACACTGAATGTGAGCACACATTGCAGTCTGTTTGATCTCAGCGATTTAATTAGCTGACGAATAAAGACCATTTGCATAGCTGACATACGTTTCAAAATTCAGATGATTTATAGCCATACGTAAAATAGCGTGTCAAGTTTTTCGAAAATAACAGATGACCAATATCTATGAAAGTTCTAAAAGAGAAGATTTATTTTGAAAATATTTGGATTGTATGCACAATTAAAAGTGGCTTTGTTAAGTGAAAATCTACTACGTAGATACATATTTAAATACAGATACAAACGCCAAATGCAATTGTGCTGTTTTGTGTTATACACATTTGGGTTTTACTTGAAATTTATGCATTCCATGCCACTTATTTATACTTTTTTGCAAGTACACACACATGCACATAGCATATACATACATATATATTTTATACATATTTCGGTATGCATGTGTGTATATGTACTCGTATGTACATATGGTCGCTCATCTTGCATTTAGGTTCGCAGAACTGCTGCTCCAGTGGCACCCCAAGTTGTGAAGAAAATCCTAAATGAAATTGCGACGTTTTTAGCATTCTTCATGGGAAGCGGCGCTGGGGCTGGGATATGAGCGTTGATTGCTTCTGCAAACACTGTGATTGCGATTTAACCGAGGCAGATGCAGCCACAAGCAGCCGCAAGACGACCACAGCAGCGGTGTCGGTGGCGGTGGCTGATTTTAAACGAACTGTTGCTGTGGCTCTGACTGTTACTGTTTGGGTGTCGGCAGTGCCCACGCGACTACAGCTATACTACAGATATACAAAATCTCATAGATGCAGATACATTGATACACTCAGAAAAAATATGTAGAACTACCGTTTTTAAACTAAGAAGCCGCAGTTTCATTCTTATATTGTAGAGTGCTTTCCAAATACATTACAATAGTTCTAACGAGAAAAATTGGATTAAGCAAGAATATTATAAATGTATTAAAACTAAAAATACTATAACAACAAACTAAGAACATTATTTATCAACGTTTCATTCTTATATTGTAGAGTGCTTTCCAAATACATTACAATAGTTCTAACGAGAAAAATTGGATTAAGCAAGAATATTATAAATGTATTAAAACTAAAAATACTATAACAACAAACTAAGAACATTATTTATCAACGTTCATTGGGCTTTACTATATTGTACCAGGTAGGAGTTTGTTAGTAAATAGGTTTTAATGCTGTTATTCATTGGAAAATATCATTTGGGAAAGCGGGTTTTATTAAAACCAAGATTGTATGGTATGTGTCATATTCGCAGTATAGGTACCACGCGGTACCAATGCATAGGTTTAAAAAGTAAAAAAAATATCGTTTCTTCCTCATTTTAAGACACAAGAGAGGCCTTGATTAAAAGAAAGAACATTTCCTGTTGGAAAGAAACTTTCTCATAAGTTTAACTATTTTAGATGTATTTTAAATGTTTTTTCTTCTAAGTGTACAAGTAACAATGTATAAATACTCGACTAGATATTATTTTAAGGGGCAAAGTTGTACGTGCATACAATAATATTTGCTGATATGTTGAAAAGAAACCAACAAACAATTAAACTAATCTACGGCTATACAACAAAGTATGCTTTGTATCTTCAGCACACATACACACGATATAGGGACGAGTTTGTGGGATACGTGATAATGCTGCATTTGAGCCAACAGATATTTTCATTTTTTTGTATTTGTTTCTGGTTTTATTTGGCGCTGCAAAGTTTGTAAACATCCGCAAATGCAGTTCTGGTTGCAGCATCAGCACCAGATTCTAGGGGCCCCCTCTTTTGGATGCCCTGCACATGTTCGCGCCTGGAAGAAGAAAAGCAAACCGACTCAAGCATATTCATCAAATATTTACGTTTACACGTTCGCCTTCATCTCCAGCACTCACCAGAATTTGTACGCAATGGCGGACGACCTATTCAATTCTGGGGATTTCTTGTTTGGGAACGAATTTATCAAATAGTATAGTGCGACATAATGCTTTAAAAGCTAAGCACCGACGGTGTTGACCTCCAAGAAAAACATCAGTGGGATACGCAGACTCAGATGCTACAATTAAGGGAGTGCGTTCAAGAGAGCGTTGCGTGGGAAAGAGAGGCGGTCATGCTAGAGGAAAATGCACGGGGTCTGTCTACTCTTCGGCAAGAGAGGGGATAATTAGTTGTGAGAGAGAATGATGTGTGCTGTGACGACAAATATAATTATAAATGGTAATATAAATTAAAACTCTATATGAACTGACTCTTTTGGCCGAAGGTTTTAAAAATGCTACAGTGATATGTAAAAACTTAGTTGTGACAAAATATAACAAATCTTAAATATTGTAATTTATTTACGTATTGATATCTAATATACATATAAAAATAAATTTCTCGAACATAGTGAGACATTATAAAACATTTATATGAACTTTTGAACTATACCAATCGAGACACCATGCCATATGAAGAGATTTTAAAAAATCATGTTAAATATATTATACAATAAAAGCGGGGTAAAGGTTTGGTAAAGGGTATTAAAGAGTCGGACTGGCATGACTTATGGTTCTAATCGGTGGTACTAAGTTATATAAAATCTAACAAAGTTTGCATTATAATTCGTATCGACTTATGATGAGGCAATACAGTTATGACGTGCACACATAAAGAGATGTTATTTTTCTTGACGCTATATGACGTTATTCAGTAGATTTGTCGTCAATAGCTTTCCCTTTTCCATGTCGTGGGCTTGCACATGAAAAAGTGCATAGTACTTGTAGAGTTTTGGAAATGTGTGGGTGTTGCAAAACTAAGAGGGATGTTTTGTTTATGGTTGAGAGAACGGAGCAAGCTCTAATGAACACATGTATACTTATTACCAATACAAATGCACATACATTCACATATATATGTATTTGCCATGAGCATAGTTAGTTGGTGAGGGAAGTTGTTAATGGGGCGGCTATTTCTATAGCTACTTGTACATACATAGCTATGGCGAGCGCAACTGCAACAAAAGTATATGTTATATGTATATGTACCATGCATATGCATTACATATATTCGTATATACATATGCAAATATGAGGTTTATGTGTGGGTATTTACTTATTTCGACACATTTATTGCTGGCTCTCCAAACATGCAAGGACTCAACGGGTACATTAAAGAAATTGAAATCTGTGCCATACTGACCTAGGATTATTACATAGTTTAGGTATATAAAGCGGTTTCTCTTAAATTTTTACTGATGAAGTCATTTTAGCGGTGCGTGCCTTAAATGCCAATTGGAAATAACAGAAAAACAAGTTGATTTAATTATTATTTGTGGAATATGTCACAATAAGTATGCGTACATATATTTAAAAAAACATTTTAGCATTTTTGTTAATTAATAGTTATAATTTATGTGTATACATTTATTTATTTATAAGACAACAAAAAATTACAATTTAAATTAAAACAATTTAAATTCATTTAAATTGAACGTAGAGCAGGCAACTAACTTAGAGATAATCATTAATAAAACGTTATTTTGGCATGATTATGTAAATAAAACAGTAGTACATTAAGGCATCTAAATAGCATTGGTTTTTAAATATTACAATATATGTAATTAATTGCATATTTCCATCCCACACAAATGTACATACATTTTAGAGAGCTTAAAATAATATATAAGCAAATAATAATAATCATATTGTTTCAGCTTTTATTAAAAGTTGAAGGATCAGTTATTGTTTTGTAATTATAATTAATAGCTTAGAAATTTATTAAAAATTTATACCGTATGACTCAAAAAATAAATCTTAAAATGTAAATTAAAAGAATAAATAATTACATAAAGATTAGTAATCAGCGTTAATTAAAATCTGTTCCACCTACTTTTTTCGAACAGCATACATATTCATTCAAATATGAATTAAGAATAACTTGACCTGATTAGCGGAATGCCATGTTTGGTTATTCTAGCTATTATAAATATAAAAGGAGATCCTTTCTTTCATATAACCTCATCTTGTGGTATAAATAAATACACTACTAGAAAATAAGGTACAAATTTTAAGTTTGAGTAAAACATTTATGTAACATGGAATTCACAAAATAAAAAAAACATTTTTACGTTCAGGTAAAAATCTGATCATAAGTAATAAATATTAATAAAAGTGAATTTATGATTAAACAATGTGAATTCAAGAACTTTTAATTTTTTGGTCTCAGTGGACCTTTTAATAATAATAATAATTTTGAATAAATAGCTAATTACGATACTCAATGGATTTAACCCATTCCCTGCCATTGTACCTGTTTGGGTACAAGAAATTTACCATTTTCGTATAATAGCAGTTTCAAGCAGAAAAAAATATTGATCAATTCATTTACGCGGGTTTATTATGCACAATGTGCTCTATAGATATGAGGGGAAAGTTAAGATTAAGCTTAGCATTAATCAAAATTTTTGATTGTCAAGCATATGGATCGTTAAAATAAAAACAGCTCTCTTGATTTGCATAGCAAAAAACACTATATTTTCCAAATTTTTAAGTTGGGTACAACAACTAAATAGGTATACATAAAAACATTATATTGTATATAATAATAAAATAATAATGATTCCCATCGACGAGTGGGCCTCCGATAATTATGCGTTCTTAGAAAGTTTACCAAATGGGTTAAGCTAAGAGCATATTACTATATAGCTTGCAAAATATATACATACATGCATACGAACTCGTATATGTATATTTGTATAACAATTCAAGAGGCTTTGGCATGTCGAATAGGGCGCGACTGCGACTGTGACTGCGGTGTGAGTCATCGTCGTGGCCGCATAGCTTTTTGTATGTTTCCTTTTTATGCTGCGCTGCTCCTTCAATCATTTCGCATTCGTTAACAGTCCTATGCGGTTCGTGCTCGTGCGCTCACCAGCTTTTTGTTGCTGTTGTTGTCTGTTCTCCTCGCAAACGCGAACGCGACTGCCACAGAAACATTCGCATCCACAACCCACGCAAAGTTCAGTGTCGCTTTTGCCATCGCCATCGTCGCCTGCAACGGCGAACGGGTTTAGCTTTCGGTTTTGCGAAATCAGCAAATTAAAAACACAGGACGACGGGCAGAAAAAATAACCGCACATTGAAACTTAATTAAGCGAATAGTGTGTTATCCGAAAGGAGCCATAAAATAGTGATTGCTTTAATTCCGCACACATAAGTAATATACTACCTATAAACACATTCTTGTGCAATCGCCGTCAAAGTGTTAGGTTAAGAGCTTAAAGCAACAACAACAACATGATGCATTTTTTGCTGCTTGCACTTATCCTCGGATCTTTTTATATTCCAGGTACATATACACATGTATGTAATGTATATAAGTGGAACCGTTGTTAAATACTTGTTTAACATGCCAATGATTATGCACAAACAATTAATTTATTCAAGAAATATGATAAATGTTTTTCATAATAAGAACTATTTTGTTCTTAAAATCTGTTTGCGCACATATAGTTTTCCATAAAAAAATACAAACTATATCCTCTCTATGAATATTATATACATAGTTTGTTTGTGATTGCAAAGTTTCTTGAAAGTTTACATTGCGTTTATTCTGCTTTTTGTAAGTTTTAAAAATCTTTGAAAATATTTAATAACTTTTTCGATTTGGTGGGGTTCATACCTATTTGTATTGAATACTGCTACTTACGTATATCATACAGCTGTTTGCCTTTAAAGATATGAACTACTTTTTTTGTTTATGCATGTGAATTGCATTCTGATTAGTTTGGTATAAAATTTAAATATATAAGTATATGTATACATATATTGAAAATCCGATTGGTTAACTACAAGTATATAAAGTAGAGCTATCCAAAAATCTCTAAAATATATTCTTTATTGAAAACATTTTCGTTTAAGAAAATATTCCATTGAGGCTGAGTTGTTGCTTAGTCAGATCAAAGCTTTAGAAAGGAATTTTAAAAAAAGTGGGTCAATGCTAAATAGTATTCCATATAATTGCAATAAAGAATTCTTCTTCAAAAAACATTGAATTTAAAATTAAAATTATTAATTAAAGTACTTTATTCTTATTGGACTAATATCATGGACAATTTTTTTATTACATCCATTTATGTCTCAAAACTGTACTAACATTCCTTATGCCTTATTATAGTTTACTTCATCATTCAAGCATCAGTTTCGATTAAAAATATCACATAATTCAAATACATACAATAATCCTACGTAATCTTACCTACAAGTAAGAAGAAATTATTATTACGCTAGAAACCTTTTTACAACGACCAGTTTAAAAAAATTCATGAATATATATGTATATATGTCCAATTTAACACACCGATTGGATAGCTTTCTGATAAAACAAGTAAAAAAGCTAAAGTCGGGTGCCCCGACTTTGAAATACTCTGTACATATGTTTACAATAATTATAGAAAATAAAAAAAATTAAGAAAATTTAAAAAAAAATTGGATCTATTTTACCTCTCGGTATTCGAACTCACGTAAAGGGTGTATAATTGCACATATACAAAGCAATTGCGTCTATGTGAGTGTATGAATGCCTATTCGCATCTATTCGTGTCCAACCACACAGCAACATCAACAACAGCCGCGGGCAGCGCTTGACAGACAGACAGGGCTAGATCGACTCGTCTTGTCACGCTGATCAAGAATATATATACTTTGTGGGGTCTGCCACGCCTCCTTCTTCCTGTAAACGTAACAATAATAAGTATTAGTCAAAAAGCGTATCCAAATTGCTTTTGTTAATCAACAGTTTCAAGATGGCTCTTGTTTCTCAACACATCTTGGGCTTATCGGCTTTGCATGTATAATTGTATTTTATGTAATTGTATTTAATTTGTTGGTGCCTTACCGAGTATTCCTATAGGAATTATTTTCTTACAATACAATAGTATAAAATATTGTTCTGCCCAACTCTCTGAATATGTTGGAGAAATTCTGAAGAAATGCACGAAACATTACTTATGTATACTTACGATTTTGGGGAACGACAGAGTTAAATCACGATGTGATCAGACTATATTACTCCGATCAAGTAATCAATTAAAAAATTACTAAATGCATATACGATAGCTTAAAAAAGTGTGAATGAATTTGCTAATTATTAATTTTTAATTTACTTTCTGTATTTATGAAACTAATTAACAGTGCTCTTATGTATATGTATAAGATAAGAATAATCGTAGGTACGATGCCGGCAGCCTTTTTATAATGAAGTCAAATGAATGAGTATTTTTAAATATACTATACATATATTTCTCCAAGAATATGTAATAATTTAAAGAGTTTTCTCAATTTTAATTTCAACACCCACAAGCACCCACAAGCACGCATCGTGCTACGATGAGCCATAAACAAAAACAGGGCCCATGCCCACCTCTGGTTCTTAGCCATCAATGGATTATCATTATCCCTCGTGCATTACACAAGCTTTCTACTTTCTTTTTATTTCAAGATAATATTTCCACTTGGCCTTGTCTGCCAACATGGCTTGTTATTTGCAAAATCCCTGTGCGCCTTAAGATACATATACATACAAGTATGTATGTACATATCCATGTATATGCATGTTAAATAGAATAGAAAATTTATTAATATTCAGAAGCTGGCAATTACGGCCCCAATATTTTATGAGTGGGAGCAATTACACATTATCATTTTTATTATTGCTTTTATTATATCACTATTTATGGCCTGCGCTATTTGGGAGGAATACGTCTGCATAAGTACTATATGGAGAACACTTGTGGAACTCGTTTTCGTATAAATAAATAGACGAATTGAAAACATATTTATGTAATAAGTAGGTATACATATAATTGAATACATGAATGAATATGTTAAATTTCTTTTGAAGAAAGTCCGATGGTCTGATTGTGATAATTGCTTGTAACAAAGGGATATCGCTATATGGATTCGCCAGCCTGTGCTTATAAATGAAACTATTGTTACCTATAAGTAGTTCAGTCTGCAAACCAAATTTGCTCGCTATATATACTATTTTCGAGTCCGGGTGTTCATCTATCCTCACTCATCTTGCATCATCATGTTGAGAAAAACTTCGACAATATACTTACAATAATTGAAGTGTCGAAAATACTTCCAATGCAATTTATAAATTGGGAACTGCTTACTATTCTTACTTTTTTTTATAAATTTGAATATAATTTGTTCAATGATACATGAAACATTTAATGCATAACACATCTGCACTATGGTAGCTACATCATATGATGCTACAGAAAACTATACTATATCTTGTAAAAAAGGCTCGTTAGCATGCATTTGAGAAAGGTACGACGTAAAAGCTTCAACCCCAAGTACCTCTTATAATAAGTCTGCGTATCTAATTAACTCTAATGTGCTGATCTTGTATGTATGTACGTGCAACAGTTTCCTCTGCCTGTTACATATGTACATTTTGCGCTTGGACTTTCCAGTTCCTTTAATTTTTCTGGTAGCTTTTCTAAAATGTTGTATTTTGTCTATAAGTTTTTAACCACATGTTGTATAACATTTGCACCACAAATCCCATCACTTAAAGTGGTACAAATAGCTGGATAACCTTGAAGCCATTTATTATCCTACATAGGTGTACATATGTACATACAAGTAGATCGCGAATACGTGTGTACATATTTGCTTTTCATACGCGTACAATATTAATTTGCATGTGGAACACTCTCGTCGCTTGTGCCAATTTAATTCGCATTAGTAAAGCTCTAAATATGTGAATGACGCAACCAATATCTCGTTAAATGCCTGAGGCGCGGAAGATACCGAAAACACCCTGACCGAAATCAATAACACTCGTACAGTGTCTATACCCATGCCCCAAAAAACACTTCTGACAATCCCCACGTGCTACAGTTGGCTTTCTATAATGACCTCGCAGCACAGCGGTATGTGGATCCGCAGGAGAATGAGTGCAGAGGGGAGGGAGTGGGGCATCCAGATGGGCGTTGACATGCTTTGACTTGGACTGCGCCCTTTTCCTAATGGATTTATGCTGTTGTTTGGGCGCCTTGGACTACGGCTATGGCTGGAGTAAGGTGGGTCAAGGAGGGCCGGGGCCATGGCGTTCTTGGGGATTAGCTCAATTATCCCATATCACGAAAATCCAAATTCAGGGATGGCAGGTTCAATGCATAATTTGGCGTTAATTACAGAATTTCGGGCTGACCTTGCCGCACCTTCCAGAAGACACGCAAACACGTGACAGACATAAAATTGACTCTTTCATCTCACCTTTATTGCAGCCCAGCAAAGAAAGGTAGTCAGCTCTCCAGCGGCGCCGGCTGAGTCTAACCCAGAGTACACGGAATACAATGACGACGAAGAGGGGGCGCCCGACAATTTTGCGGTTACGGAAACAACGGCTCCGGCTTTACAGCCGTACTTTGAGCAAAAGAATGTCACCATATACGTTAAGCCCGATGCGACTACAGTGAAGCTTGATTGTCCAGTGAAGAACTTTGATGGTAGGCAAGATAAGTGTCAATATTACAGCGATTACTCTAACCGCTCTGTTTCTCTTTATTCAGCCGAACATCACGTGATTCTTTGGTACATGGACCAAACACTAATTACAAACGGGCATGAGGCCATCCAAAGCATGTGGACTGTGGACAGCCAGTTCGCCTTGACCATCACACCTCTCACTAACGTTACTGGCCGGAACTTTTCGTGCCACGTGATGCCCCTAAATGTTCGTCGCCAAATCACCATCGTGATTGGCGAACCGCCTTCGACCGCATCACCGAACGCTGCTCCAAACATGCGATATCAACCCATTTACTTAATGACACTTTTTATGATCTTCCGGGCGATAATTGGCAATTAAATTTAAATATCTTTAGCACACACCACCGCAATCAATGCTATCCTCTATGTATGTACCTTCTACGTACACGTATGTATATGTATGTATAAAGAGCACAGAAAACTATTTTTTTGATCAATTATAGGCAGTTAGTACTGATTATACTCTACTAGCTCTAGTTTCCAGATTTTCAATGGTACAAGAAACCAGATCAAACGATCAAGAAAATTCCATCTATAAAATGTAGCACCTTTCATAGATATTATATTCAAATACTATATTAGAAACCACTATTTGTCTAACGCTTGCTTACACTATTCTTAAAACAAGGACTAAATATTTGTATAAACTTATTCACAATATTTTCAAAACTTTAATAGAAGCTGTTATATTACAAATTTGTAGCAAATACTTGCGATTCCCAATTTGTTTAAAAAAGTTAAAAACCACAGTTATTTCAGTTGTGAAGCAAAGCTTAGCAAGTTTAACATATAACATTATCTTATTTACATCTTTACCAATAATTTGAGTATTATTAGACTGGAAAATATGAAAATAAAGGAATAAAGCGTATTTTCAAATTTGGTCAAATTGTCGTAATAGATTTGGCTCATTCGTCTAATTCGTAAATATCTCGAAATTAATTTCATAACCATTTACTATATGTCATATAAGTCGGAAAGTAGAGCGGATAGAGAATACCTCAGAATAAAGAAACAGAGCTTGCAAATTGTATGCATAGCCAGATACATGTACAAAAACGCATCTATCTGTACTGCGCACAAATGCACTGACGTTTAACTGAATATGTAGGTTCAAGATTTTGCATGATTAGAATTGCCTACTATAGTAGTATATATCCCAAAAAAAGACCGAGCGATGTGAATGCCTAAGAGCTGGAAAGTGCGAACAGCGAACTATTTACTGTTGTTTATTTTTTGGGCACAACTGAGAGGACGATTTGACAGCTCGACCTTTCAAAAAAATTATAGAAGCAACATTTGATGTGCATTTTTTATAGTTCAAAACGTCAATTGATAAACATAAAACTAGTTACAGTTAGTTTATCCTATCTTGAAGTTATGGTTTTTTGAAATATCGGATTATTCATAAGTTCAATGAATATATGTAGTTTCATTTATTATTATTTACCTATGATTCCATAGGTGCTGCGTGTAGTCCCTGCGAAGCCCCTTTTATGTGTCAAATAACTTTAAATATGCCAAATGTTTAAGTGGATCATTAGTATGAGTCTAAAAATTAATTTGAAATTGGATAATCTATAAGTAATGTTGTTAATATAGAAATATTACGTAATATTTGTGTCTGATTTAAAAGTTCGATGGCAACTAATTGATGATTGTATATTAGTCGGTTAATTTTCTGGAAATAGGCAATTGCTCTCTTGCAAACTTTTAGATCCACTCAGTTAAACGGATGTGTATAGTTGCTTACTATATGTATGTATGTACTCTTAAGGATGTGTATTTTTATGTTTGTGAGGATGAACCGGTTGCTTGGCAAATTATGTAAGTTGTTGCTTTGTTATTGTAATTTAGTTTTAGAAAAATATACCAACTTATATATATATATATCGTCACATGAGTATGTATGTATTACTATTATTACTGTCTAAGCGCATTTTGGAAATGAAAATAAAAATGGAGTGAAACGAACTAATTGTAATTTATTACAGAATATGGGATTGAAAACAATGAAAACTTCAAGTTTTACAGTTGATTATAATTTGGAAATGCCGAAAAATACGAACACGACTATTTAATATTAATAATATTTATTTATTTAAAAGCTGTATATTTCTATTGTAGACATCATTTTGGACGGACTGTCTTGGCTTCGGACGGTGTTTATATGTTGTTAATGTTTCAACTATAGGTTCTGATTAAGAGAACTCGTTCCTACTTTAATTTAGGAAGTAACCTACTGATTTACTTTTTAAAGAAACCCCTACGCCTGTGCACGCCTGCCTTTAGCAACACTCAAAGTTCCAATGTCGCGAAGAATAGGGGAACGTGAAAAGAAACCCCACGCGACACAGCCAGTATAGCACAACAACAACCCACCCCTAGCACCATTGTCCTATATACCAGCTGCATTTTGTTGGAATTCCACATTGCCATGTGCGTCATGCATGCAAGCCATATGGTTCAAGCACAATGCTGTACCCCGGGCCAGGGTGGTGGAAAAATGTTTTCGGTTTGTTGCAATCTCGTGTTTCCTGCAGACATCAGTCGTCCTCTATACTCAGTGCGGCCAGGACCGATAGGCCACAATTCTAGTCATTGCCCAATATTAAACTAATTGTAAGCAAAAACTAAGCTAAATGTTTATAAATAAATTTATAAACAAAGTTTATAGATGATTCCAGAAACAGACAACAATACGACCGCCAATATATGTTGGGATAACGCGACCATCGGATGCAATGAAAGCCGTTGTGGCCAGTCAGAGACTGCTGCTGAAGTTTATCGCAGAATTGTGGACCGTCTGCAGATGTATCCTTCGCGCAATAGCCTGGATAATGCGCAAAGTCATGCTTCTAAATTGGATGAAGACCAACTTAGACGGATTTGGATAGCCTCATTCACAGGAAGTAGTTTATTTTATCGATCATAACTAGTTGACGTAACATTCTTAAAATCAAGCAAATACGATTAAAGCTGTGGTCAGACTACCAAATAATCTGCATACCAATTTGTAGAATATCTCAATATGCTTGAATATGAATAAAATGTTACTTCTATTAATGCCTATCATCATAATTTATTTTGCAAATTCTTTGAAACCAAACCACTTCTCTAAGACCATGAAATAAAATCGCAATTTTTATATTTTCAATTAATTTATTTCATTAAAATTCTTAAGACTGAAAAAATAGATACTATAAATACGTACCTTTTATTAAATCATTTAATACCAAGTGTATTACAAGGGAATCCGAATCTCTTAGGTACTTTTGCATAAGTCCAATACACATAGACGCCATATGCATACATATATGTGGGACTCGTTTTATAGCTTTTGTGAAAAGGGATTTAAAATTGTTACCATCAGTATTTTAATGGCAAAATCATGACTATAACAGTCAGAATATATACTATATGGGTATTATTTATGATTTTATGTTGTACTCTTTTAAAGAAGCTGCTCAATTTTATTTATAAAAGCATATATCCAACAATGCTTGGTTATTGTATGGAGGATATTATTTGTTTATTGAACTTTTATAATCCTGTAATCTTGTTATACTATATATATGATTTATATTCTTATTTTAATGTGATCCTTCCCAAAAACATTTTTTGTTATATTTAAATTTTAATTTTTCTTTCGATTTCAAAATCGCATCGGGCAGATATTTATTTATTGATATAAACACTCATTTATATCACTCATAATTCATTGGGTAACATTTTTCAAATGACTCCTATAAGAGGAATACGTTTTACATATAAATGTATTTTCGTTTTTATTATTTATTTTTGTGTTAATCTATATTGACGACATACAAGTGTTTATTCACGTTTAAGGTTCAGCATTGTAGTTGCTTTTTTTCAAATTAATATAATTTTATAGATTTTTAATAATTTCCTTCGATTATATTGCATACCTAATGTTATAGAATTCAAAACAAAAATTATAAAAATATTTAAATCGATATCGAGCTACTATCGTAAAATATAATTTTTTTATAATAACTTTTTTAATTCTTTTATTTTCAATTTGTTTAATCTGTTTCTTTTTGATTCTTATTTGTTTAGTGGCAATTGGAATGCGGGCACAGTCCATTGCAGAAAGTAAAGTACATGAAATTATATTAAGAGATATATATATATGTATATGAATTTATTATATACTACATTTATGCATACGATAAACGCATTAATAATTAACTTTAGAAATTTCTTAAGCCGCTCTTTATGCGGCACATCAATATATGAACATTAAAATGAAACTTTTAGAAGCCAGCATTGCATCAATGAAGTATGTTTATAGTTTTTTGTTGTTGTTATAATTAATAGATTTAATAAATTTTCTTTTCCTCCTTTTATGTTATTATCAAGACCTTCTTTGAAGCCGTTTCCATAGCAACTTTTTATGTTATTTTTATCGTGTGTTGTTTTTAAATCTTGACTTATATAGTCTTCAAACATACTATGGAGGGTAAGTTATTATTTATATTTCTTCAGTATAGTATAAGTATTTGGTTTGTACGACTTGATTGGCGGCTCGCGCATACGTTTCATTTCAGTTGGATATGGCTGTGGTCGTTTATATGCCGCTGCATTTGTTGGTATTATTGACGGACGTGCTACAAAAGTTATTGGGTTTCAATGTTATTAATAAAAAAGATAAATCAGTTATAAACATATTGCTTTGTTATAAAAATTATTGAATTTTAATCAGCTAATATTATATTATATTTTTAGGATTTTCAAAGCTTTAACGTGCCCAAATGCCGACTTAATTTTTTTAAATAATACCTAGTATGGAATACTTTAACTTACGTTTTGTGTATTCATATCCAGTAGGAGCGCCACGTTTTGCCATACGATGGTCATATTCGTAGGCCTCCTCTTCTGCCTCCACCACTCTATAAATAAGAAAAGTATATATTTTATTGGCATGTTTATCAACACATACTATGCATGAACGGGACTAAATAAGTAAATTCAAAGAATTCTGGGCGGACCATTCTGTTCCTTCTTCGCTGCTGTCATATATATTAAATTTCATTTGAATTTATACTTTACAAGTAACTTACTCGGGCGGATTCTCCGCTGTTCTCTTAATAAGATTTATAAACTTGGGTGCTCCGCTGCTGCCGCCAAATTTTTTATCGAATACGGACCTTTAAAAACACATAAAAACAAATTATTCACGGAACTATTTCAAAGTGTTGGCGCGGCACTCACCTATATGCCTCCAGGTTAGGTCCATGAATATTCTTCGCCGATTCAGGATCCATTTGCATTAGCTCTCGGAGTTGTTCGTGGGATACTTCATCATTCTTGTCGGGAATGAGATACTTACGTATTTCGGCAAGCGCGTAAGCAATGCGAGCGTAACATTCGGCCGGCGTAGCAACAGTGCTGACCTCGAGAAACAGATCTTTCTGAAGATGAGAATAACGAGGATCACCAGAATTGCGTAATTCCTCCTCCTTGTTTCGGTCGCGAATGCTGCTGCGGCCTTTAATCGCAATTTTACACTGGGTTTCGTCCTGGAGGCGGCGCAAAGAATTGCCCTTAGGTCCCAAAATTTTTCCTGTAAAATTAAACTAAAGCAAACCGGAAAAGCGTGAGCAATAAAAATTCAATTTTATTGGTATACATGTACATTTGTATTTAAGTGAATTACCTTTGGATATTGCTTGACAGGCACAAATACTTTTTGCGTTATTTTCATGGGTTTTTGCTTATAAACGTCAGCATAAAACTCTTTGCCGGGAATGCGACCAGTGCAATAGATACGGTCCACGGCTACAAATATACATTTAATATTTCATAAGTTATGCGGATAAATTAATATGCATGCATATACCTATTATGTACATACATACATATGTATGTATGTATACATATTACGATCATACAAATGAGTGCATCAAAAGTTTGGATGTATCTTACCATCGTCTATTAATAGAGCGCACAATGGAAATTCGGCAGACAGACGTTGGCGTTCCTCGTCCAAATCTGCCAAAAATTTTTGGGCCACTTCGTTTAAACGGGGCTGGTGAGGTGGCTTTTCAACAAATTCGTTAATCTCGTTATCCATATCGGTTTTAAACAGCACTACTCTTCCTGAAAAAATGTATAATAGATTGCAAATGGCGGCAGCACTACGATTAGTGTGACTTCAAATAGAAACTGAAAAATACCCGAAAATTTGATATTTATTTTATACATATAATATTTTGGCTATCGACAATACCAATATTTATATATTATAATAAGCATTCACAAAAAGAGAAACCTGTAAGAAAGATAAGCAAACGAAGCAAATTAATTATTGGCACACAAAATGCAAATATACCAACATAAACATACCATATAAGACAGTCGCACTGCTAGCAAATTCGATAACTCATAAAGGCGGCAATGTATCGATAATCTGTGAGAATTTATGTTTTAATATATACATATGTATGTATGTATGTACCTTGTGTAAAACTAATCAAAAATTGGAACCGCATAGCTATGGCAAGTGAGGATCTATTTGGACATGAATACTCTGAAGATCCTGATTCAGAGTTACAAATAAATAAAGTGGTTGGCAGCAGAGGACAAGCACAAATTGAAGAAATCGCTGAAGAGGAAGAGGAGCACGTTCAAAACGGCAAAACAGAAGCAACAAAGGAAATATCAACGGACAGTAAGCAAAACCTGACTATGGACTAAAATGTTGATACTTCCCTTTCATTTATTCTACTATGCCATTTTAATTTAAGGTGTGAAGGGTACAACAGAACCCGAGACTAAACTTTGTAAATTGCCGATGTCACGTATTAGGAACCTTATGAAATTGGATCCTGATTTGCAAGTTGCTTCGCATGAAGCTGTATTCGCTGTGGCGAGGTCTGTAGAGCTTTTCATAGAATCTTTGGCGCGAGAGTCGTACACATATACAGCTCAGGCGAAAAAAAAAACGGTACAGAAAAGAGATGTGGAATTGGCCATTGCAGCAGTGGACTGTCTGATGTTCTTGGATGGCGCCATAAATTTTTGATGCTAAATATATTTAATGTTACATATCCCTATTGCTATTTATTGGCTAAGTGGTGGTTTGCCCGGGAAAACATACATATCTACAGATGTTTATTTGTACATTAGTGGTGGCCTTCCGTGGGCCTGGTCGCAATTTTAACACATTCGCTTATTAGGTGCTCACTTTTATTTGGCGAGTGTGTACACACACTTGTTTAACCAAAGAGAGAAAAAATTAGGGCCACAAAGAAGTTGCAAACATATTTGGTAAAGTTCAATTAAAACGACTGCACCGCTGCCAGCACACTAGCAAAAACGCACAGCGTGTTGTGGCCACTTTTTTACCATATTCGCCAATCTAATCGACTAAGGGCTCCGTCAAGGAAAATACGAAAAATGGCGGAAAATGGAATGCGTGGAGGCGGCCCAGGGTCATCGGCGAGTGCGAGTGTGAATGCAGCAGGCAACAGCAACGGAGAGCATGAAGTAGAACATAGCGGAGAAAACGAAAAAGCAGTTCAGCCGGCGCGTTTGAACGAATCTGCCCAAAAATATATGCAGGAGCTTATGGTTGAGCGGGCGAGAATGGAGAATCACTTCCCGTTGGCAGTGAAACTAATTGATGAAGGTATGAAATCGATTGATCCATACACTACGTACATATGTGTTTTATACGATTGTATGTACACATGGTACGTGTGTAAGTCGCCGTTCTGTAGTTTCTTAACATGTTCTGTATGTATGTTTTTCTTAAAAATCTGCAGCTCTAGAGCGTGTGCAACTGAATGGACGTATACCAACGAGAGACCAATACGCCGATGTCTACCAGCAGCGCACCATTAAGTTATCGCAAAAGGTGCATGTGCCCATTAAGGATAAGAAGTTCAACTACGTGGGCAAGTTGCTGGGTCCAAAAGGGAATTCTTTGCGCCGGCTTCAGGAAGAGACACAGTGTAAAATTGTGATTCTTGGCCGCTTCTCTATGAAGGATCGTGCTCGTGAGGAAGAATTGCGCAATTCCGCGGACGCCAAATACGCCCACCTAAATCTTCCGCTCCATGTCGAAGTTTCTACCATTGCACCACCGGCCGAGGCTTACGCGCGCGTAGCCTACGCCCTTGCCGAGATCAGACGATACTTAATACCGGATAAACACGATGACATTCGTCAGGAACAATATCGAGAACTAATGGAAGATCCCGAGGCAGCAAAAAAGCTAACACTACGACAGCTACAACAATCTGGCGCTGCTGGCGGCAATGCAGCAGGCAATGGCAACAATCGTACAGGAGGCAATTACAGGTACGTTTCCATTAATTTAGGGGTGGCACCCAAGGAACAACTTATATTTGTTTTATTTTTTTAGGCAAAAGTTTCAGCAGCAATCACACTATCACCACAACGACGAGACTGTCTATTACCGTTCACATAACAACGCTTATCATCAGCCAAAACCTTATGTGCCCCCAGGTGAGTACGACAAATACAACAACCTGTTGTTAATGTGGCTAAAGATACAGTATTATTTCGTTTAGCTGGCCAACGGGGCAATGCCATGCATGCAACTTTGCCACCTCAAACAATTGTGCGTGCCTCGCCACCGGGTATGGTTGTCAGTGCCGCCAGCTTCAATGGCCGCAGTGCTGGTCTGACCAGCGCGGCAGGCGGCCTTATGACGAACAGCATGGTAGCTGCCACGCCTAGCATGCGCTACCGTCCTGCAGCCCCGTATCAATTCGTCAAGAAATAATACAGAAGCAATGCGCCTGTAATTTGCTATTCGTTTACTGTTTTGTCATCTCATCCAAATGCATGCGACCTAGTTGCGCATGCGCGCCATTGATGCGTCGGTCAGGCATTTGTGTGGCCGAGGCTGAACCACACACTGCTCCAAAGGTAGATGTAATAATTTTAATGCATACACACATACATACATATAATTTTGAAAATATTGATTTTACCAAGATTTCGAAAGTTGAAAACAAACCGAAATTAATAAACGTAATCTTAAGATATTAGCCTAAGTAGACAAATGCTCCAAAAACACCCACACACTTATCCGCGGCAAAATCTCATCCCTACACTCATCCTCACCATGTTTTAAGTATTTGGTTTTACATTATTTTTATTTTCGATACTGTTTAGTACCGACTTGGTTGTCCCTCATCGCCAATTTATGAAATTTATCTAAACAGAAAATAATCCTGTGTGTTGGGCTCTGTGAGCATTTGAATACGTAAATCTCCTTAATCCGAATAGGACGGACTGAATAATTAAAAAGCATTCAGTCAGGTTCGGATAGTTATTGTTTTATTATTCATTTGTTTTCATAACTTCTTATTTATACATACCAATGTTCTATACCCACAACATATTTTGCAGTTATACAAATATTTCTTTTTCTTTGCTTACATATTTTATATAAATATTAGGAGGCTTCGTATTTGTTATGTTTGAAATCCAAAAATAATTAATATATAAATATATACTTATTTATATCCAAACTGCAGAAACTATTTAGAAATCGGTATATTACAAAAAAATACATACTTATATATGATTTGTAGTAGCAGGTCCACCAATGCAATTACACAAGCGAAGCACATACAACATGATTCATACATACAAGCATATTCAAGCATAATTACATAATTATAAACAGCAGCAAAAATAAATAAATAATAATGCATATGAGTAAATTGAGAGCGCATTTAAAAAGCGCGACTATGACTACGATAACATAGCATACATACATACATACATAACTTAGTATACCACATCATATGACAAAAACACATTGTTATTGTTGTTGAAAGCAACTAAAATTGTAATAGAATAAATAAAAATATACAAATATGACGATGATGTTAAAAAAACACCGTGTTATTATTTTAAGATGACACATTTTCTTTAACTTCATGTTTTATTAACAAATTTTTTCATAGTTTATGTTTATAATTCCGGTCGTAGAAAAAATCATAGTTATTGGGTTACCTTCATTTATACAAAAAATTCGGTACCTATACCGAAGGTAACCTTCCCCTTAATCCCCGTCGTCGCATTTAATTATCACATAGAGTGGGTCCGTCGCCAATACAAGCCGCGTACGCCATCAGATGTGGGATCGTATTCTGTTGCATAACTCCGCTGAAAAGGTGACTTTGAGGCCCGGTGGCAAAAATACCGACATCTTCCCCACCATGGACACCACTAGTTGTTTTTATATAGCTCGGAGCTACGAAAACTAGCAATGATCAATAATTGAAATTAATATAAAATAATTGAAAATGTGCACTAAATACTCACAGGGATCGTCGATTTGGTCTGTCAAGTCAATGCGCTGGCCATGTTCGTCCTGGTATTGATTAAGTCCAACTGCATAGTTCAGCGTGGCGTACTTAACTCCATAAACGTCAGTGTCGTGCTGGTTAAGGCCCAAAATATTTGTACCGCGCCCTGGGTAGCCGGAAATACTTAGAGGATGTGCATGATCTGAGGTAACTACGATTAGTGTCTCTTCAGGATTGGTCATGTTGAGAGCCACTTGAATAGCTTCTGAGAACTCAATTGTCTCATCCAGAGCCAAGGCTGGCGTGTTAAAGTGGTTTCCGTAATCTATTAGACCGCCTTCAATAAATACAAAAAATCCATTTTCACCGCCCTTGTGGCTCAGCACCTCAATAGTCTTTTTCGTCATTTCCGCTAGTGTTGGCTGCTTGGTCGCATCGGCCTGCTTATGAAAATCCATTGTACCAGAGTTGAAGGTACCTATCAGTTTGGTGATTTTTGTGGCATCCACACTGAGCAGCTGGTCGCGATTATATGTGAGTACTCCCCCGGGGTTATTAGCTTGCCACTTGGAGAACAAGTTCTTGCCATCGGAGCGTTCTCCAGCCACGCCGAACTTGTCGGTAATGGTATTGGGCAGGAACTTGCCCATTCCTCCGCCCAGCATAACATCAAAGTTTTTTCCGGGCTCCTGCGTTATCAGCTGGGTGGCGATGTCCGTGCAGAAAGCAGGATCATTTTGGCCCTCACCGTACGTCAAAATATCCGTATCGGATTCAAAGAAACGGTTTGTGGTATGCGCGTAGGCGCCCGAAGGGCTTGCATGGGTAAGAGTTGTCGTTGTAACTATACCCGTTGCCTTTCCCTTCTTTTGGGCCCAGTCAGCAATGGAGCTGACTTGGTTTGCCGGATCCTCACTGCCAGAGCAGTTGTTGAAATTTACTGCGGCACTAATGCCAATGGCCACAATATTTGTCTTAACACCGCACAGGTAAGCGGTAGCGGTGCATGCCGAGTCGGGTACTTGTGCGTTGGCGCAATAAGTCTAAAGGATATTTTCAAGTCTGTTAAGGTAGCCCAGATCATAATCCTAAAGGGACTTACCCTGCTCAAGCCAGTGTGCGGGAATTTCTCAAAGCTCAAGGCATCCTCTTCCCCGGTGTTTCCCTTCCGTTGGCCTTGAAGTATCCTTGCGGCAGTCACTGTGGTCAGAGACATGCCATCGCCCAGGAACATTATAATATTCTTCGCCTTCCTGGTGTCGACTTGGGGGAGCGCTATACGCTTCGCAATTTCCTCATGTGCCAAATCATACCAAAACTGAGCGTCCTTCTCCTCTGGTGGTGTGTATTTATTTTTAGCCAATGCGTTGGCATCAAAATCATACGAAATCCGAGCTTTTGTGGACTGCACAGATCCAATCAACTGATCCTGACGATGAACCTCAGCCACTGCATTACAAATATATGTGACATACATGTTGGAATTTTTTCTACTTCACAATTCTCAGATTAGACACTCACTGTTAAGCACACCGGCCCTTGAATTGGTCACAAGGACACTCAGCAAGATAATGACAACTCCAAGTTTTGCCATCGTTGGTTTCAGTCTGAGTTAGTGTAGAATTTGAACACTTTCTAGTGCTTTGCTTTGGTATTTATACGATTGAACAACCTGCCTCTGTGCATTATCTAAATCGGCTTGTGATATTTTGGTTATCATTTAAATCTGCACAGGTTTCGACTTTTTATGGCATTATTACTTTATGCGTATGAGTACTTAAAATTAGCCTGAATTTGAAAATCATTTTGAATGATTTGCAAAGCCAGAAATTAGTATTGCAAAGAAAAAGTGGGACTAAAATTAGTATAGAGTAGACATTTTAATACTATATTTTTGTAAAATTTATTGATAAATTTATAATTACGGATACGCTCACGTTTTAATGAGTTCTTTTTGAAATACATTTTTTATTTTATTTTTAAAAGTTACCATAAATAACGGTCCCTTTGCTAGACAATTATAAAAAAAACTGGATTTAATCGGGTAAAAAGGGTCGTTTCGATTGATGCTTCAAATGCATATTCAAGAGAATGGGCGTTCCAAGACATCACAAAACCAACGAAAATTGTTTACGATAAAAGGATGTAGGCCGAGCAATTTCAGAAGCCAGAACAAGTATGTACCTAAATTTCAAGTATGGGAATGAAATGGAAGAAAGCGCCTTTGATGTTTCTCCAACGGCTTCAATTTTTAATTGTTTCCAATATAAATAGAAAGTTCATAACATTAGACAGTTTAAGTCACAGATATTCATCAATATTGATAAACTTAATCGTATCTGATATTATTAAACATTCCTATACGAATACATAATTAGCATTACCTAATATTTGTTATAGATTATGACTCTATAATCGATCTCAAAACAACCTTAGTTTCCTTCATACAGAGTAATATGCCACCCCGTAAACTTTAGACCAGTGAAAAGATAAAAAAAGACCCATTCTTCGCATATAATGAAAATAACTGGCAGATCACCAACACGTTTTAAAATCGTGTGCTAGCCGGAATGAAAAAGTCATTATAACAACAAACGTGACAATAACTCTTGGCAAAATTGTATGATTCAAAAAAGCCAAATCTACAGATAAAATTGTTTACCCCTGTGGACTTAGTGGTACCTAAAACAAGTAAAAAAGCTAAAGTCGGGTGTTCCGACTTTGAAATACTCTGTACATATGTTTAGAATAATTATAGAAATTAAAACAAGAAAGGAATGCTAAAGTCGAGCAGGCTCAACTCTTAAATACCCTGTACCAACCCACAAAAAAGTAATTAAATTAATTAATTAATTTAATTTAATTAAATAACTAAATTAATTTAATTAATATATTATATTATAATTATATATTATAATATATTATAAAATATTCCATGCATGCATACATACATTTACGTCCTTTCTCGGGCTCAGGAGAATCTGTATACCAAGTTTGGTTATTCTAGCTCTTATACTTTCGGAGATCCTTGCGTTCATACAGACAGACAGACGGACAGACAGACGGGCAGACAGACGGGCAGACGGACATGGCTATATCGACTCTGCTTGTCATGCTGATCAAGAATATATATACTTTGTGGGGTCTACCAAGCCTCCTTCTGTGTGTTCCATGTGCACTCGCACAAAAGTAATATACTCTAGTACCCTTTGGGTACAGGGTATAAAAATTAAGAAAATTTGATTGATTTTACCTTTTTCGGTATTCGAACTTACGTAAAGGGTGTATAATTGCGCATTTACATATGAATTGGGTCTATGTGAGTGTATGTACAAGTATGTCTATGTCTATAACTTCTTGTAAAATCGGTTTATCATAATGAAACTTGGCAAACAGACACATAATCACTAATTGGGGGTATTTCCAATTTTGAGTTCGAAATTTCAAGAATTACGGGAGTTAGAGAAAATTGCGATTTGCGTGGGAGAGGGGGGAGGGAGGGAAATTCCAAAATACACAGTTCAATACAATTCTGCGTATTCACATAAGGCATCTTGGACTTTAAATTTGATATCCCTAGGTCTTATAGTCTCCGAGATATAGGCGATTATACGAACGGCATTATGGAAAAACCCCCACAGGGGGGAAGTGGGAGAAATAATCAAAAAATAAAACAAACTCATATAGCGTACACGCATAAGGCATCTTTGTGCAAAATTTGGTGTCTCTAGCTCTTATAGTCTCTGAGATCCAGGTGTTCATACGGACGGACAGACGGACAGACAGGGCTAGATCGACTCGTCTTGCCATGCTCATCAAGAATATATACACTTTGTGGGGTGTGCCACGCCTCCTTCTGCCTGTTACATTTTTCACTTCCCGCAAACCTAATACATTTCATGTACAGAGTATAAAAAGAAAATTCACCACTGGCAACAAGAAAGTTGTTTAACTGCTTAGAAATAATCTGTAACCAAGTGCGTCTGTTCTAGCACACCGTGATTAACGAGTCCCTCATTTCAATTGATCTTCTATGATTAGGCTGTGCTTCCCATTTTAATTTGTGTATCTTTTGTCTGGTAGGTGCATATTGCTTATCACTATCTCGTGGAACGTGTGCCACAAAAGACGGCTTAAGTTTATTAGGTGCCCATGAAATCATAAAGTAGTCTTAAAATATCAGCATATACTTGTATAGCCAACAATGTCTAGCATCTTAATGGACTAAAGCGGTTAAAAAAACAATAAAAAAGCTTGTGCATATATGTTGTGCCAAAGGCAAGATCTTTTCCCAGCATAAGAAGCGTTAGGTAAGCCGACAAAGGTCCACCCTTCATCGACACATCGGGGCAACAAGAGAGAACGCTGGAGCAAAAAGAAGAAAATCGAGCATGTGGGCGTACTTGTAGTGCTGGAGTAAAATTGATTCGCTGATAACTTTTCTTAGAAATTACCAACTTGGATGATATTTTAAAAGAGGTATAGAATTATATATGGATTCCGTGCAAAGTTTGGTTTACAAGTATGTAGCTTCGAAATCATGGGTAGTATTTGAGGGTAGATGAGGAAGAATCCAAAAAAATCAAAATACTCGTCGACCCGGCTCTCATCATAGAGCCTACATACCAAGTTTGGGCAATGTGGGCCCAGCCTTCTGGACAGACGGACGGAAAGACAATCGGAAATAATCTTTAAAATGCTTACCGATGAAAAATATTCGGATGTCCGTGGCTTGCAAAAACTTAAATTTGTATTTCCATAGCAACTCAGCTAATCAATTAGGCCATAAATGTCTTTACAATTCGAAAACCATTCAAATTTACCTTCAAAATAACAAGAGAGAACGCTAAGGTCGCATGGGAGGAATGCAATTATCAAATTGTGTTTGAAAGACCTTCTCTCATTGTAATTGGTTTGTTTATGTAAGTAAAAATTGGTAAAAATTCTAAAACTTTGTAAAATGTGGTCGCTTATATGTATGCTCTTATGTTGGGGCATCTGCCATGATTTAAACAGATTTTCGAATTTCCGTAATTACAAATTTTCAATTTATAGGAGTTATAAAATGTAGGATTCTTTTAATTTTATCGCTTTAATTTAGACGTATTATTCAATTGGCTGTTGAAGAACAATTGTCCTGAAGGTTTTAAATCACTCAAGAGTGTCAAAACAAGAATATGATAAAATATTATGAATAGTAAGAAGCATTTCTGGCTGAGGCAATACACTTTTTTCCACAACGTCGTAGGTATGTATGTTGTGCACCACAAATCATTCAACTTATGGGGTAAGATGGTCTCATTAAATATTAAGTTGAAGACAAATAGCCAAATGTTATCTTTTTGTAGATATTTTTCAATTGACTCAACAATTCTCTTTCTCTTAATTACATTCCACCCCAAATTTCATTTAATTATCACATAGAGTGGGTCCGTCGCCAATACAAGCCGCGTACGCCATCAGATGTGGGATCGTATTCTGTTGCATAACACCGCTGAAAAGGTGACTTTGAGGCCCGCTGGCGAAAATACCGACATCTTCCCCACCATGGACACCAATAGCCCCTTTAATATAGCTTGGAGCCATGAAAACTAGTAATGATAAATAAATATAATAAATATAAAATAATTGAAAAGGCTACAGTAAATACTCACGGGGTTCGTCGATTTGGTCTGTCAAGTCAATACGCTGGCCGTTTTCGTCCTGGTATTGATTGATACCAACTGCATAGTTCAGCGTGGCGTACTTAACTCCATAAACGTCGGTGTCATGCTGGTTAAGACCCAAAATATTTGTACCGCGCCCTGGGTAGCCGGAAATACTTAGAGGATGTGCATGATCTGAGGTAACTACGATTAGTGTCTCTTCAGGATTGGTCATGTTGAGAGCCACTTGAATAGCTTCTGAGAACTCAATTGTCTCATCCAGAGCCAAGGCTGGCGTGTTATAGTGGTTTCCGTAATCTATTAGACCGCCCTCAATAAATACAAAAAATCCATTTTCACCGCCCTTGTGGCTCAGCACCTCAATAGTCTTTTTCGTCATTTCCGCTAGTGTGGGCTCCTTGGTGGCATCGGCCATCTTATGAAAATTCATTACACCAGAGTTGAAGGTACCTATCAGTTTGCTGATTTTTGTGGCATCGACACTGAGCAGCTGGTCGCGATTATAAGTGAGTACTCCCCCGGGGTTATCAGCTTGCCACTTGGAGAACAAGTTCTTGCCGTCGGAGCGTTCTCCAGCCACGCCGAACTTGTCGGTAATGGTGTTGGGCAGGAACTTGCCCATTCCTCCGCCCAGCATAACATCAAAGTTTTTTCCGGGCTCCTGCGTTATCAGCTGGGTGGCGATGTCCGTGCAGAAAGCAGGATCGTTTTGGCCCTCACCGTACGTCAAAATATCCGTATCGGATTCAAAGAAACGGTTTGTGGTATGCGCGTAGGCGCCCGAAGGGCTTGCATGGGTAAGAGTTGTCGTTGTAACTATACCCGTTGCCTTTCCCTTCTTTTGGGCCCAGTCAGCAATGGAGCTGACTTGGTTTGCCGGATCCTCACTGCCAGAGCAGTTGTTGAAATTTACTGCGGCACTAATGCCAATGGCCACAATATTTGTCTTAACACCGCACAGGTAAGCGGTAGCGGTGCATGCCGAGTCGGGTACTTGTGCGTTGGCGCAATAAGTCTAAAGGATATTTTCAAGTCTGTTAAGGTAGCCCAGATCATAATCCTAAAGGGACTTACCCTGCTCAAGCCAGTGTGCGGGAATTTCTCAAAGCTCAAGGCATCCTCTTCCCCGGTGTTTCCCTTCCGTTGGCCTTGAAGTATCCTTGCGGCAGTCACTGTGGTCAGAGACATGCCATCGCCCAGGAACATTATAATATTCTTCGCCTTCCTGGTGTCGCCTTGGGGGAGCGCTATACGCTTCGCAATTTCCTCATGAGCCAAATCATACCAAAACTGAGCGTCCTTCTCCTCTGGTGGTGTGTATTTATTTTTAGCCAATGCGTTGGCATCGAAATCATACGAAGCCCGAGCTTTTGTGGACTGCACAGATCCAATCAACTGATCTTGCGGATGAGCTTCAGGCACTGCATTTCAAATATATGTCTTCGTATTGGTTTTTTTTCTCACATAAAAGACACTCACTGTTAAGCACACCGGCCCATGAAGTGGTCGCAAGGACACTTAACACCATTACTGCGACTTCGAGTCCCGCCATCTTCATTCTTTATTCAGCCAGTGTGGAATTTGAACGTTTTTATACTCTGTACATGAAATGTACAAGAGTATATTAGGTTTGCGGGAGCTGAAAAATGTAACAGGCAGAAGGAGGCGTGGCAGACCCCACAAAGTATATATATTCTTGATCAGCATGACGAGACGAGTCGATCTAGCCCTGTCTGTCTGTCTGTCCGTCTGTCCGTCTGTCCGTCTGTCCGACTGTCCGTCTGTCCGTCTGTCCGTCCGTATGAACACCTGGATCTCAGAGACTATAAGAGATAGAGACACCAAATTTTGCACAAAGATGCGTTATGTGTGTATTCTATACGAGTTTGTTTTATTTTTTTGATTTTCCCCCCCACTTCCCCCCTATGGGGGTTTTCCCGATTTTCCATTCGTATAATCGCCTATATCTCGGAGACTATAAGACCTAGGAACACCAAATTTTAGTCCCAGATGCCTTATGTGAATATGCAGAAAATGTATATTTTGGAATTCCCCTCCCTCCCCCCTCTACCCCGCAAATCGTAACTCCCGTAATTCTTGGAATTTCGAACTAAAATTTTGGAAATACCCCCAGTTGGTTATTATGTGTCCGTATGCCAAATTTCACTATAATAGACCGATTTAACAAGAAGTTATAGCCATAAATATATTTGCTGCTGCAGCGCTGCTCAAGCGCTGCCCGCGGTTGTTGTTGATGTTGCTGTTTGGTTGACTGCGAAAATGCTTACACAGACACGAATAGATGCGCATAGGCATACATACACTCACATAGACGCAATTGCTATGTAAATGTGCAATTATACACCCTTTACGTGAGTTCGAATACCGAGAGAGGTAAAATCGATCAAATATTTTTTTATTTTCTATAATTATTGTAAACATATGTACAGAGTATTTCAAAGTCGGGACACCCGACTTTAGCTTTTTTACTTGTTTTGAGTTAGCCTTAGGTATTTATACGATTGGACAACCTGCCCCTGGGCTTTATCTAAATCGGGTTGTGTGATTTTGGTTATCATTTAAATCTGCAAAGATTTTGACTTTTTATGGCATTATTACCTTATGTGTGTTTGTGAGAGCTTTAAATTACCCAAATATAGTGCGTCTATTATTAAATCATTTTGAATGCTTTGCCAAGCCCAGTCAAGAAGACGGCGAAACTACATAGAGATAAGTATTGTGAAGAAAATGTTGAACTAAAAAGAATAAAGCTGTATTAGTTGATATGTTGGGATATATTGTGCATTCATTTTATTTAATTACAAGGATAACAATGTGACGCTTGCGTTTTGAGACCTTAAAGAAAAGTTCGTCTCGTGTTTTTTTTTGTGGCAATTTAATGCTGATCCATGAAAACCCTGCAAGCCTGATGAAAATACAGGCATATAAATAAAATCATGTCTTAAAGCAATCAGAAATGCTCAAAGGGTCCACTTAAATCAAAATTTAATTTACACTAGAGTGGGAATTAATAGTGTTGGGCTTATACTTAAGAATCAGTTTTGTAGAATTGTAGTTCAACACATAAATGCATATAAATTTTTGTATGCAGCTTTTTTCTTTTATATATTTGCAGGTCTTGGAAGCCTTAATGCAAAATCAGAGCAAAAGCAAAATATTTTTGAAATAAACGAAATAAAACGGTTGCAAAAAAATGCCAGTGTGGCCAATCAATAAAGCTCTTAGATTTGACGATACCGATTCCTCTGCGGTTATTGCAACAGAAGCCTATCGAAAACTAGCCCCGATATTTGTGAGCTGCCAACTTGCTGGAAAATTACAGGTAGCCTGAAACAAAAACACCCTCTCGCGTTTTCGACAATAGCCACAAATAAAATGTGTAACTAAATGTGCAACTGAAATGTGCAACTAAAACAGAATACTGCGCAATTGGCTAATAGTGTGTGTGTGCGTGTTGGTGTGTGTGTGCTGATAGATAGCGGGGGAACGTGAATATGTGTGCTGGTGCTAGAGGGCGCTGTGAATAATAAAAGACAAAGAATCAAGTGCTTAATATAAAACTTGCAGTGCAAATGCAAGCAATCTATTTTTATAAAATAAAAAAAAAACAGTAACGCCCCCCTTGCTTAACTTATGTATGCTGCAGTGCTCTCTGGCTCCTATCTGTGCACAAGTACACGGAAGTAAGTGTGTATATGTGTAAAAACGAAAATAAAACAGCCTCTACCTCTGCTGGGAGCTAGCGTTAGCCATTGCCACCCTGCAGAGCCCCTGACAGTGCTGAAAAGGGAACTGCTCCATACGCACATCATATGCAACGGCAACAACACAATAATAGCTTCCACACACCACCACCGCAATAACAAAACAACGACGAGGCCCATCGCCATCTAAAACACCAACAAACAATTATTTCAAAGCAATATTACTACAACGAAAAGTTACACAGGGAGCAGAAGAGGCAGCAAGAAAAACAACACAGTTACACCACAACCCCCTTACGTCCTCGACATAGCCTTGTAAAAAGCATTGGTACGCTCTACGCTCGGCACAATCGCCCTTCAGACGTCTAACAACCCACAACTTGCCAACTACGAGCAAACACACACACACGTACGTAGAGAAGGAACGTCCGTCCTCGTCCTCTACCCCACCACCCTCCCTGCCAATCAGTGCCGCTGCTGCTGCCTTATACTGCACTCATCCTCTGCTGCTGCTGCACTTGCAATGGAATCGGACATTGAAATGGAATTGGAGTCTGACAATGATGGGGAATACGACGACGACTATGACTACTATAACACAGGTAAGGTGTGCATTGTACTGGAAAAAGATGGGGTTCGGGTGTTAGTATATGCTTGCGATATTAACACTTATCGATTACCCTTAACAACAATAGCAAATCGATTAAACTGAAGCACAAACAGAAACACACCCACACAAATGGAAATTGTTTGTTTAAATACGTTGCATGTACTTTGGTTATTCACCTTTTGAAATAAACTCTGCCTATTATTTGCATATGTACATATGTACATACATATAACCTTCTAAAAACACAAGCCAGCACACATGGTGCTGCTTATAATCGTTTCATGGCTCTTGACATTCGCCTTTGGAGTTTATTGGCTTCTCAAAGTCCCAACATCGCATTCAAGGGGTAATATCGTATTTTGTTAGCCGTGGTATTAGCGTAGCCCACCGCACTCCACAAAACCCTTTCGGGCCCACTTAACGTAACAATACTTGGCAACTGAAAACAGTTTTAATGTTTGTGAGTTCGTTTCGTTTTGCTTCGCTTTTCGACCATGAAGCTGAAATTATGAAATTGAAATTGAACTTGAAATAGTCGTTGCCTGCCTGGGCGCTGTGATACAATAAATATGTATGTATGAACATACATATGTATGTATGTATGTATGTATATACAAAACTGCATACGTATTTTGTACATTCGTATGTCCCTTGGTTATTGTTTCCTTTTCTTGCTCAATTTGAATGCAGCCTTGATTCTCTTTTCGCTCCAGGGCCAGGTTCCTTTATCATTTCATGTACATACATACATAAATGTGTCTGTACGGTCTGTACTCCAACAACTAAGGTAAGTAAGTTAGGTTGGCTCTTTGTGCACGTGTTTATTTCTGCTCGAAATAGATTTCCTCCCTGCACCTTGGCCTTTGTTGTGCCAATTCAACTTCTTTTCCCTTTTGACATGTCTGGGCTCAGATTCGCAGGTCGATTTCGACCTGGTCAACTTATGGGGCTCTTTGTTGGCTCAATTTTTAAGCCGCTCTTCGTACCTGCAGCAACGATGCCATCGACTGAAATAGACAGACATACATATAGTATGTATGTTTGTACACAACAACAACTCTTATTCGTAAGCCAACGACGTAATGTTTGGCCTTCAATTCATTTCAAACCGTCATAAAAATAGTAATCAATCCATCCCATACACAGGCGTTTACATTGTTTTTGTTATTTCTTTTTCTTTCTCCCTTTGCTTTGGTTTGTGGTTTCGTTAAAAATTGACGTACATACATTGTATATAAGTATGTGAGTATGCCGTTTATATATACATACATGCACATGTATGTATGTACATATCTATGTACATATGTCTCTCACCTTCTGCATTTTCTCGTGGTAGTAGCTGAAGACACGGCTTCTTAGAAACTACTTATGCAGGTAGTTTGAAATCGTTGTTATTTAAACACCTTTTCAGACAACTGTGTTGTTGTAGGGCCGAAGTAGTTATAAATAGTTAAGCTACATGCCGTTTATACCTTTTTAAAATACAAAATTAATAACATTTTTATAAAAGCTTTATAAAAGAAATGTGTGATACTTAAAATGACATAATTTTCTTAATATCATTTTAAAATTCATAATTACAAATAAATATAAAAGTATTTATTATGCTAAAAATATTTATTGAACTAATACTGATCTACAGCAGTCAAGATGATATATTAATTAATTGTTCGTTCCGAAAATGTCCATCCCAATACTTTATTATATTATTGTTATAATATTAAAAAAAAAAATTTTTATTTTAATATATATATATTTTTTTGACAATTTTTTTGGGCCCGCTCGACCTATTACTTTCTTGTTTAAGGTTGGTTATAGTACGAGTTCTATTCATATCTTTACTAAGACAATACGGGATTTTTGTTGTAATACCTGGTGAAATTGGTGGACCAGAACGCAGAATAAGTAAAAAAATGAAATCGTAGGTTATACAAGTATTATTCGGGAACCATGACCATGAAGGAACAAAGTTTTGTAGTAAGATACAGTACTAAGTACTATTCTTAAATTTAAATTCTCGTTGTTGAACTTGTGAAAATGCAACCATTTTTCATATTTTTTTTTATTATTTATGGCAACAATACTAATAACCTAAATTGCTTCACTTTTAGGCGAAGACTGCGATGTCGAAAGGCTTGACCCGAAGCGTGCTGATCCCGAATACTTCGAATATGACTGCCTTACTGTAGAAGACATTGAGAAACTGCTCAACGAATTAGTGGAGAAGTTGAATACAATATTACAAATAACACCCTCATTGGCCAAAGTGCTGCTATTGGAGCATCAATGGAACAACACAGTGGTCGTTGAGAAATACCGACAGGACGCCAATGCATTGTTGGTGACGGCGCGCATAAAGCCGCCAACGAGTTCAGCTGATGCGGCCTCGACCAGCGCTGCTGCAGCCGCACAGCTGCTAAAGATGGGAAGCAGTGGCTATAAAGCACCGCCAGCAGTTGGTGGGAATGCAAATACGCCACCGTATCGCAGCCAGATGTGCCCAGTTTGTGCGAGCTCCCAGCTAGGCGACAAATTCTATAGTCTGGCCTGCGGGCATTCGTTCTGCAAGGACTGTTGGACGATGTACTTTGAGACACAAATCTTTCAGGGCATCTCCATTCAGATTGGCTGTATGGCTCCGATGTGTAATGTGCGTGTGCCGGAGGATTTGGTGCTGACGCTGGTAACGCGGCCGGTGATGCGCGACAAATATCAGCAGTTTGCATTCAAGGACTATGTGAAATCGCATCCCGAGCTGCGCTTCTGTCCCGGACCCAATTGTCAAATCATAGTGCAATCCTCAGAGATCTCCGCCAAGCGTGCCATCTGCAAGGTCTGCCGCACAGGCTTTTGCTTTAAATGCGGGATGGATTACCACGCGCCCACAGACTGCCAGGTGATCAAGAAGTGGCTGACAAAGTGCGCCGACGATAGTGAGACAGCCAACTACATTAGTGCGCACACCAAAGACTGCCCAAAGTGTCACATCTGCATCGAGAAGAATGGCGGCTGCAACCACATGCAGTGCTTTAATTGCAAGCACGACTTCTGCTGGATGTGTTTGGGCGACTGGAAGACGCATGGTTCCGAATACTATGAGTGCTCGCGGTATAAGGATAACCCCAATATTGCCAACGAATCGGTACACGTGCAGGCGCGCGAGGCTCTCAAAAAGTATTTGCATTACTACGAGCGCTGGGAGAACCACTCCAAGTCCCTAAAATTGGAGCAGCAGACGATCGAACGACTGCGGCAGCGTATTAACACAAAAGTGATGAATGGCAGTGGCACTTGGATCGACTGGCAGTATCTGTTTAATGCGGCAGGGCTGCTCGCCAAGTGTCGGTACACGCTCCAATACACCTACCCATATGCCTACTATATGGAAGCGGGCTCTCGGAAGAATCTGTTTGAGTACCAGCAGGTGGGTTTTCAATTTCAAATTCCTTATTTAATCTCTTTTAATTAAAATTTATTTAATTCAAATTACTGCAGGCCCAATTGGAAGCTGAAATTGAGAACTTGTCTTGGAAAATTGAACGGGCCGAGACAACAGACCTGGGTGATCTCGAGAATCAAATGGATATTGCTGAAAAACGTCGCACCACACTACTCAAGGATTTCTTTCCTGTTGCTGTGTAGGGCGTCGCAACGCTGATAACTAAACTAAGTGGACACGTAGCACAAAATACATTTTATTTAGAGGATTGGCCACAAACAGAATATGTATGTGTAGCAGAGAATAATGGTGTATACCACACGCTTATAAACATATACTATACATATATATTATCCATATATATATATATATATTTGTAGTCTAACAACGTGTAGCTAATGTTTATTAAGTATAATTTTCAAGTGCATATGTATTTATAATGTAGTTTATAGTTCTTAAAGAATAATTACTTTAGTCGTGAAATTCTAAATCACTCAAAAATCGATACATCTGCAATATAACCGTAACATTACCGTAACGATATAACGTGATGAGGGGCGGTTCAAGTGTTGTTTTCCAAAAACGTCCGCACCCACAACTAGCGACCATAAACAACGCAAATGCAACCAACAATAGTGAACATTTAAGATACCAATAGTTAAACAAAATGTGCTTCAACCCGAAATGCAAAGCGATGATTGATTCGTAAAGCTTTCGTCTATAATGTACGACTCAGCATTTTAGTAGCAATAAAATCAATGTCTAGCCGTAAGTTTTAAAGTTCATTACCAAATTAATAGTCTATTATTTAGCTGAACAACAGTACCATTAATAAGAATTATAACGCTATCCAAGTATTTGTAATTAATAATCAAACATTTTTGGTTACATGAACTGCAAAATTTAACAGAAAAATAATTATTCAAGTTGACTTTTATGATGCTTTATTTAAATTAAGCGCGCTTTTTTCGTAGCAAACTAAATTGTAAATTGTACTTTAGGATTATGCGACTGAATTAAAATGTAACCTTATATACATACATATATATATGAGATATAAAGTAAATCATTCATTTTTATAGAATCAGACAAATTTACTAGCGTATTTTTCAATTTGTTGAATATATAATTCATCAACGTTTGAATTATTGAATAGAAACAATATTGAAACACATACGTACGCTAGGTAGCTTATCCCAAACAATTCTTCCGAAATATTACCCTATAAGCAGATAATTGATCTTCAGTTTTTTCGAAGGTAAATCATCCAGAATCATTTATAATAAATTTCGAATGAACCACTTCATTAGATCATATGACATTGGCTTAATTTAATCATTAATTAAAGGGTCAAAAATATTAATGGTAACGATTTTACTTACTACTTATGGAGTATACAATAGAATTTTAATGAAACACCAAAATGCCAAGATAAATACAAACGCTTAACAATACATATATAGACATATATCTATATATGAAAAATATTCTAACCAATTTCACAATTTAAAGATTGTCGAAAGAACAAAACACCAACAATTTAATAATGGAATACAATTTGAATGAAGATCACAAAACAGGTATCAATTTTTAAAGCTGCGAAAATGTAACTGCAAACTGTATGAACAACCAATTAAAAGAGAATTGCAATAAACGAAAAATGTAATTTTAAAAGTGTATATAATGTCGGTTTATTTTTGAAATCATATCAAATGCCATTTCATATAATGGGCTTAAATTTGAATTGTCGATAAAGTGGCAGCACTTACATGCTCACAAGCGCTGCCACTTGTTTTAGCACAACATTTTTGTTTGGTATGGCAGTACTCAGGCAAAGCTGACATTTTCAAAATATAGCAAAACGCTTGCTATAAAAACGAGCTACACTTGTAACACTTTTTTATTGTATTAAAATAATAATTAATAATTTGTCCCACTTATGTTTTTAAAAATCAACAGTCAGCTGAAAGGAAAAATGATGCGTTAAAGATATTCGGTTAGTTGTATTTCATATTTTATGGCGATTTCAAAATATAACTTCTGACAGATGTAAAGATATTTTTCTGTTTTCAATGTCAGTGTGAGTTTAAATCTTAGATAAATTTAAAAATCTACATGTGTTTGTCACGTTTTCAAATTATAAGTACCATATGCAATAGAATCGAGCTAAATACGTAAACTTCACAATGGGCCAGCCAGATAGCAGTTGCCGTAAGTGGGGTCTGAAAACGGCGAAAGGTTCCTGCGAGCAGTCTTGTTTCGAACCAAGGGCTGCACCCTGTGCCGATTATAAAATCGTTGAGGTAATACCGAGAGAGGTCAGCGTTATAAAAAACTACGCGGAGTTAGAAGACTATGAGCGGCCCCATGTAAATATTGAGGCAGAGTGCTGCAAGCGGGCTCCACCTATGTTTCCCGATGACTCGAACAAGGACTGCTCCATTTGTGCTGCTCAGAATGCCAAAACGCGCAATAATCTGTGCTCTGCAGAATGTCGGCCGCTAAAAACTATGTTGCACCTGGAAGAGGTAGTATTTATGAATATTTTTCAACTAACCAACAGCTGATTATAAACTGTCTTGATAGTGGACGAAACGGCCGTATCCAAAGCCAACGTACAAGAATTGCGTATGGCTGGACAATGAAACCGTTGTTGGTCGTGCATTTCCAATGAAATTTCGCTTTAGGCGCTTTAAAAATAAGTGCAACGATTGCGGAAGAAAGTTATATTTTCGTGACGCACCTACGGAAAATTCCAACCTAATACTGCTCTCAAATTGCTGTGACGTTGAAGTTTACCACCAAAAGAAAGTTGACAATATGCATCTTGTGCCTGTAACTACCATAACCGGTCTGAAGAATTTCTCCAGAAAAGTCATTGCCGAGAAATCTCTTACAAATCTGAATAAATACCTATAGACTATTACAAATGTACATCTGTAAGAAATTGTTTGGCTTCACTCTATACTTGCCTATATCGTTCCATTTTATTTGAACAAACGACCAACCTCTTAATTGGATTTTAATTCAATTTTTTAAAGTAGTTGACAACTTATGGAATTTTAATTTGAAAGCTAAACTAGTGGGACATTTTTCCACACAGTTTTCTGCTGTTTACGGAGACCAGTGCTGTCATAATTTTTTGAGCAAAAACAGCTAGGCTGCCAAAAAAATAAAGCTAAAAAAGCGAAATCCAATGCAAAATAAGCTAAAAAACAAGCCGGCCTATTTTCTTGGTTAAATTTAATATTTTCATAATAATTCTATATTGTTAATTCATAATGTATAATAATAATATGAGATTCTTGTAAAAATAATAATAGAAAATTCAGATAAAAATTCTACAGCTCTTCATCTTCATCTAAACTCACTGCCTCTTCGTCAGGATAATTTTGTTGTTACGATTAAGTCCGTATTTTAAATGGAAAATTAACTAATATAATTATGAATATGGCTTATTTTGCTTACAAAAAACTTACCTTACGCTTAAAATAGAGTTAAGCGTATTTAAATTCAACTCGTTTATTAATTTGGATTTAACTAAGTTCACCTGGCTGAAGACCCGCTCCACTTCGCGAACACTTTGTTTTTACACATTAGACATATCTTAACGCAGCGAAGAAGAAAAAAACGGCCTATGCTCGAGCGTGGAGGTGATTTTGATAGATTTTATTATCGAAAGTCGTTATTCACTGCTTATATTCACGATTTTAAGTGTTGACAAAGATAAGGAAACAAATTTATGGTGAAATATAAAGTAAAGCTAGAAAAAGGGTAAATACATTTTTTCAAGCTAGAATTCCCGCTTAGTTATTGATATAGAACTATGGAGTCTTCTCTGAACACTCATTCGATATTACAGGTAGCGTATCATACTTGGAGATCAGAAGTGAAAGTAGAAAGATTTATTACGAGTTATTATTTTGTCTTAATTCCATCAGTGTCCTTTGCTCTGCTACTTCATCTTCATTATTCATATATTTCTTCTTCACTTTCTCCTTTGTCTCAGTATTCGATTCCTCATCAAAGATTTTAAGATGCTTTGCATGATACCAAACGCCAATATTCCAGAAGCCACCAATAAAAATGAACGCGGCCGAGGAAATGTTAAAAGCGTAACTGCAAAATAGAGACAGGTATATGTTTCAGATGATTGGATGAATGGATAGTAAATCTTACCGTAGAGATTTCGTATCATATAGAAAGCAATTGCCTTTATTCGTGCATGTTTTGTCCCATATTAGACAGTGGTTATCCATAATCCAACCGTAAAATATTGGGCTGGGAATAAAGCTTATTAGGGAGACAAGCATGCTGCCAAGTCCTAGAGCAAAGCTTTTATCCTCGGGCGGTACGCAACGCAGCGATAATAGAACGTTGGAAGATCTGCCAGAGGCGCCCACAAACTTTAGGAAACACATAACGACCAGAAAGGAGATGAATTGTGAAGAGCAGTCGACAGGACAGGCGCCTTCTACGCCCGTTTGAAACTGTAATGAATGACCATTTGAAATACTTGGCTCTTCCAGTACTGCCATGCAGTCACAGCCCTTGTATATAGAGCCTATGAGTTCGTCTTTGTAGTGTTCTGTGCAGCCAGCGTGGCAGGCAGATAAATAGGTGATATTATTCCCTCCACAAATGGGTGTATATCTGACATTCTCGCAGTGGCAGTGGGTACTACAGTTGGTGTTGCTAGTCGCGGATAATAATGCCATTCTATCGCTTCCTTCACAGCCAATGAAGACGTAGCACAAAATGCCAGCAACAGTCAGGAAGTCAACAGTGCCATTCCAGGCCGCCAAGGCTCGGGCACTCGGCTTGTATTTTGAAATCACAAAACCGGAAATGAGCACACCCGCCGCGGAAAACGCCAATGCCACTGATCCTGTGGCCAAGCTTGCCGTTGCAGCGGATTTTCGATATTGCATCTCAATATACTTAGGCGTAAAGATCCAAAAAGCCATGTAACCAAATAGGTATAGAATGGAGGCAAGCGTATTATACAAGAACACCTTGTTAGCCAGCAATCTATGCACCGATTTCATCAAATCCGCCAATGAGAGTGGTTGAAGTTCCTTTGTAGAGGAATCTTGGTCGGGTTTTAAGCGCCTCATTCTGGCCTTCGGCAATTCCTTCGGAAACATAAAAATGGTCAAAGCTGAGATGAGCAAAACAACAGCCAATATGAGCCAGCCCAGCCACCAGGCACCCAACCAACGCGGATCTTCATTCTTAATCATTGGCTTCAAACTGGGCGAGATATACAGACGCAGGCAGAAGGAGGCCAGTGAGTAGCCAATCGCAGGACCCAGCATGCGTATAAAAGTTGACCAACCTAAAATATTAAGAAATATGAGGAAATTGTTAATCTTTATATTATAAATGTGCAATTAGAATTGCTGCTTACTTAGCATAGCAGGTGTCTTAGACTTGGTCGTATTATCGTCCATATAGGACACTCCTAAAACGTAGAATAGCGCTTGGCCAATGCCAGAGACGAGTTGTGCTGCAAATAAAAATAACTGCGGCATTCGAAGTCCAGTTTCCTTCACGCATTTTGGTTCCATTTCATTACAAAGTGTTTCTTCATCCGTAAACTCTTCAACTTTTCCTTCGCCGAATTCTTCTGTGAGTCTTAGGGCTTCATCTCCGGCACCATAAAAGTAGTGAAGTGCTGCCGTTAGAAGGCAAAATGCGACCAGAGTAAGGATGCCTACATCAGATGTACAAGTACCTTATCTGTATCAGCAGTGAAAATAGACTAAATACTCTTACCACAGCCCATCCAGCGAGGACGATGTCTTCGTCCCGCATAATAACCGAGAAACGCAGATGCCACCATCGTGCTCATATCATTTCCAACCGATATAATTCCAAGAGTTTTCGCAGGAATTTTAAACCGTCGCTCCAAAGTGGTAATCGTGCCATTAAAATATGAAAAGGCCATTGTTATAAGACACCCAGCGATGCCATAAGCTACAACATACATTTGTTCAGTAGCCAGTCTTAGAACATGAGTTGAAGGTACTTCTATAGTGGAAAATTTCAAATATTTTCATTCGCCTACCTTTGCAAAGTAGCGCCTTTAAATATCCAAAATCCACATGTTACATCCTCGCATTGCGGTGTATTCGGTTCTTCCTTTATTTGCTCCTCACATTTTTTCAGATTATTCATAATCAGCGTCTCACCATCGTTGCTAAGAATTGGCAACACCTCAGACCCATCTTTCTTAGCATCTTCCATTTCAGACATGCGCCTACGTTCAACTTCACTGAAGCACTGGACTTAGCCGCAGATGGAATGGTAATGTCTATTAAGTTTATATTTGCCTTTGTTTCATGTTCATATGTAATTCTCCTAATAAAGATATTGTGTGTTGCAGATAAGAAGTAGTTCGGGCATAAGCTTTTATTTCTAAGCTTTTCTACACTTAATTAATCTTAATTAGGTAGCTTTATAGAAGTGCAGCAGACAATGTATAAAGACAATAAATTAGATGAAATATATAGTTGTTTAAACAATTAAATACTTAAACAATTAAATCAGTTATAAATATTACAAAAAATATAACAACATTTTATAGATTAATTGTAAGTGTAGCAACCTCTTTTGAAGGAAATTACAGATCAGGCAAGCTGAGATGGCTACTATATACTACACATTACGGTTTATTTAAAATCTTGCCATATAAGATTAAGTATTTTTTGTTTAAATAGTTTGCTCATTTGCTACACCTGCTTGATCAGAAGCAGTAGTGACAATATTAAAATAAATACATATTTTATATTTTTCTATTATTTATTGATTCTTAATAAATTAAAATTCAGAAATACTTGTACATATATATAAAGTTCTGCTTATGTATTCATATCATTTTTAGTTTCTTTCAATTCAAATTCATCAATTTCCTCCTGGATCTCTTTCCTGCTCTCCTCATCAAAGATTTGCAAGTCCTTTGCATAATACCAGACACCAATATTCCAGAAAGCACCAACAAAAATTAATCCAGCACTTGTTAGGTTTAGCGTGTAACTGAAATTAAAGAACAATTTTTTAAAAATATTTATACAATTATTAAAAGAAAGGCAGCTACCGCAACGATTTAGTATCGTAGAGCCAACAGTTCCCTTTGTTGCTGCATGTTTTTCCCCAAACCAGACAGAAACTATCCAGAAGCCAGCCAAAAAATATGGGACTTGGTATGAAGCTAACGAGAGAAAGCAGCGTATTTCCGAATCCTAATGAGAAGGTTTTGTCTTCTGTAGATACGCAGCGCAATGCCAGAAGTAAGTTCCCAGCTCTGCCGAAAGAGCCCACAAACTTTAGGAAACACATTACAGCAACGAAGGCAATAAATTGCTTTGAGCAATCCACTGGACAGGCTCCATCTATGCCGATCTGAGTCTGAAATGAGAGTTGCATCAAATACTTTTGGAGAGACAACAGCCAAAATCATCTCAAACCTGGGGCTCCTTGGATGAATTGGAGTCAGCTATGCAGCCACAGCCACTGAACACCATGCGATCATTTTCGTCCTTGTACTGGCCCGTACAGCCAGCATGGCAGGGAGATATATAGGTGACATTATCTTGTCCACAGATGGGGGAATATTGAACAAAATCGCAGTGACAAGCCGCGGTGCAGTTGCTAGACGCTGCCGATAGAGAAGCCATGTTGTCGCTTCCATCACATCCAATAAAGACATAGCAGAGAAGGCCCGCTACGGTTAAATAATCGGAGATACCATTCCAAGCAGCCATCGTGCGGGCACTCGGCTTATACTTGGATATGACGAAACCGGATAGCAATATGCCAGCAGCGGAGAAGGCAAGGGCGCCGGAGCCCGTGACCATGGTGGCTGTGGAAGCGGACTGTTTATATTGTGTTTCAATATATTTGGGCGTAAATATCCAATACGGCATATAGCCGAAGAAGTACAGCACAGAGGCGAGCGTATTATATACATAGACCTTGTTAACTGCCAGCCGCTTCACGCACTTCACCATATTCTTAAGTGTTAGCTCCTCCACACTGCTGTGATGTCCTGCCTTGGCATTAACCTGCTCCAATTGTAAACGGTTAGCCCGGGCAGCGGGCAGCTCTTTTGGGAACATGTATATAAGTATTGTTGAAATTAACATAAATCCAGCCAAAATAAGCCAACCCAGCCACCAGGCACCCAACCAACGGGCATCAGTGTTCTTTATCACAGGCTCCAAATCGGGTGCAATGTACAGACGCAGGCAGAAGGATGCCAGTGAGTAGCCAATAGCAGGACCCAACATTCGTATAAAACTGGTCCAACCTTGAAAGTACATACACAGACAAAAATAAATTCATTTAAATAATTGAAATGTAAATACAACAATATGCAACTGGTTTTAAATATCAAATAAGATTCATTGTTCATTTGTTAATTGTTATTGTCTGAAGAATGCCAAGTAAGATGAAAAGATAAGATTATTATATTCTAAAGAAAGTCAAAATAATATGAAAAGACACAAAAACGTGGTCTAACTAATTACTGCAATGTCCTAATTTTTTCTCAATAAGTTTCTCGATCAACTTTCAGTTTCATTTCATTATCTTCATTAATTTTATTTCATAATTGTATAGAATGATTCCCTTACAAGAACAAGTCATTTAACATGGCCGTTAACTCTTGCATTACCTTGATTAGGTGAAGGGATTTACGTATTTTAGGAAGCCTCGTTTAATTGAATTAGATTTGCTTATATGATTGATTTAATAGGATTTTGATTGGGAGAACTTACTAAGCAATGCAGGAGATTTAGATTTGGCGGTATTATCGTCCATGTACGTAAGACCCAAAGTGTAGAATAATGAACATCCAATCCCAGATATAAGCTGAGCTACAAATAGTAATATAATAGGCATCCAAACACTAACTTCTGCAACGCAATCAGGTTCGTTGTCATTGCACAGGCTTCGATCATCTTGCGTGCTATTTAAAAATACATCAGTATAATTAGTTAGTCCGAAGTCCTTTGTTAATTTCAAAGCTTCATCTCCAGCTCCGTACAAGAAATGAGGCGAAGCCGTTAGCAGACAAAACACTACCAATGTAAAGAGCCCTAAAGGAGCGGAAATGTAAGATAAAAGCGACCGTAACGACAGTAATGAAAAATTACCAAAAGCCATCCAATGTGGTCTATGTCCTCTTCCCATATAATAGCCAAGAAATGGTGAGGCCAGGCAGAGGCTTATATCGTTTCCAACCGATATAATTCCGGTAGTTTTCGTTGGTATTTTGTAGCGTTTCTCCAAAGTTGTAATGGTACCATTAGAGTATGAATAAGCCATGGCTATCACCAACCCAGCGAATCCATAAAGAAGCGCATACATTTTTTCAGTGGCTGCACTGAGAGGAGTTTAATAAACAATTATTTCCGTTGACCAACAAATGCTTACCGTTGCAGTATTTGACCCTTAAATATCCAAAATCCGCATTCAGTATTATCTGAGTCTTCATTATCTTGCAAAGGACTATCCTTAACTTTCTCACACTTCAAGTGCCCGATATTTTTCTGAAGGAAAGGCGACTTCTCAGCGCCATCTTTTTGATCATCGCTCATTCTGAACTTGCGCCGTTGCTTTATTTAGTTAGACTGAATCAAAGCTCGAGTGCATCAAAATTGTTCAAAAACTTATCTTGGGTTTTATGTCCAATTATATGCCAATAAACCATATTCACTCTTTAAAGGCAGAGCATCTATAGAGACTTCATAGAGCAAGCAGGAGATAAACGGCTAGTTTCATAAAATCTTCGCTGTTGATCGTTGATAAGATATTTTATAAAGAAAAAATCGCATTCGACAATATGCGAGAAATTAAGAGCTTTGTTCGTTAGGCACGGGGTACCATAAAGCCGGATTACTCTGCCATGCGTCCGCCTAGTCGCGATAAAAACGTATACTACTGGAAGAATTGAAATAAAGTGGAGAACCTTGCAATTTATTATGGGAAACAAATAACAAGAATGTGCATTTGGGCTTATCACACGGTCTTGCTGTCATAATACAGTTTATTGCACCGACTCTACAAAAAGATCATCTCACTTACACAAGTTAACAACAGCCACCAACCACAATCACACATTTAAATACATAGAATGTACATACGTATATACGTGTATATGCATATTAAGATTAGATTTCTGTATTCTTCTCTGCATTGAGCTCCTCCTCGTGCTGTACTATTTTCATTTCAATGTCCTTAACTTCCTCGTCGAAGATCTTGAGGTCCTTGACATAATACCAGACTCCAGTATCAAATATGGCACCAATCGCTATAAAAACTGCAGCAGTAAAGTTGAGAGTATATCTGGGAAATGAGAACTTTTATAAGATCAAGTGATGAAATAATGTGGATAGAGTGTTACCGCATGGATTGTGGATCGTAGAGCCAACAATTGCCCTTATTTGTGCATGTCTTGCCCCAAACCAAGCACATGCGATCGAGCACCCAACCAAAGAATATCGGACTGGGTATAAAGGCGAACATCGAGCACATCATCATGCCAAGACCCATGGCCGCCGTTTTATCTTTTTCTGACACACAGCGTACCGAAACTAGGAAGTTGGATGCTCTGCCCGTGGCGCCCACAAACTTCAGACAACACATAACCGCCAGAAACGTGACAAACTGCGCCCAACAGTTGACTGGGCAGGAGCCAGGCATTGCCTGGCCAGCTAACTAAGGGAAGAATCATAACAAACAGTTAACATGTGATTGGAGTGAACTGATTTAGGTAAGCAATACATTTAGTTCCGAGAACGGCGAGCCAAGAGAAGACTGCGCTGGCTCCATCAAGCTGATGTTGTTGTGACTCATCATGTCTCGGGCAGTCAGACGTTTAAAGATGGGCTGGGTTGTGGCATTTTCATTGCTGCTTGGAATGCACGAGCAGTCGTAAAAAATCTGTAAGTATTGACGGTTAAAAGGATCAACTGACTGCCTTATTGAATGCATAATTACCTTTCGACCATCCGAGTTCATTTGCTCACCCTTGCAGCCCGCATGGCAGGCTGATATATAAGTCATATTGTTCTCTCCACAAACTGGAGAGTAGCGGACATAGTCGCAGGCACAGGCAGAGTTGCAGGTGGCATTGTTGCTGAGCGTACTGTCGTGGATATTGACAATGACGGAGCTCTCGTTGCCGGGGCAACCGATGAAGGCATAGGCCAGAATGCCGGCTACAGTTAGAAAGCCAACAATGACATTCCATGCGGCCATATAACGAGCGCGTGGCTTAAAGCGGGAAATAATAAATCCAGAGAGCAGAACACCGACGGCCGAAAAGGCCAATGCCACAGTGCCAGTGACCATGCTGGAGGTAGCAGCGGACTGTCGGTACTGAACCTCAATGTACTTTGGGGTGAAGATCCAATAGGGGGTGTAACCGACGAGATAGAAAATGGAGGAAAGCGTGTTGCACATGAAGGTCTTGTTGGATGTGAGACGCCTAAAGGTTTTCAGCATATCCTTAAAAGATGCCTGCACTTCAGTTGGCGACTTCTCTTCCAACTCGGCGGCTAGCTGCTCCTTTTCCGAGCTTTCTTTGTACTTCAGCGACAGACGCGCCTTTCGACGTTCCTCCTCAATCATTCGCCTGGCCGCCGCCCTAGGCAGTTTCTTTGGAAACATGGAGAGAAAAACGCTTGAGAACAGAAGCAATCCTCCCATAACTAGCCACCCCAGCCACCAAGCACCCAGCCAGCGAGGATCCTTGTTATTAATAACCGGATGAATTTGGGGCGCTATGTACAGACGCAGACAGAAGGAGGCCAAGGCATAGCCAATGGCTGGGCCCAACATGCGCAAAAAGTACGACAGACCTGCAGCGAAAAAGGGGAAACATCAAAATAGATTTCAATCGATTTCTCGTATTATCCGTGCAAACACAAAAAAAAAAAAAATGTCTTGAAAGTGTCAGTCATGTCGTGCGTGAGCGCTCAGAAGATAATTGAATGACGTTCCGTAAATATTTGCAATATTACTTGCAAACAATCTCGGCTTATCATAACAAGCGTTTGGCGCGTTTGCCTCTCAGTAGGCGCCATCGGCTTTACGACATTATTTTTTGGTTAAATATTTGACTGTTCACTGCTGCGTAGCTGATAAGCCAGCGAGTACTCACTGAGCAGGGCGGGGGTTTTCGATTTCTTTGTATTGTCATCCATATACGAAACACCAAGTGTGTAGTAGAGTGAGCCACCGATGCCGGAAATGAATTGGGCCACAAATAGAATGACCTGAGGTGCGAAATTTCCTTCGCCCACTTCGCACTCGGCCCCACCGCCATTCAGACGACAGAGCATCTTCGACCGCTGCTCCTCAATCGCCTCATTGGTGCCGTTTTCAACGGGAACGGCGCCAAACTCCTCCGTCAGTGCGAGCGCGTCTTCGCCGGGACCGTAAAGAAAGTGGGGTGTGCTCGTAAGCAAACAAAATAGAACGATTGTCAGCAGACCTGTAAACCAATAACGATTATTATTTTAGAGTCTTAAATTTCAGTGCAGACATTTCATTTGCCCACCAAAGCCAATCCAACGGGGACGATGGCCTTTGCCGGCATAGTAGGCGAGAACGGCGGATACCAGCATCTGACTTATGTCATTGCCCACAGAAATAATGCCCGTGTTCTTCGAGGGTATCTTAAACCGTTTCTCAATCGTTGTAATTGTGCCATTAAAGTATGCGTAGGTCATCGAGAAAATACAGCCTACGATTCCATAGAGTATCACATACGCCGTTTGATTGGCAAAGCTGTGGAAAAACAATAAAGTGATGAGTGGACTGATCATTGGGTTATTACAGGCATGATAAATGGCTAAGCAGTTGTTAGGAAAAAGTGCCTTTAACTAACTTTGAATGAAACGCATATTATGAATGTCTAACAGTGTTCCTTTCTTTAGCTAACTATATATCCTGCTCCACCATGACTTGCAATCAAATCACAGAGCTCACAACAATCATGAGAGCCAACAGATACACAGTCGTAAGTTATGGCCAGACAGGCAAATAATTTGCATGAAATTCACTTCTCTTTAAAATTACAAGTCAACCCCAAAAATTTTAAATGTTTTTTTTTTGTCTTGGCATAGTTTGACTTGTGATTTAAGTAACCCTGATATTATCTGTTCTAGCCAAATAGTGTGCAAAATATTTGCCAGTCTGGCTATAGCTTTACTACAAAGTACAGTATTTCGGACTTTTGCTTACCTCTGAAAGAATCTGCCCTTGAAAATCCAGAATCCGCAGGTTATATCCTTTTCCAACGGCATGTCATTGAGTAGTTTGTTAATCTCCTCGGTCATTGTGCGATCGTGTTCGGACTTTTCGCCTTTGACAGTTTTTGTTTTGGTGGGTTTTTCAGTGGCATGGATGTTGCCATTTTCCAAAAGTTTGGTCTCGGCATTGATATTGCTTTCGTCCAAGTCCTGGTCCGCTGGATCACTAGACGCCTCAGCCTCAGTGGCGGCTTCAGCATCCCGATTGTCCTTTGGCTCACGCTCATCCTTGCCGGGATTCTCCATCTCTACCATCTTTGAGAACTGATGTCAGCACTAATGGAGTGGCTTCTGCTGGAGGAGTCGCAACTGCGACCGCACATTAGCCTCTTCCGCTTCTGGCGTCACAAATCAAACACACAATCACGATCAGCTCGAACACACTCACTCACACACACAGAGATTAATAGACACTTGCTTGGGCTTAGTCGTCAGTCGTTATAATTGGCCGATGTGCACAATATGTCTTAATTTTGTAGACTTTCTCATAAGCAATTAGCCTAGATGGATGTGATTCTGGCTGGTCCGGTTTCTCAGCTAGTTTGGGCAGCGGGAGAGATGCTGTACGAGTAGAACAACCGCACGCTTCACGATTCGGGACGTAAGTGACATGATATGCCAAAATTACTCGCGATCTTAACTGAATCGGCAGCTCTGCTGCGTTATCACTAAAAGGCTGGCTACCTGCAAATCTCCTACTGGCTTGGATTGCTGTTATCGTTATTTGGGCGGACAGGCGTCTTTAGTGAGATGAACGCTGCTGTGCTTGTTGACGTAGTTGTCAACGATGTCGACGATGTCGACGACGGCTGCCTATTAAGACCGTATTCGCCAAACGTCGCCTGTCGTCCGTTGTCGTTGATAATAAATATTGCCTCAAATGGGTTATCGTTGTCTCTAATCTTTAGAAATTTTCAGACATTACCGGGGCAATGTTTTCCAACGCCACAAAATCATTAAAATGCATTGCCTTTGTTAATACCTGGAAGATTTATGATTAAAAATAAAAATTATTAAATGAACAGCAGATCTATGTAGCACACCCCCACCCTCACCCCCACACGCTCACACAAACACACACGCACACACATTTGTAGTTGAATTGCTTGAAACTTTTATTGAAGGGTGATGATTTGGCAAACAGAAGTGAACGTCAATCTTATCACTATTATTATCCGCTTAGCAGCATAAAACAGAGATGACAGACAGTAGATAAAAGTATTTTTTGTTTTGTTTTTACGAGTATCTTCTTCGCTTTATTAGCACCGCTTCATTGTCATAATCGTCATCATCATCATCATCAGTGGACAGCACACCCACTCGCACACTCATACTCGTACAACATTTTCCACAAATTCATTTAGTCGCATCATATCAGTGCCCAACTATTCTGTTGTCTTTTAATGCGAGCTAGTACACGATGAGTGCTCTATTATTTAAAGCTGTGTATACGTATTTGTCAGATATAAATGGTCACTTAGCATATTTAATTCGATGCGTAGCTCAGCACTTGAATTTGATGTTGGGGTTGGTTGCGATACTTATGCCTTCAGATTTCAGATTTATCAACATTTGTGAGGTGATATTTATTTTGGTTTAATTTTAATTTGCTTGATAAATGTACGTATCTGTATATTATGCATGCAATTTATTTTTCACACGAATAAACCTACACTTGGGCACACACACACACACACACACATAGACACACACTTAAGTTATATGCTTCACACAATATCTGTTTTATCTGAGATGCTGAAATGTGCCGTTTGTCTCGTGTAAAACACACCCGACAGATATGAATCCGTACTAAACTAAGCTAAACGCTGCGTTTATGAGCACACTGGAAGACTGTTTTAAGATGAGCAGATCAGAGTGTCACAGGCACGATCGTCTTTGATCCGCTCAGAAGCCGAGCCGAGCCGGGCCGAGCCTTACACTTAAATTCAATTCAGCTCTGCTGCTCGAGCTGTGAGCGTGTCAGTGATATCATTCTGCACACCTGCCATATGCAAATGGATAGAAAAACATTTGTTCTGAATTTCGGTAATTATATGTTTATTAAAACTGGGTATACAAATTTTTCTTAAAATGTACATGACACGCATATTTTTTCGTATTCCCTGTTTTTGGGCAAATAGTAATTGATTTCTTTTTAATAGTTCAAAGAACCGTCGAGTGAAAAATATAAATAAATGTAGTTAAATAGCTTTATTTAACAAAACGTGTTTTTCATTTGTATATAAAAATGATTTAACTTTCAAAAATCATCAAAATCACCTTCTTATTATTAAAACTAAATACATGTATTTCATTTTAAATCTAAAAGAAATGTTCCTTCTTTCAATTGTGTTGAAATTATTTGAAGCTATACCAATATTTCATCAAAAGCAGCTTTCCTAGGCAAGCGTATTATAATTTAATTATAAAATACATCTTGAGCAGGCTAATCAAAATAAAAATATAAATGTTATCAAATAACTTTTATTTTATTTATAAACAAAGGAAATGGTGCAATTAAAAAAATTGTGATTTCATTTTCCATATGAGCGAAAACTATATTATGCTGCAATTAAAGAATGCATGCATGCGGTTAGACGATGCTTTTGTCGCTATTATAGTCAACAATGGAACACATCGACGTCGACGTCTACGTCGACTCCAACGCTGGCGCTGACGCTGACGCTAACGACGATGCCGCCTTCGTTGAAATCAATCAACCCCAAACCACAAGGGCATCAAATTTCATAAAACGCGAGCCTAAGTAGCCACCGGATGACAAGCCAGCTTTCTGAATGCTGAGATCGTTAGCGACAAGCTTGAGCTTGAGCTCTTGAGCTTTTCAAACAGTTTTGCTTGCAATGTGTGTGTGATATCAGGGTATAAACTACACTGAGAAAAATGGGCTTGCAAATGAAGAAAATGTAATTACATATCTTCTAGCTCTAAAAACAAATTCAAATGATAAAAGGGATAAAACGGGCATCAATGTTTGTAAATATGTATCTATTCGATTTGGGGTAGGGGACTGTGGTTTGAAAACTTTCTTGTTTTATGTAGTTTCGTTATGATTATACTACACTTCCGAGTACATGCCATCAATTAATGTCAATTATATTTGGTGCTCAAAGTTTCGAACACTACTCTTTGTTTTTGTGTTTTTTCGTTAAATGAGTACATGTTATGATATTCCTAAAAAGCGTTTCCTCATAATAAACCATTTAAACGATTTACATTAAAGGTTATTTATCGAATTTAATGAAACAGTTATACAAGTATAAATGCAAACACAAATACGCAAGAGTTTAAAAGATAACGTAATCAAAATACAAATAAGAACTCCTCGTCTAAATAAATCTAGCATTTCAAATCAACAAAACACGTAGAGACACAGAAAAGAATTTTATTTTATTAATTATAAAATGTCAAATTTAATGAACGACCACGTTTTATTCTCTGTGTACATGCATACGCGTAGGAATGAGAGAGCGGAATGAGAAAATACCAAACGAAATGAAGCGCTTTCAAATAATCCACCATGTAATTGAGTAGGTGGTTGTGGTGGTGATGGTGGTGGTGGTGCTGCTGTTTGTGAACATCATATGTTTGTGCACAACAATAAAAATCAAAAATACATAATATTTTGTATCAATAAGCGGCAATAAAAAGGCAGCACAGCATGTTTATTATTTTCTGCATATGTATGTCTGTAATTTTATTTGCCCTCCAGGCTGGGAAGGTATTTATTTTGGTACATTTCGCACAGCTGCGTGCAGGCACACTCACACACCTATGCAAACATATATACACACGCGTAATTTGTATGTCACATGCATATGCAAAAGAAGCAAATGTGGCCGCGCTTATAAGGATTTCAGTTGGCAGCGAGTGAGCAAGGCTCAGCATAAATAACAGCAAATGAGCTGGAGCTGGGACTGAGGCTGCGGCTGCGGTTGCCTTTTATTCCACTTCATCAGGCACGCGGCTGGGTCAGGGGGGAAGGGAAGGCACGGGGAAGAGTCTGGGAAGACTACTTCTTATCTGAAATTTGTTTGCGTGCCCGTCTGTTGTGCTTTATTTTTTGCACGATGCCTATAAGTATGCTTCAAAAAATACAACAAATATGGCAGCTCGCATTTTCTTGCAAATTATGCCACTGGCACGCGTTTTTCGTTGCCTATTCGAGTTCTGTTGCGATTTTATTTCCTTTATGTCTTCCTATTGTTAAGAAACCGCATGCAAATGCCATTTGTGGCCACCACCCGCATCGTGTGTTATCGCACCCACACACATGCGCCCACCAACCGAGCACGGTTTGGTCTTTGCGGGGGTGGTGGTGAGTTGGTACTTCCGGCAAACGCAAGCGTTGACAATAAATAATATTTGCAAATCAACTTAATCGCCACGAGTTAAAAGCAAGCGTTGAAAACGATTCCAAAAATTGCCAAACTCACACAAATGCGAGGGGCGTGGTGGCATAGATAATATGCATATCTGTATTGTGTGGGGGGACGGGGGTGCAAGGCACTTAAGTAATTCTTAAGACGCCTTTCTGCTTAAAGACAGCTTAGTATCGCCCCAAAAGGACACGCATCGCTGGCATCATGAGCCACATGCGAACGTAAACAACTTCCGTTTCATATTTAACCCTTTGCCGCTGCTGTAGTAAAGAAGCACCCACCCAACCAAAGTGACAGACAGACAGACAGACAAACAGGCAGACGTGCCAGTTAAACCGCTTAAGCACTCAATTTGCGCGTGAAAAGGAACTTGACACGCCAAATTCATATGCATAGGCCCGACCGCGCACACATGTCACCACTTTGTTGTGATTTCCGCTTCCGCTACACACTCACACGCAGACACACGGACACACATTCGCAGCAAAGCAGCGCAACAAGCGCCGCAATTCACGCCACAACCCCTTTCATTTCAGTTACATATTGATATTGTTGTCTCCTCGTACTCACTCTTAATGGCATTTATCATATGTTTGCTGCTTTTTAGCTAACATTTTGATTTCTTCTTTTTTATGTTTTTTGTTTTGTTTCTGTTGTTGTTGTACGTTTGTCAGTTTTATGTTTGCTTAAGCACCCGTTTAACCCTTATCGTATTCTATACCCATATATGTATTTATGAACTGTCAAATTGAGGTTAAGTGGGCCCACCCTTAGAGCCGCCGCGCCGGCTATGGGGGCTGTCGGCCTTGATGGGCTTCTTAGGTAAGTATTTTGATGTTAGGTTTTGCGATGCGTGAATATTTTTTACGCAGATTTTGCGTTTTGCTCGCTACGGTGTGCATCACCTTAAGTAGGTCTTAAGTCTTCATTTGTCTGCGCCTCGCACAATGCAGTGGCGCTTTCAGCGCTTAATATGCCGGCCGCATGAAAAACCCACAATTTTCCGGGCCAATTTCGCTGTCAATTTAGGTTGTAATTAACAGCAGACGCTTGGTCGGCTGGGCATACGAGAAAAACAAAAAAGAATCACAGAAATTTAAGTGGTAAGTGAACCATAGAGAAAAAATCGTTTGCCATATGGCATTCTGCTCACGTGCGTTCATTACGCATTTGATAAATTTAGCATGAAGAGGCGGCTTTGGGAGCGCGAGTGTCAGACAAAGGAGGAGCAGGCAGCAAGGTGTCCAACCTTATGGCCTGGTCGGGGCAAATGTCAAAGCAGACAATGCTGCGATTACGGCTGGCCTCTTGATTTCCGACGAAGAGCACAGAGTGGGGCTCAATTCAGCAATATATGAGTTGGCATACAATTAATCATAAGGTTGTGACTGGGCGGCTGGCCGGGATTTGGGTCATTAAA